TTGCCCAGGTTAAGCACGTTACTGGTATGTTGCCTCAAAGTAAGAGGGGGTTGCAGAGTTGTTGCTAACGACCGGGAAACAGGTAACAAGATCCTCCGTATCTTGAAGTCCAACGGTACGACATCACCATGTTGAATTCCGGAACCCCAGTTGCACCAGTACCTTGAGATTCGTTGGAAGTTGAATTTGGAAGATGGATTGGAATCTGGGAGTTATGGAGCGAGAGGAGTTATGCGCCGGGATTGAAATACATCCACACCCAAGTTGGTTCGGCAGCGTGGACGAATGGACTGGTTCGCTTTCGCATCTTCACTCCAGCTACCTATAAACGGTAACTGGAGGAAGACACGAAAGCAAAAGACGCAGGTTGAAACTACACCGAACCGTCTTGAGGGGAAGGGGGAATTGAAAGAATATTCCCCCCCAAACCCAGAACCATCATCGCATCCTCAAAACCCATACACCACTCTCATCCACAACTTGAACTTTCAACATGTCTCAACCATCTCAAAACACTGGAGGGAAGGGAAATTCCGACCCAGAAAGAAAAACCATGGTCCAATTCACTTTGCGCACTATGTTTTCTCTTCTTTGGGTCGCTTCCCAAAACCCCGTATTGCCTCTGCTTGGTCAAACCTAGGCTGACAGAGTGATTTCCCCTTAAACAGGCCTTGCCCCCGAGCTTCCCGAGGACCTGTACCACCTCATCAAGAAGGTATGTTTTTTATCCTCCAAAAAATGGAAAATCAAATCAGACCCTAATGATGAACAAGGCCGTCGCCGTCCGCAAGCACCTTGAGCGTAACCGCAAGGACAAGGACAGCAAGTTCCGCCTGATTCTCATCGAGTCCCGTATCCACCGTCTGTCCCGCTACTACAAGACCGTCGGTGTCCTCCCCCCCACCTGGCGCTACGAGTCCGCCACCGCCTCCACCCTCGTTGCTTAAGCGACTTGACGTCGTTGGGTCCCCTGGGTCTGGGTTCTGGTGTGGTTGTGACTTGCCTTCGTGGTTGGTTCTGTCTTCTTTTTTCCCTTGTGTGTGATCTGGAAAGGGTTTCGATAGGGGAAATGGAATCTATGTTCTGGCTATGATCAAGTCATGAATATCAAAAATTTTCACGACCACTTTTGGTTTTCTTTGTAGATGTAGATTGTTCTCTCGAACGTAGTCTGTGTATCTGTCCAAATGTGCAAAACTGAACCAGGTTTATTCAACATTTATACATCTATGCATGCACCATTCAAAATCAGCATACCAACGCCAACCAAGTCTACCCCCTCGAGCCAAACACTGGTATACCATCAAGACCCAGCAACCCTCACCTCCCGCGCAACCGCATTACACAGCTCGACCCTCACCCCGGCCCCGGAAAGCACATGAATCCACAACCGCTGCGTATCGCTCAACCGATCATTCTCCGACTTGACCTCTACAAACATCACCTCCCCGAATTTCCCGTTTTGCTCCATTAACTTCCCAGTCTGCCCGCCCTCTTCACCCGCATCAGCAGCAGCAGCACCACCACCCCCTGTTCCCGGCTGTTCCGCGTCGTCAAAAACCCTCCAAACCAACAAATCCGGCACCCCGCCGCCCCGGACAGAATACTCCTGCGCGAGCACCTTACAGATAGCCGCAAGGGCCTCGCCCGGAAAGCACCGCACCAGCTCGACGAGGTCGTCGAGGGCGAAGGACCAATCCAGGCCGACGGCGCAGGTTTGCGTGGGGGACTCGCGGGCGTGGACCGCGCGGAGGAGGCGCTCGGCGGCGCCGGGAGTGGTGAGCTCGGCGAGGCGGTGGTTGATCTCGCTGGCGCGGGTGGGGTAGAAGGCGTCGGTGTGGAGGTCGAGCGGGGAGGTCTGGAAGGGGGTCTGGAAGACGTTGGGGACGTAGGTGGTGAAGAGGATGTCGTAGAAGAGGTAGCTGAACTGTTTCCCCTGGCTTTAGTTATACAGTACGGAGGAAAGGGTGGTTGTTGGGGGATCGGGTGGGAGAGAGAGCGTATTGAGGGGGGGGGGGGGGGGGGTTAAAAGGTGAACATACTAAGGTTCTTACGATGCCTCCTTCGGAGTGATAGCCTTTCCAGCCTTGTTCCCGGTACCAGTTCAGACACATCGTCTCGACGCGGCATTCGCCGCCTTCGCGCTCGTCGACCCAGACGGTCGGACGGCCGCGGCGGGTGCTGCTACCGTTATTGCTACTGTTGCCGTTGGCGGCGGACGGCGAGTCGGCAGTCCCCAAAACAGACTCCGACTCCGGCTCGACGATCTGGATGCCCGCGATGGTGCGCTCGGCGGGCTTCGCCAGCCGGACGTGCCCGAAATCATGCTGCTCGCGCTTCACGATCTTCAACGCTCGCTCGAGCTTCATGATGCGTTTCTGGAGGTCGTAGTGGAAGATCAGGTGGCAGTTGGGGTCCTCGAGCCCCGTCTCGCACGTCCGCAGCGCGACCCGCCGCCAGTGTTTCCGCTGGGCGTCCTCGCTGCGCCCCTCGGAGGGGGTCAGGGCCCACATGTAGTGTTCCTCCAGCAGGGCCTTGCGCTGATACCAGGCCCCGCGGCGGGCGGCGTGGAATAAACGCTGGTCGAGGAGCTCGGTCAGCAGCCGATGCTCCTCCTGGTGTTCTTTGAAGCGTCCGAGCGGGTGCAGACCTTTGTGGATGATCCGCGTGTAGACCCAGGCGGGCGAGAACCGCCGGAGGTACGCACCCTCGCCGTATTCGTAGATGGTTTCCTCCTTGCGCTGCTCCTCCGCCAGCAGGGCCCGCCACCGGGGGTAGACCTTGTAGGCGAGGTCTTTGATCCGGGTCAGGTGTTCCGCCGTGGGGGTGCCGCTGAACTCGAGAATGTTGTCGATCTGGAACTGCGTGCGCAGGGCGATCTCGAACTCGAGCAGGAACGCTCGGGTCGGGAAGATGGAGCTGGACCGGCACACGATATACTCCGGGAACTTCTTGCGGGAGATCTTGGCGAGGATGATGGTCGTGAGGGACTTTTCAGTCCATTCCGTGGAGCGGTAGAAGACCAGGTGGACGCGCTCGAACAAGGCGAGTGGCCCTGCTGATAGCCGGATACAGTCGCCCGTGTAATCGAAAATCTTCTGCATGAAGTGGTCGTCTCGATTGAGACCGTCGGATGCTGTAGTGGCTGGTTTACTGTTCCAGCCCAGACCGGTCTGTTTCTGACTGGATCGGTGCAGAGCGGCAATGAGTTCATTCTTACTTTTGCCCTGCACCTTGGCTTCCTTGGCGAGCATCTTCAGCTCATCAAGAAGTAGCAAGGACGAGGCCTCTTCGAGGGTGGTTATTTGATCCATGTGCTCGGCGAACCTAAACTCGCCTGTCAAGCGTAGCGAAGGCGCTGGGTCGATATCCGCGGGGTTTTCACCCGTGGACAACGGGCAGGAAGAGGTGGGAAGGCTGCGAGGATGTCGCAGCGAGGCTACCACCCGGGGCATGTCTGCGATATCCGAGTAGTAACCCAGCCGGTTTATGCGATGCCAGGCGGACGTCTTCCGAAGGAAGAGGCGCACATACCTACAAAAGTCACATTAGGCACTACCAAGATTCGGTTTGGAAAAAATGGAACTCACAAATACTGAGCCTCGTAGTCCAGCTCCTGCCACTGTTTAAAGACCTCCATCTCCACCTCGTCGAACAGATGCGCCTCCTCGTCCAGCACAGTCACCAGCGCCAGATTGAACGCATCTACGTAGATGGAGCTTCGCCCTTTGCGCCACTTGCCATCCTGCAACCTCTGGTGGAGGTCGGGCTCGTCCTGGCTTGCCAATCGCGCCGCCTCGTATTCCTCGATTGCCTGGCTATCATCCTGAACGGCCGGCAGGGACGATTCCAATTCCGTTTGGCTATTCGACACCGGAAAGTCGTTCTCATGGTCAATTCCGGACTCGGCTATGATAGGATAAGAATCAGCCCGGTCGAGGGTTGGTACCGCGGAGACTTTCGACAACGGGGCATCAGACGACGACGACGACTCAGGATTGTTGTTCGAATCACCTCCCGCAATTTTTATAGTCGGGGTGGCGGGCTTATCGTCAGCGGCGGTCTTTCTGCGCTTCGCATTCGGACGCTGGGTATCCCAGTAGTCCAGCAGGGACATACTGCCGGAGAGATACAAGCATCGATCTCGCTTGCCCTTAACGCATGGCCCGCTAGGCCGTGTATCCGTGGTAAGTGAATCTGAGGTTTTGCACTGCTTCACTTGCCAGGGAAGGAAAAAGCGTGACGCGAGCCGACACGAAATCACATGATCTATATGTCCCGAAACGGACAGACATCAGCTTGCATAGTTTGCACTGTTTGCAAAGAAGCGCGGCCGCCCGTCGGCGTCGGCGCAAGTTGATCGGATCTTCAGCTGGAATTCATCTTGTCCAGCACTCAGTCAGACCATTTCATCTGCTTTCTCACACTCTGCATACATAACCTCCAATAGAATAAAAACGAAAGAGCATTAGACAGAGATCTCTTCCCCCTTGCTTGATCAATACCTCACAATGACCGACTCCAACCCTGTAAGGAACTCCTCTCCGAGACGGAACTGCGGAATGATGGCAATCCAAACCCCACACCGGCGGAGCCCATGATGAGAGAGACACACAGAGAGAGAGACAATTGCAAGCTCAGTAGCTCCGCTTTCTCTCAATTCCCTTCCAGCCAGTTATTTTTTTTGTCCTTTCAGCAACTCTATTGTACAATCCTGCTTCCATCAACTTGATTTCATCCTTTTCTGTTTGAACAACAAATTGGGAATCATAATCCCCTAACCTCACCAGTTCCCCGCAAACGGTTCTTCCGCGACCGACCCTGCAGCTTCAGCTTCAGCTCCGACTTCAACCCCAACAGCAGAAGGAGAAGCAGCGGTAGCTACTCCTACTCCTCAACCACAGGACCAGCAACAAGACCAAGCCCACGCGCAACAGCAACGACCTGAAACACCCAATCCCCTCCCAGCAACAACAGCAGCAACAACAGCAACAGCAACAATGGCCGCCGATTCAACCTCCGCCAACACTCCGACCGCAGACTCCGCCGCCGCAACACCCACCAACACCACCACCGCAGCAGCAGCGGCAGCAGCATCGACAGCAACAGCCACCGCCAACGGCTCCCAAATCCGACCGGGCGGTGCTCCCGCCCGCGTCTACATGAATGAGAAGATCGTACCGTATCTGCTTGAAGGGATGAAGAGCGTCGCGAAGGAACAGTACGTATTCCCTCTTCCCTTGGGCCAACGCAATCGAAGAAGAAGAAGAAGTAAAAACAAAGCTAACAACACTCGAAAAACCAGACCCCCGAATCCCCTCCGCGTACTCGGCGAATTCCTGATTCAGAAAAGTAATGAACTCGAGCAAGGGGGCGCAACAGCGGCAGCAGCAACGAAAACGCCGGAGTAAGCGAATCTCACACTCCAGCAAATACAATAACCAGGTGATATGAAATACTGCGCACATATGATTGTTTTGGATTTATACAGCTGGGACCAAGAAGAAAAAAAAGTGTGTTTGGCGTGTAATGCGAATTTATGATGAGACGATATGACCTAGACACAAAAATGGGAGCGCGAGAACATGATATGATGCCCATTGAGATAATACCTAGAAGGTTTGGGTTTTCGCTGTGCTGGTTGTGCTGGTGAACCTCTGGGGGAAAAGTCCCTTGGTGGGTAGCTTGAGGCCTTGAGTTGGCTCATCGCTTGAGAGTGTGAAGAAACACAGGCACTTGGGGAGAGTCCTGCTTCAACGTGCTGGGGAAAGGTGCATTGTCAAGATTGTGAGGTGTTGGCCTTCATTTCGAGCTGCGCCAGGGTCGCCAGAGTGCCCTGCTCTGCTCTCACCTGGCGCAGGAGAGAGCACTGCAACGAAGACTCCAGATCGAGCTGCATATAATATAGCCGCGGACGATTCCCAGGCTTGGAATTCCCTGCTGCGGATGTACAGTACATATAGTTTTGGAGATCTAGCGTCAATGACCGATAGCTATCTTGAGCAATCCAGGAATGGGTCAAGGACTACGTGTGTTACCATGGGTAGGTCGCACAAGGAATCGGTAAAACTACCAGGACTCATATGTAGAACGGGCATCACTGCAATGCGCATAGAATGTAAAGAGCTGGCTTCATCACCGAGACAACCGTTAATTCCACTAAAATAGAACTACCTATGACTACATGTACCTAAAGCCGTACTATATGACCTGCAGTTAGCAAACTGGGATTGAACCCGCAGCAATCATGATGCTCTCTGAGTCACCACCGTGCTGCAAGGAGTTCGGCCTGTCGGTCGGTCGGTCGGTCGGTCGGTCGGTCAACTCTTAGCCAGGCAAGGTAAGCCGGGGGTCCAGCTCAGATTTCCCCTTTAGATCAGTTCTGGTGCTATAATAATCAACAATAACAATACTCCAGATCAAAACAAGGAACCTACCGTGCCAAATCTTCCCAGGCTGTGCGTCGCAAGAGGTAGCCTTGTGAATTGGGGTCGTATTTACGGAAATCTCTTCTCAGGCCGAGCATTAAAGGTATCTGCACAGACAGAAGATGCTCTGCAGTGTTTGCTGTCTTCCGTGGCTATACTACAACGCACAGCAGTACACCCACGCAGACATGGCGGTCGCAGAAAAGCCACCGTCGCAAGACTGTTTCCGCATTTCTTGCACTGCAAAAATTGCTCGGTCGCGGTCCACAGGAAACCTCTCCCAGGGCGCGACGAACAGCCTGGAACAGATCATTTAATGGTAGAAGCTTTTTCTTTTCTTTTCTGGCCGCATACAATCGAAGAAGTCGTTACGTGTAAAGAGAGTTGTATAAGACGCAATAGACGCAAAATAGGCGAACAGCTGACTGAAGACTGAAGACTGACTGAAGACTGACTGACTGACTGACTGACTAGTAGCGAGATAACGACCAAGTTTCCGGAAGGGCTGAGGAGTGAAATGTAGCAGTGCTGATCCATCTGACAATCCGAGGAATTACAACGTTAATGTGTGTAAAGATCTTGTTCTGTTCTCTTTTTCTCCCTTGCCGCCATGCTTTTTTCACCGGTAGTTGCGCGAGCGAATTAACAAAAGAAAACATCAGTAAGTGTGACCGAAGAGCGACGAAACCACAGAGAATTCTGTTCTTGCTGTCCACGAAAATGATTTTCTGGCCTTTCTCTCAACTTTTCTCTTCACACGTTTAGTCTGGCGGTCGAATAGGCCGATGTTCGATGGCGCTCCGAATTTGCCCGAGGCTGACATGTGAACGTGATGATTCCCTTGGCTTAGATTTGCTTTCCTGGCATAAGACAACACAGAGACGTCCCTATCGTGGCCCTTCGAGCCCATTTCCATTCATCCAGGGGTATTAAAAGAAAAAAGGGGGGAAGCATTCCAAAGAACAGGGGGAAGTGCCGGGGATGGTGACTTGAAACAAGGGGTGTGGTAAGGTGTAAAGAGGGAAAGAGTGAAAGGAAATGAGGAAGAAGACCTAGATAGGCCTGGGAGGGAGAACGTGGCATGACCTCGATTCAACCACCCATGTCTGATCAGTCCACCTACCTGGTGCTGTAACGGTCATCGCCGCCACGGGGTTCGTAGGAGCGACCACCGCTGCCGCTGCCACCACCACCACCGCTACCACCACCACCGGCGTAGGGCTCACGGGCAGGGGGAGCAGATCCATAGCTGGGAGGGTTGGCATCGCGATCGTAGTAACCACGGCGATCCTCACCACCACCACCGCCGCCGCCGCCGCCACCACCGCCACGACGCTCCTCACCACCGCGGCGCTCATCGCGGCTGTAACGGTCCTCACGACCACCGCCCGAGGCATAACGGTCGATGCCACCACCGCCACCGCCACCACCACCACCACGGTAACCATAGTCATCACGGTAGTCACGGCGACCGTAGTCGCGGTAATCACGACCACCGCCGTACTCACGGCGGTCACTGTAGGAATCGTAGCGGCCATAGCGGTAATCGTCGCCGCCACGACGCCAGCTGCCACCGTAGCCACCACCACGGCGGTCATCATAGCGGTCACCACGGCCACGGGGACCTCCACGGAAGTCTTCTATAGTCAGTATTAGCTGTTCAGTTCTTCAGACGTAGAGTAAGGGAACTCGAAGCATACCACGCTTGGGGGGACCGAAGTATTTGCCAGGGGTAGGGGTTCTGGGACGGCTACGACGAGCCTTCTCGATGCTCAGGGTACGTCCCTCAATGACCTCACCCTGGAGACCCTCCTTGGCGGCATCAGCCTGCTCGGCGGTGACCATCTTGACGAAGCCGAAGCCACGAGACTCCTTGGTGTGAGGGTCGACCATGATCGAGCAGTTCTCGACGTCACCATACTTCTCGAAGAGACGCGAAATGTCCGACTCGGTCAGACGGGGGTGGATGCCGGTGACGAAGAGGTTAGATCCAGTGTTGAGGGCGCCTTCTTCATCGTCATCCAAAGGAGGCTTGCGGGTATCAACAGGGGGGCTAAGCATGTGATGGTCTCAAGGTCAGCTGGTTGCCCAAGGGGGAATATCGCCACCCGTGGGTGACGGTGATGCAGGCAGCTTTCTCGAAGCTCTTGCCTGGGGTAAACGTACCGGTCATCGACGCGTCCGTTGGGAGAACGGCTGCGGGTGCGGTCGCCGCGCGGCTCATCGCGAGGAGATGCGCTGCGGTCGCGGGTGAAGCGAGGTTCGTCTATTCAGTTGCGAAGAGAAAAACCAGCATCGCGGATTAGCCGTGTTATTGCGTAGTTACCCGGACGATCAGCAGCCCGGGCTGTGAAGGCGATAGCTTTGACATACCGTCGTAGCGACCGTTCTCGTGATCGTACTCTGTAGCCATGATAATGGTTTTCGTGAAGAAATAGGGAGAAAAATCGACAGAGGTTGAATGGGTCGAGGAGAGCGCGCGCGACGCTGAGAATTAGGAATGGGAAGCTGAAAAATTCAACGACCGATTACGATTGCGTTCACACACGGGCAGAGAAGAAACTCAGAAGATGAGTTTGTTTCTGGGATCCGTGAAAAGAACTGGGAGTAAAGAAAGGGAAAAGGGAAGAAAGGGAGAAGGAAGGAGGATGGAAAGGAATTCCCGAAGTGATGATGATGAAAGAAGGGGGAGGAAACCGGGAAAGAGAGAAGAGAGGGAGAGAGAGAGAGCGAGAAAGCTGAGAGAGCCAGAAGACAGAGAGACTAACTTACAGGTTCGTCTCCATCCAGTCTGGCCCGCCAGCGGCTCTGCGCCAAGCCAATCTTTTAATTCACCTTCCTCGGTGTGCTTTACACCTATACCAATTACAGCGCAAGCAAACAAACAAATTCAACGCTCAATGTTTCGAACACAGATAATTCACCAAAGATTCACTCAATTAGAATATCCATACACTTAACGCCCATTTATTACGCGATGCTGGCGATCTACGGCCCAAAAATGCCATTCCCCAACTGCCATGAAGGCATGCCTAACGCCCATCCCTTCCAGTTGGCTAAACAACTGTCGACAAGAAAAGCAAAAAAGCAAACACACGGACACAAATAGACGCGAATAAATGGCGATGTAGGGTGGAGAAACAAAGTAACAATCCACATCAGACAGTCATCCCTATTACCTTGTTCTTACTTGAACCCACGCCAGCGTCGTCGCGTCCGATGAGTCTTTACATGCTGCTGGGGAGGAGCACCTTTTCCATCCGAAGTCTCCATTGATGAGTTGGCCACTTGTCCCTCCAGCTCATCCTCTCCTACCAGATCTTTCAGTTCGTCCTCATCTAGTTCGCTTAGTTCCTCACTCATTCCCCGCATAACGTCCCGTCCCGTCCAGCGCTCCTCATGGATGGTGGTCCCTATAGGGTCAAATGGCTGCATATACCATTGGATGCCTCCCTGCGACAAGGGATGTTGCTGGTCGCCTGTAAAGCTGTGAGGCGGGGTGCGTGACTGTTTCTGAGCGTCGGGCGGTGGGCTTTCACGTTTCGAGCTGTCTAGGTCGATCGTCTCGACCGATCCATTCACAGCTGGCTCAACTCCTTCCATGGTAGGTTGTGTAGTTGTTGGTGCATCCTCACCGGTCTGGATTTCCGTTTCCTGCATCGCAGTGGTAGGCGTGGATTCTGAGTCGGGTACTGGCATGGCGGATGATTCAGTAGACTCTTCAGCAGGCAGCGGCACTTCTGCATTGGGCTCGACAGCTGCGTCGGCCTTTTCAGGTACTGCGGCGATGTCGGTCACTTCATCGATCTCCATCTTAGCAGTAATATCTTCAACCCGTAGCTCCGCGATTTGACTCGAATCTTGAGGTTGATCTGCTTTGTCGGTTGCGCTCTGCTCCGCAGAGTCGACTTCGGACCCTCTCCGGGACATGACGCTATTTTCTAGCATGAGATCAAGCTCCTTCAATTCTTGCTCGAAAGGCTTGCGGTTCAGTTCGCTCTCTTTCCTGATAGCATCTTCCAGTGCCGGCTGGATAGCTTTTATAATGCGCTTAGCCAATTTTCTCTTCTCACGCTGTTCGAGACTGAGTTCTGGGGCACGGCCGCTGATCTGCATCTGTAGCTCTGCAGTGTCCCCAGCTGGTTGAACACCAATCTCCGTGGTGAATTCCCGGGCAAGGTCGGCAGAGAAAGATGCCACTGACGAGTAGTAGCGTTCTTGGAGCTTTGCACGGATAGAGAACAGTCCTTTCTTGAAGATACCCTTCCCATCAAGCCTGCGAAGGACATTAGTAAAGGAAAAGTTAGTTAATGGAGCCAGCACAGCTGCTTACCCTTGAGCCTTTTCAAAGATAGGCCAGAGCAAAGGGAAAATAGGGAAGTAGACGGTGTCTACGATGCTCCGTAAAGTTTCCACGTCCTTCAGCTTTTCCTGTTCTCGTCTTCTGACTTCGTCGCACAGCGTCCTCAATTTATCCAGATCGTAGGAAAGCCTCTGGCCAAAATCGATGCGCCGCTGAAGTCGCTTGCTGCCGGTCACCCCCATCGCAACATAATCTCTCCTGGTCATCTCCATCGATGAGAAAGTCTCCAACTGCAACTGCAGCCGTTTCAGAAGCGCAGCACCTCGTCTTGCTTCGCGCTTAAGGGTCCAGTATTTGCAGGCATCTTCAGCAAATTGCTTCCTCTGCCGTACTCCAAATCGTTGGAGCGAAGCGCCGACCGAGTTTAGGACGACCTGAGGAATCACCGGAGCTCCGGACGGTAGCTTCCAGATCGTTTTAGGTGCAATCATTCGCTTGCGCTTGTTGCCACCAACAGTAAGAGTAATACGTGGTGTATGTGTCCGGTGCCCATCGTCCTCTCCATGCTCCCCGATATGGGAGTGGGAGGGTTCCAACGAGAGCGCCGCTGCTTGGCTATCTCCCCAGCGGCGACCCTGCATGGTGTTCCGATAGTACTCGATCGCATCGGCCGTGGCGGCATCGGTACCATGCTCCCTTCGCCATTCAGGCGGAACATGCTTATCACAGAAGGCCTTGAGGAGATGGGAGTCCATCACGGCCGGGGTACCATGGCCTGACTTCATTTTCAGATAGAGCTGGGCTCGTCGGGCGCACGTTACGTGGAACGCCACAAAACAGTTCTTGTTGCTACACTGGATAGATGCACCCATCCTCTGGCGACAGATATAGCAATTAAGTTTCCAGCGGCTTCGTGGCACTTTCTCGACGTCAGTAATCGGCTCCATTAAAGATGGGTTGCCGATGGAGACTTCCGGAATCCAGATAGCACACAGAAGATGGGACCATTTCGAGGTAGTAGTTTGTTTGAAGGCGCCCTCGGTGTTCGGACAGAAAATGCAGTTAACGGATCCTCGGCCTATGAGTTGACACTTGCGGCAAAGCCATTGTCCTTCGGGGATAAAAGGAACCCCATAGCATTCTTGATGCACCGCTAGGTCGCATCCATCGCAGAAGACAATCGCATTCGAGTTCTCGCAGTCGCCATCATCACAAATGGCACACTTGCTGTCCTGCTCCTCGCCGGGGGCAGTTTCCCCATTGACCGCGGCGGCGGAGCTCGAACGAGGGCGCTGCGTTTGCGGGGGTTTCGGATTCGGTTTTGGGATACGCTTCTCCAGAGCATACCACTCCCGTTCGATCTTGGTCATTGTGATTTCAAAGACCGCCGGCTTTATGGGCTCCAATTGATCTTCCTTCCGTTTCGCGTTGTAGTCGTCCAGCCACTTCTCATCCTGCTCGTCCATATCATACTCCACCCGGCCAACAGCCGCATTGACCTCCCCCTCTGAGGCAACGAGGTTGGTCAGATCTAGGTCATCTTCCTGCGCACACTCTGACATACGAACCAACCGCCGGTCATGCCGCAAAAAGAGGTCGCTCTCTTGATAGCCAACGCTAGCCATGGTACGGTCGACATAATTCTGCTGACCTACACCAGGTTGGTCATAGAAGGTGAATGGGTCCAGCAGTCGGAATGTGGGCTTCGGGAGGGTCAGCCTTTCGCGTGGATTGGGACCGGGAGGAGGAACGGGTTTCGGTTGCGGCGAGATGCCCAGAGCATGGAGGATAGCTTCGGGACGACGAGGAGGGCGCCCCGGGCGGCGCTTGATTGGCGTCGGCGAGGTGCCATTGGTGTGCGCTCGAATGAGCTCCGCGATCGGGTCCTTGTCGCTACTGTTATCCAGGCCGTTAGGCGATAGGATTTGAGCTATCGAAGCCGACGGTGGAGGGCCATCCACCTCTTCTGCACTGAAAACCGTGAACTTGGTGTCGATGTCCAGGTCTGGATGAAACTCCTCCCAGCCGCGTTCCTCGCGTGGTTTGTACCCATCTCCTTGTTGTAGCGCAAGGGCAGCCGCGGTCGATGAGCCGAAGCGGCCACGGTTCTGGCTCTTTTCTCGTCTCAGACGCACAGAAGGCGGCGTGGATGATACAGGAGGCGGCGGCGGCGGCGGCGGCGGCGAAGGAGGAGGAGGAGGCGGTAACTGTACGGGCTGAGGAGGCTCGGGTTCTGGAGCAGGAGCAGGAGCAAGGCGACTGCGTGAGCTCGAGGAATTGCGCCGAGCTGCTGGAGTGGTCTTTGGTTGTCTCGAAGCCGGTTCCTTCACTTCTAGTTCGATATACCGCCCTCCTCCACCGGGACCACCTGGAATATACTTCCGTTTCTTGAGGGGTGGGCCTTCCGAAGTGCTCGGATCCGAGCTCCGCGATGTTTTTAGGGCGACCTTGGTCTGGTTTCTCGAGGATCTACCCGGTGAGGAACGATATTTCGATGACGAGAGCGGCGCCATCTTCTCTGATCGGTAGGATCTGTGAAATCGGATGAAAGCGGCGTGTGGTTGTTTGTTGATGGACCCTCGCCCGAGCTCGCCGCTCAGCCTCACCGTGTGTGGGTTGTTTGAGGGAGGGAATTGTCGTAGGAAATCACAACCAACTAGACTGCGCCGTAAAGACGAATTATCACCACATCAGATAAGCCAGATAAGTATAGCATGACTCATCGGAAGAAAAGGGGGTTCGACTTGTAAGCACGTTAGGACGGGGAGGGCGACAAGCGAGAGGAAGACGCGCGACTACGACGAGCGCGAAAGAGACAAGCCAGCGAACAGCAACGGACGGGCTGAAGAGTGAATGAATGTCACTCACTCCCTCCTCCCGGGCTTATCAAGCCAAAGGCGGAGAGACAGACCCGCCTCTCCCTCTCCCGCGCAGGGGAACTGGAACTTCCGCCGCCGCCCGTCCACGGTCCCCTTCCAGCTCCCCCGTCATTCCATCTTCCTCTCACAATAAATCACCACAATTCTACACGGTTTACCCCGTGCTGGAAGAAAACAATATTGTTATCTGATCGTGCTCGGTGATTGATTGGAGACAAGCATGAGTGGTCCCGGCGAAGAGCGGTATGTTCTTAGTTCTCTCCATGTCCCAATTGCCCCGTTCCACTCCTCCCCCCAAAGCAGCTTTCCTCCCGATGACTTCTCTCCCTGCCCCGCGTGCCAACAGCATTCTTGGTGGCTGACCCATTCGACTCACTGTAGCAGTAACTGGCGCGGAGGTCGCCCGTACGAGCAGAACCGCCACGCCGCCCAGAGACATTCCTCCTCCCGAACAATGAGCGCCCATGGCAGCTCGCGAGGAGGGCCGAACACATGGAACGATTCCTCGCGCGAACAGCCTCCTCCTCCTTCTCCTGCCCCCTCTGGACCTCGGCAGGAACAGCACGTCCCCGTGCGAAACTTCAATGCTACAGAGTCGAAGGCGGCTCTCAGGAGAGGTATGCAGAATCTCCACTCGGAGTAGCTCGTCGAAAGTGCTATAGCTGACAACCCGCTCTTGCTTGGTTTTGTTGATTCCGCAGGCCCCGGAGGTACGCAACCCATCGCTATAAACAAATCCCCACGGAACCCATGTCCGGAGTTTTAAAGCACAAAACAAGAAACTGACCCGCGCAACATCGTCCCAGAACCGAGACCCTTCTTCTATAAACCGCAAGGCAAGGACACGAACAACAACCGGGCTAGCGGACCCTGGGGTGCTAAACGTACGTTATACAGCCTGTACCCATCTCACCCGCGCAGAAACCTACACTACTCCAACTTCCCGATTTACTTCTGACGAATTTGTCTAATGCATGAACCCGAAACAAACAGCGAATCAAATGGCCAACGGCAAGGATTTCTTCCTCGAGCTTCGGAAACAAGTGACGGCTCTCCGCCAGGGCAATCCTGTTGCAGGTGGATGAGTTTCTTTCTGTCAAATTCGTTCCGCCGAGGAGAAATCCTGTTCGGGGGTGTAGCCACAGGGACGCCCCTTGTATAAAAGCCACCGAATGCTTAATCCACACTAAGAGACGGGGGTGTAAACTTAAATGTGGTGGGAGAGAACACTCGAATCCTGCTCTTCATGTCTATATGTGAGGAGAAGTGCTAAATTCCTCTCGAGCCACTGCGCGAGATGACTTGGCACCGTTGAGACTTGCCAGTCTGGAACAATTGCAAGCTGGGATGAACAGTGGCGGCCCGGCAAACGATCGTTTCCATGATGCCCCATGCAAGGCCTGTAGGAAGCGGAAAAAAGCATTAGTTCTGTTATGAAACCAGGCAATGCATTCAGCTGTGAATCACTCTCAACTTTATTCATCCAATCATGATGCAAAGACTTCTTTTTTCCCATGGCATGGCTGTATCAATGGTCTGGAATCATGATGATACCCAATCAGGCGTAGTGATAGAACCCTAGTTTTCAATATACCTACATATGCTCCGATCAGGGAGCTGAAAGACCTGTAATATACAATGGCTATGACTAGTAGTGTACAACAGTGCAAGCGTGATACCCACGAATACACCCTATTATTTTATTCCTTCCCTTCCTCCTTGATCCACCCGCCAGGTCCCCAGAAGCCCCCATCCTTCGCGTTCGAATCGTCAGCAAGAGACCACTTTCTGAGCGCATGCACCGACAGATCCGTGCGCCAGCCAGCCTCGTACATCTCCATCCCCGCCCACGCGATCATCGCCGCATTGTCCGTGCACAGATACGGCGGCGGGGCATAGATCTGGATGTTTTGGAACCCGCGCACGTCCAGGAACGCCCGGAGCACGGTCTTAAGGAACTGGTTGGCCGCCACGCCGCCGCTGATGACCAGCGACTGGATGGGGGTCTCGTGAGGCTTGTCCTCGAGCGCGATGATAAGGCGCGAGGCGATGTGCTCGAAGCTGGTGCGCATGGCCGCGCGGGCCAGGGCCACCCGCTCGCCGTCCGCCCAGCCCTCGCCGGCTTCCTCCTTCCGCTTGATCAGTCGCTCCACGGTCGGTTCGATGGAGGTGAAGCTGAACACCAGATCGCGGGTGTTGGCGAAGGGGGTCGTGAAGGACCAGCCCCACTCGTTGGGTTCGGGGGCCTGGACCTCGTCGCGCCGGGTCGCCGGCGCGCGGTAGTCGGCGTGGTCGGCGCAGCCGTTGGGGAAGGCATATTGCTCCAGCGCTTTGGCGTACACGGAGTGCTGGGACGTCTCGATGACCGAGTCCGGCAGGATCAGACGCGCGGCTTTGTCGAGGGCGGACCCGACCGCGATGTCCAGCGTCGAGGCCAGGATCTCGTGGTTCGTGAGTGAGGTGGATTTCACCAGCATCGTGTGGCCGCCCGAGGCGAGGATGGAGATGAACGGGAACGCGGGCTTGGCCTGTTGTTGAGGGACTCCGCCGTCATGATGCGATCGGGCGTGCTCGGGGTCGTTCTCCGGGTTTTGATCCAGGAAGTATTGAAGGTGCGGTGTCACCAGATGAGCCTGCATGTGATGCACACCGATGAATGGAACCTGCCATGCCACGGAAAGTGCCTTCCCCGTATCCAACCCAACCAAGACATTGGTCCTCATTCCGGGGCCCCGCGTGGCGCACACGATGTCCGGTTTGCGTCGCGTTTCGTTGCCATTTGCCAGTGTGACTAGCTTGTGGAGGGGGGTATCGGCGGAGGGAGCCGGTGGTAAACTGGTGAGCGCCTTGTTGACGAGCTTCGCGAGGTTTTCTTGATGGGACTCGAGTGCGACGACCGGATGGATGCCCTTGTACGCCGTGGAGTCGCACGTTACTTTCTCATGGAAGTGGATTTTCGCATAGCCTTCCTTCTTTTCGACGATCGCAACCGAGGTGTCATCGCTACGTAAAGACCTTATGTCAGATTACTGTACTTCATCCTATGCGGCAGAACAGGGACCTTGAACGAACCAGGACGTCTCGATAGCGAGAGTGAGCAGCCCACGAGCCCGAGGCAGAACACTGCCCCTGGCAGCGGCCCACACGCTTCGCCGTAACGCGAAAGGAGATATTCTCGTAATTATTGACATGGGGGAACTAATGTGAGCAGCGCATAGGACAAGTCAAGATTCTATCGCCTGTCGGCGGCGAAAGAAGCGGTCCGGAGGTTTCCTCGCACGGGCCACAGGAGCCCTGAAATGCTGCCCTAACGGGACCGAAGAGGAAATATGTCTGGCGGTCAGTAGCAATAGGAACCATTCTACAATTGTGGCCCATACAAATCTTAGTTCATATGTGAGAGACAATGATTGTAGTGAGCATGAACGAATGTAATTGGAATACTCCAGGATATGCCCGTATGCTAAGTAATTGGACGCCAAATCATATCATCACGTCATAATCATAACAGAAGTCATATACACGCTGAGAGACTGCACTTCAACTCTCTCTTTCGGGATGCATCAAGTTCATATACCTTACCAGCGCTGAGATCTGATGGCCACAAGATGACCTCAGATCAAGGCCATGACCCACCCTTGCCCTTAATGTACAGAATCGGCATGTCGAAGTGGTGTCGGGGTTGAGTATGGGAAAGCTGTGCGCGAGGTCGAAGCCAAAGCCTTGATCTCACGTTGACCCTTCTTGGTGAGCATTTCTTGTCACTGTGCTCACCGCTGTACTATTCATCTAGAAGCTCAGGAAGCCCAATTGAAATCGTGTCCAGTTCAATCCCGTACAACCCAGCGTCGTTCCTCCCGCGACAATTTGGTGTAGGTGCCGTAATACTCCTCTGGATTCTCGATCGGTGTCACGCAATGAACAGTCGGAGTGCCCTTGAACTGAATCCGTTTGTCTGAAGAACTGGGGGCACCTGGTGCGGAATGTTTCTTGAGAATGCTTTTGGAGGCGCAGGCGTTGTCGTAGCCGAAGGACGGCACCTGTAATGTCGAGAATCGCTTTGCGCCTGGGCTCGCCGGGGAGATTGGCGTTCGGGGAACAGCGCCAGGCGATTTCAGAGGGAACGACGAACGAGAGGCATTCTGTGCCGCAGAGATGCTTAACGAAAGCTTAGGCCGAGCGTACATCTTGAATGATAATTGACAGACGAGGGATAGAAGGTGGTTATGTTCGTGCGAGAGATGTAGAGGATGCTCTGAAATTCAAAACGATGAGCGCAGTGAACTGATTGGCAGCAGAACTTTGATCAACAAAGTGTCCACTAAAGCAGGCGTGTGAATGATACTATTATTATTTATTGACGTCAAGGAGGAAGAAGCGAAGAAAACAAATAGCTTGCTTGGGCCAGCCAAACGAACTAGACAGAGACAAAAATAGAATCAAAAGAAAAACTGCACAACCTCAAACAGACGGCGTGTCAGGAAAGAAGAAGGGTTCGAATGCAGGCGACTGCTGAGCGGCTATATAGCTGGTCGGTGGCCTTCGATCATCCAGGGGAGGGTAGAGAATACTGAGATGGAGAGAAAGAGGCTTCAGGCATGAGTGGGAGTCAAGGTGGAGGCGGGGCCAATCGCCGCCGCTCATCACACTCTAAGCGCCCAGCAACTGCACAACCAAGCACATCACCACCCCTCTATCACGCACTAGCCAGAAAACGCAGGCTATGAAAAGACTACTTACTGTTTGCCACCAAGTCAACTAAAAGTGTGAGCGGCCGATGATGGTCTGTGCAAGGTTCCTATTCGGGAGTCGAGTCCGCGAAGTCCCTAGATCCACCAGTCGAATTCCCGATATTCATACGAGGACATGGGATGGATGTCAGGTCCGCAGAAGCAGAAACAACGAATGAAATCGATTTCTGTCCTATAAACTTTGGGGTGGTTGCTCGGTGCTGTTACACCTGCATAACAGGCACATCAACATCACACCCTTCCATGTGATGGTTGGGTTCCGTGACCCATCACTTGTCCTTCCCGCAAAAATCCCATGCATAATCAAACAAACTCTAGCATGCCGGCATGATTACTGCCACTATTCCGTACGACGCGCAGAACCAGCTTGTTTTGCCGAGCCAGAGATAGCCTGTGAGCTCATGAATCTCTCTCCCATTCCGACGTAGCTCTTATCGGGTCTGTGTCTCTGCATCGAACGGACAATCCCATGCACTGTGGTAGAAAGAGGACGGCTTCACGTATATTCTGTAGCTGTGTAAAGGATCCCTGCTTCCCTTGTCATTACCTATTGTGTACTCGGGCACTTTCCTCGCTCGCTGAAGCAAATGATGGTTGCTGATCCTGGCATGAGAGGTCGGTTTTGTCGCCAAGGGTCACGTTCATCTACCAACGTGTTAGGTAGCTGTAGAGGTGAAGTGAGCCTGCTCGGATGGCATGGAACGGGTCGGAATGCCCATGTAGATGCACATCCATTGCGATTAACCGACCCCATCAACCATGCTGATCTTCACCAGAGGATTCGGAATTTGTCCGCCTGAATAGCACCCGAAGCTGAATTCTCGATGTACTTTTCTGTCTCGGCTCCTCGTCTATGACCGTTTCATCATCGCGGCCCACCGTTCTGTCTTCGTCCAAAATGTATTTCCACTTTCCATCCGGCGTCTCCAGTCTATCAAGCTTATACCTCTTGTCGAGATCTGCAAAGTGCTTTCGTCTTTCATCGTCACTCCATGCATATGTGCCCTTGAAATCATCCAAGATCCGGCTCTGGATAATCCAAGGCATGATGGAGCCGATAGATCGTGGAATCCGTGGGAATCGGAACCGATATCTTCTGGTAATGAAGACTGATGCCACAATACAGGCGTCAAATACCACTATTAGCATGACACAGATGAATGACAGGACAGATGGGTAAACCGCCCAGGACATATGATATATGATTCCATTTGAGATGTGGGCGGGAGTATCGAGGTGACGAAAATAAGCGTCTCTCTTGAGGGAGAGATCGGTCGCAAACATGGACCGGTAGACCGAGCGAGCAGCAGTTTTGAGTACACCGACGTCGATGTCTGATGTGTTAGAGTTCATCAATTCGTAAAGACTCACTGTCAAGCTGCCGAAGTAATCAACCTGGGTGGAAGCATTTTGATCCTGGAACGAGCCGTTTGAAAGGACAGGACTAGATAGTCTGTGGTTGTAATTGATCAGATTTGAGGTCCCATTCTCTAACATCGGACCATCGGCAATAATGGTATCATTAAGTGGTATATGGTTCTGTATGAAGCCTTGCGAATTCCAGGCCACTGAAAAGTTCTGCATGACGATGAACGATTCGCAAATCATCGCGACTGTGTTGGCACTTGTTATCTCGGTATGATCGCTGTCGCTTGGCTGGGCGACCACCAATACAGTTGGTTTATGGCAACCTTCAGCTGCTTCGGTAGGTGTTGAGGCGTAAAAGTTGACCAACATACTGACATCCTCCACGTTGTTTGTATCTCGTATTGCGTCGATTTCGCATGTTATGCTCGACTCGTTGATTGGGGAATAACTCCAACGGCCAACATTGGAGCCGGGATCTTGGGTGAAGTTATCCGCAACTGATAGCCCTCGACAGAGTATGTCGGCACCCACACCCCGCAAAGAGCCACCGATAAGCCAATCTGAAGAATTGTTTGTCCAAGCTGGAAGAAAGGAGTGGCTGGAAGTTGTCCATGGTAACAGAGAGGACCCACTGTAGATACTCGTCCGCATAGTATCGAGTTCTGGAAGCACTGACGATGGCTGTCTGATGGCGAATGACTCATAGCTATACCAGGTCTTCATATCAGTATCCGCGGTTGTTGGGCCAAGGTCATGATGAAACAATCCGTTGACTAGAACACTCAGTCCGGTATTGACAATACATGCCACTCCCACAAGCCCGAGTAGGATATGATTATAGTTAAACCAATTGAAGAGTGAGGCAAATGGATTCAATGACCCATACTCAAGCAGTAGAGATGAGGCAGCAGATGCTCCTCCCATCTGAAGGACAGACCATGGTTCCAAAACGCTCAAATAACGGTATATTGAGAGGCAGATCGCACGTATGATAGACGCGATTGATGATGGAATCAGGGAGAATAGAACCCCTATGCTGCTTGAACTGACGAAGGTCAATGGAATAACATATCCATTTTTCACACACAGTGCGATCACAGTTGCAAGACCTGCAACTGCCGCGGCAAAAATGAGAAATTCAAGGCCAAAGATCGGGATCAGGAGGAAATGAGGTCGTGGATCAGACCGGGCTTTTGCAGCTCTTCCTGGGGAGCGAGGCACTGTTTGAAGTCAGTACCATATTTTGACAATATGGAATTCATGACATACCATGCGATGGCTCGATGCAGATACAGGGAGGTTCTCTGTCCTGTTGCCAGCGACAATTGTAATTCTGAAGGATAGATCTTAACTGCCTTGTCGACAGTTCATCAAGATTCATATGAGAGATTTGCGAGATATCGATAATGTCTGCCATGATGCCACACATCGACGCAATAGATGCAGGATCGCCTCGAAGCAGGTTTGGCCGGCGTGGGTAAGCGTAGGCCAGGTATAAAATCACTATCACGCTCAGCGAAAGTATCGCCTCAGACATAAGGGACTGCCACGGTCCAACCATGATAGCCATTTGATGTGTCACATGAGACGCCTGGACATAATTAGATTGAGCGCAGACGTCGAATATTCGGTTCATCAACGGTACGAAGGCTTTCTGGATGCCCCCGTTGAGTCTCCAGATTAGATTATCTTGAGAAGCAGACAGTCCGACCAATTCCCTGTTCCAAAATGAGGTGCCGTTGTTTGCGAGTACTTCTGCCAAAATAAGGTTTTTGAAATGAGTGGTGTTCAAGGTTACCCCTGAAACATTGCTCATAGTATCTGAATGCAATGCGGTGACGGACAATGATCCGTTAGCTTGGAGTGAAATGCTGGCCTCTGATGTCCGGTAGAGAATCTGGCAGCCAAAGCCGCTGACATTATGCGTGTAGTCAGAGCCCTGTATATTCGACCAATTGCTGCTGATATTCTCGGTGGTTTGATTCAGGCTGATTTCAAGAACGACACCCACGAGGTCAATAGCAGCGCACGTATCATCAAGACCTGATGCATTTAGAACTGGCTGCCAATGCGATATCTGCAATGAACCATTGGTGGATGGTATGGAGATTGCTTCACTCAAATGCATCGAGCAATTTTCTGAAGTTAATGATGTAACGGACATGTCCCAAACGGCCGATCGATCATATAGCGAAGCTGCCTGTGAGCCGGTTCGATTCGTCAAGACATCGATGACCAGATCATCCTCCACTGTCAAATCAATACAAGACAGCTCTGCCCAGTAGACGGACTGGGTGAGTTCCCACTTCGCCGTATCATACTGGATATCCCAGGGAATATTTACTGGCGCCATTGCATACTTATCTGAGTCCGGTTCATCGTAAGTCAGATATCGGTGATCCCGAGAGGCTGTGTGATTCACTGTTGAGTTGTATGACACGGACGCTTGCCCTTCGCTATCGATCAACTCCGGCCATATCTCAAGATGTTGACTGCTGTAGACTGTGGCGTCATCCATTCTAAACAGACTGCTCTGAAGTGAGGGAAAAACCAGTTGCAAAAGGACACTCAAGATCGAGATGAAAACTGCCATCCAGTGTCGATTCTTGAATGCGAAGAATGGGGCGGTGGTAAAATGGCCGAACTCATAGTTCAGCAAAAGTACCTCGGCCGATACTCCGTTTGGCTTAGAAAGTTGAAAGTATGGCTCCAAACGAAGAGCATCATACTCGACGACAGACCATAGGATGGCCACAATCATGCCCAAGATGCTCGGAACATAAGTGAAGATGAAGTTTCGAGCAATGGTGATCTCATCGGAGTCAGTGAAAATATCAAGTCCGCCTGTGTCGTTACCCCACTGCCGAAGTACTTCTGTGACAATCACCATGGACGCCATTAGGCCAGCCAAGGGGAACAAGTACCGACAACGCAAAGTCTGAGGCAGCCATCCTGAATTCCGAGTCTGAGGAACATGCCCAGTAGTTTGTGACATTGTTCAGCTTAGCAGTCTCGAATCAATGTGGTATCGATAAGCGGAGTGCTGGTGGGCATCGAGAGCGAGCCAGTACAAATTCAGGACCGAATCCACATGGCTGACCGTCGGAGTGTCAAGATCAGATTTTTGGGAGCATAACTGATGGCATAGCCATTTGAAACGTCTAGTCAATCGATTATCACGACAAATTTATGCAGCAACCGATCTATGAAGAAGATACGATCAGGTTCCTTCTCAACGAAAAGCCCATGGCAGCATGTAAAAGTGAGGTTGACGGAAACGAGATAAGGCCGAACTGGGCTGTGTCCAGGGAAATCTGGCCAAGCGCCGAAGAGACCTTAGATAAGTCTCAGGACGGGCGGGTGGGCTGCGTGACGCCTTTAGGATACTATTGGTGCACTCCTGCGTGGATCCCGCCGGGGCTAGTGATGCGTAGCTGTGAAATTATGCGATGATGATGATGGGGCGGGCTGCGCATTTTGCCCAGAAGGCTATGGCTCCTGAGAGGGTGGTAACGCGATTATCTAGACCATCAGTGCTCACCTTAACAAATATAAATATGGCGTTATGGTACTGAAGTCATAATCCTAACGGGTCGAACTGATAAAGACCTTAGTTTGAGGGGACCTAATCCATTTCTTCGCCACATGTTTCGACAGGGGTTGTGGGTCGCGGGATTCGGTTTATTCAGTAATCGCCTGAATTGAAGAAACAAGCATTTCGGAAAGAGAAAGCGGGAGACAGTGATTGAAAATGAACACGGGCAGACAGGGGTATCAATCATTAATTCGTTAAGGTATGCACCCCAGGTCAGTCCTCTTGGCAAACAGTGATGGTCAACCTGCATGTTTCAATGCATTCAAGTAGGCAACCTCACTTCAGATCGTTTATTTGGAGGGTATCTTTGAGTCTGCCCAGATTCATTAGCCTCGCGGAATATGCTACACCCGCTAGAATCTGCCAGAAAGGTTTGAGTTCGACACTCATGCCTCTGAAGAAGGTCTGGATGCATGCTCGAGGTAGTCTTGCTTACGCTGGCCCAGTCAAGTCTCAACGACTGAAAACTGTGGCTTGATGACCACAATGCCATGATCGCCAGTGTGTTTTTTAAGCTTGGCTTAGCTTGGATGGGGAAAAGGTCCACTCCCGGTGGCCTTGATCATGCTCTCAGCCCAGGTCTCCAATCCCTGCTTTTGTGGAAAGTCGACGGGCTGTTGCACTGCATTGCTATCCATGCTGATGTGCTTATGATTTCAGATAAGAACCGAATCAAAGCCGGTAGGCCATCATGGGATCTGGCGACCAGAGCTACCGTCACGGGTGCTTGATGTAGTTGCTGGAAGCTGGCAACATGTCGTTGACCTTTACATTGGACAGCCAGCCATGCAAACATATCAAAACCCATGGGTCAGGCGTCCAGAATGACAGCGAACGGCAGCCACGGTCGGATGCGACTCCCCCCCAAAGCCTCAATATCTCCCCATCAAATGTGCCACTCTTCAGATCTCTGGGGCCCTGGTTTAGATTTCATGAAGCCCATTATACCACTTTCAGGATCCATGTTTTGAGGTTGATTAAAAGGCCTCGATCGCGAACCGAACAAGGCTGGACAAGGCTGGATCGAGTGACGTCAACAGTCTCATTTTACAGTCTCCTTAAACTAGTGTTCCCAGGCATCCGGCCCGCAGAGAGCCAAGTCGAATGTTGAAATAAAAGCCCAGTTCAGCAAACGTCCCTACATCTTTACAACCTATATCGTTGCTTGCAATTGTCGGTCTTTCAACACAATGGGCGGTCTCCAAAATCTTCTGGAGCCTGGAGGTAAGTTATACCCATAGGATCCCCGCAGCCATTCGAATTAGTGACTGATGTATATTCTACAAGTACAGCGATCGTCGCGGTTTTCACCACTGGAACTTTGATAAACCGACGCAGGCATGTCAGATCGCCGGAAATCCCCAGTGTTGAATCACCGTTGCTTGCGGATGGTCTTGAGGACGTGAAGCCAAATACGGACGACGAACGTTCGCTCCGCAACCGCCGGACACCTCAGTCTCGTCTTCTAGCACATTTTCCCTTCCTGCTGGAAATATTGTACTGGCTGCTCACATACTGGGTATGATATGCTCACCCGTATATGTAAGGGACGCAATCTAACTTAAGACTCAAGATCTACCAAGGGCTGCGGGCGTTCTCTGCCCGAATGATTGCCGGCCACAAGGAGATCTTCGACACGGCTGAGCGCCATGCTATTTCGATCCTTCACCTAGAGCATTTCCTCCATCTTGACGTCGAATTATCGGTTCAGAGATACATCCTCAACGAGATTCCGTGGCTCATGCCCTTTTTGGCGCGAGTATATTATTCGCATATCGTTCTTGGAGTGGTATTTGTGGTTTATTGCTATACCTTTGTTCAACGTGACAAATACCAGGCGCTCCGACGCACGTTGGCATTTGAGAATGTCATTGCCTTTACGATCATTACTCTGTGGAGGTGCATGCCCCCGCGTCTCCTGCCCGAGGAGTACGGGTTTGTCGATGTCCTGCACAGTAACAAGGGCGGTTCGGCTTGGACGCAGAACAAGTTCCAGCTCACGATCGCAGCGATGCCTTCGCTTCACTTCGGAAACTCCATGTTCATTGCGCTGTGTCTGCTCAAGTTCAGCCCTCATTGGTACCTGCGAATGATCGCGCCGTTGTGGCCCATGATGATGGGTCTCACGATTGTTGCGACGGCCAACCACTTCATTTTGGACGCTGTTGTTGGTGCATGTGTGGTACTCACTGCTTTTAGATTCAACCGCGTCATGCTGAGTCTGCTGCCGATAGAGAGAGCGGTTTTTAGATTGCTTCGCCTAGAGAAGCCTTGAACTTATAGAGGGCGATGGGATGATTGGGTCAGCCATTGGACTCGAGACCTCTATATTTTTAGGGATACTTCGTCTTTCCGGGATGCGGCCATCAATATGTATGAGTATCGCACTCACGAACAGAACTTCAGTTACGAACCCACCGTGTATAACAAGAAGATAGACAGTGATTCCTGCATTTTTAAAGTAGCTTGGTAGTCTGCAGCTAAGCATTGCCAAGACTTAAGAATCTCAGAAGAAAGTAATAGAGTGTCAGGGACTTTGCGAGTGACGTGAAGTACAGTACATGTGCGACAGATAATAATGTAAATCATATAGCCTTGTCGACAGACGATTTGCGACCTGGATGTGATGCCCTCGTTTAGTCAGCTCCAGCCATGCTGAAATATATAAACCCAGGTCATCGAACGCACACAGAGTACAGTACAGTACCCAGCGCAGGCCAATGCAATGCTAATTCGCACCCCATCCTCTCATGGACAAACTCGACATCCGATGGTCTCTCGGACTTGAGCCACCTTCTGCTAAGTAGTAGTAGTCGCCGAGCGTGTCTTGGTTCTCCTTAAAATGACTGGATCAAGAAGGTCGAAAAGAGCATCATGTCGCGTGATATAGCCCAAAGAGGCAAGTCAATGACACGCCGCGCAAAACAAGACGAGATCTAGCTGCCACGGCTCCCCCGAGTAGACTAAGTTACCTTTTAGGAGCAGCCCGCCGCGGGACTCGCATGTACTGTACGTAGTACTCGCAAGGTTTCACGGTAGCTAAGCAGGGACCTCTTCCCCCTTCCCCTGCGCAGGGATCCCGTCCGGCATTGATCGGTATACTACGGAGTACACTAGTCTCTTTTTATGTGCCGGTGGTGAAAATCTAGAGATAGATGCGATGCTTGAGCTGACCTCGGAGCTACTCCGCAAGCATTAATAGTGAACCCTCCGTCCACCCCCCTGCACAGTTGCCATGATCACTGCATACTCAAAGTATTTTAGTATCGGGAGTAAGTGAGCCTTAGCTCCGGAGCAGAAATGTCCCCGTATTCCTTGGCTGGCTCAGGACTCGAGCTGTTCGGAGCAACTGCGACAACTCCCGACATACTGCTTGGCCATTCCACTTGTTCAAAGTTACTGCCAGCCAGGGCTTGTTTAGAGACAGGAAGGGTGATGACCATTGCCTGCCTGCTCAGTGCTGGATACTTAGTTCGACCTCTGGCATCAACCCCGGAATAAATCGCGAACAAACTTTGAGCCCGCTGCCCAGCTGGCACCGACTTACGGGGTAAAAGCAATTTCTTAGGTAAGAACAACCCGCCCTGCAACAACCTCCGTCCTCCCTCGTCTTATTCCGACGTCCCGCCGCGTTGAGACTCCACCGACTCCGGACCCTCCTTCTCTGGTGGGCAAATCACTTCGAGGCTCTAGTTGTCATTCGCGGGTCCTTCGAAAAACAATCGGGCCGATGGTGCGTGCCTAGTGTCGAACGAGAATGTCATGTGAAATGGGCAAATGAAATCATTGCCTTGTTGAAGGGCTGAGTGTGTGGATTTGATTCTCTTACGGGGGGGGGGTTGGAAAGTTCAATACGTGTACGGAGTACTGGAGAGTGGTCGACCGGACCAAAAGTTAACCCATCGCCCTACCGTGCGGCGGCTGCCGATCCACGCCTGGAATTTCGAATCCGAACATTGGCCACCTGCGCCGAGATCGGGTACTGGGCTGTGGCCTGTGGTCCTCCAGACTCATACCATTGTTCTCTGCACACATAGCGCATATCCATACTCCGACCTGTGCGAGGTGCCGGAAGTAGTAGGGAAATGAAGTCAGTGGTTAGAGAATCCAACAGCTATTTCTCGAAATGATTCAATTTCCTTCTTCGCACAGCGCAGTTTTCGGATACGCATGCATTATGACCAACCTCCTCCGTGTTGATAAAGCATCATCTTCCACGTTGGAAATGTTCTGCTTCAGGTCGCTGTGTTTCCTTTTGTTGGGTTTGGGCCCCAGGCCCCAGTTGTCGATGGACATCGAGTCCCGGGTGGCCAGTCAATGTCCCAGTGTTACCGTGTGGTACGCCCCCCCATGGAAAACCGGGTGGTCCATAGCCATGGCAAAATCCGTGAGGGGCGCTTGGCTGGTCCCTTGGGTCTTTCGCCTCCGTCCATTGTTTTGAGTCACTCTGTTCGCCAGGGCTGGGAGGCAAAGTGAAGATTTTGACAGTTGATCTGTGCTTAAATTGGAACCTTCGAGGACAAAGCCACCATGAATCTCAATGGAAACAAGCACAGTAGGGCATCAAAATTTGGAGATCTGGTAGACCAAAGGGGCTCGAATTGCCGCCGGAGATAAGCCTGCGTGCCTGCTTGCGAGAGCCACCCTGGCCCAGCTGACCCGCGCTCGGCCTCAACTCCGATGGCACCCCCAAAGAGAGAGAAGGAGGAGGGAGAGGGAGGTTAAAGGCCTCATCGGGCCGGTTAATTACTAGATAACATGCGCTAAACCAGAGGCGGTGACGACTGCTGATGAGCGATTCGTCACTAGATGTTGTGAATTTGTGAGTAACCAAAAGTCAGCAGAGTCTTTTATCCGATAGTCAATAATAAAAGCATGCATGAACAAAAAAGGAACTATGGGGGAGAAAGAGGAGAAAAGAACGCAATGAAACAACTGTAAACACTACTCCATAGACACTAGACATTAGGTAGAAGACTCTCACTTATTCTCCAACTTCCCATCCACAGTTTCCAGCTGTCACATCTATGATTCACACTCCAGATTCAGCATACTAATTGATCGATCAACCACTGTTTAGGCTTTGGAGCATTTCTCCCCCGTTATTTTTGTCTGGTCTCCCCGTCTCCACTCACTTTTCTTATCCCCAGCCCCTTCTTCCTCCGACTTCTCCCTCCACCACCTGGGTTAATCACCCTCTTGTTGTTCAGTTATCTTTGTTGGCTTAGTCGGCGCATTCTCTCTTTTGGGATTTGAATCGATTGTTTTTGGTTTCACTTCTGTCTCTTTTGCATTTCACCATGACCAGCGTGAAGGACGCAGTCAAGGAGTCCTTGGTCGGCAGCTCCTCGGAGCCTCAGCCGTCGCAGCAGATCAAGAGTCATTTCCTGCGCCACGCACGCAAAGATGAGGCATCAGGAGATCTTTACATGACGGAGGACGACTTCATCGATGCGATCGCTCCCAAGCACGAGGACTATGTAAGTAATTCGAATTTCGCCGCGCATTCTGTTTGTTGTGAGCCTTCGCTTTATGTGTCATACGACTAGCCGTGATCCGAGCTCTGGCTAATTGACGGATTCTCTTCGTGAAACCGCAGCACAAGATCAAACGCGAACACTATGGGATTTTGTTCCTCGTTGCCGACAGGCGGAGAACTGGAAAGCTCACTCTCGCCGATTGGGCTACCTTCGAGAACCTCCTGGGCAAACCGGACGCCGAGTATGAAATCGCCTTCCGCCTCTTTGACACAGAAGGAACTGGCTCGGTGAAGTGGGAGAACTTCCAGCACTTTTACAACCTGAACAAAACTAGCGACAGCATACCTTTCGATTGGAACTCAGAATGGGCCTCCCTGTACACTGGACGGACAAAGACCAGGCATGATATGACGTATCCCCAGTTCGCTCAGATGCTTCGCGGTCTGCAAGGCGAGCGCATCAGACAGGCCTTCCACGTGTTTGACAAGGACGGTGATGGTTACATTGAACCCGAGGACTTCCAGCGCATCATTCTTGAGACGTCGAAACACAAGCTGTCCGACTATGTTCTCGAGAATCTCCCCAGTCTGTGCAACATCTCGACTGGCACAAAGATCTCCTATGCTACCGTTCGTGCTTTCCAGAACATCATGCGCGAAATGGACATGATCGATGTCATTGTCCGCGAAGCGAGCAAGAAGAGCACCGATGGCAAAATCACGCGCGCTGATTTCCTCAACGAGGCTGCCCGCGTCACTCGCTTCTCTCTGTTCACTCCGATGGAGGCCGATATCTTGTTCCACTTTGCTGGACTGGACGCGCCTTCGGGACGCCTTTCGCAGAAGGACTTCGCCAAGGTTATTGACGCTTCATGGCGCATGCCCTTCGCGGTTGCTGGTCAAGCGGCAACGATCGCCTCGGACAAGGCTCATCAGGTGGCTGACAAGACCAAGTCGGTCCTTTACAACGTTCTCGAGTCCGTGCACCATTTCGCACTCGGCAGTATTGCGGGTGCCTTCGGTGCCTTCATGGTTTACCCCATTGACCTTGTGAAGACTCGCATGCAGAACCAGCGATCAACCCGTGTGGGAGAGAGACTGTACAACAACTCGATCGACTGTGCCAGGAAAGTTATACGTAACGAGGGATTCCTCGGACTGTACTCTGGTGTCATCCCTCAATTGATTGGTGTTGCTCCCGAAAAAGCCATCAAATTGACGGTGAATGATCTTGTTCGTGGACATTTCACCAACAAGGAGAATGGAAAGATTTGGACCGGCCATGAGATCCTGGCTGGTGGTACTGCAGGAGCCTGTCAAGTTGTAAGTTTGAATCTCCCAAAAAGTAAGCTATATTGATCAGTGGGCTAAACGATTTGCTCTAGATCTTCACCAACCCCCTAGAGATCGTCAAGATTCGTCTGCAGGTTCAGGGTGAAATTGCTAAGTCCGTCGAGGGGGCTCCGCGTCGCTCTGCCCTCTGGATCGTGAAGAACCTGGGTTTGGTCGGTTTGTACAAGGGTGCAAGTGCCTGCCTGCTTCGCGATGGTAAGTGATCCCAGGCAGTGTCCTCGGTTTATCCGTCTCCTTCCCAATCCGCTGGTGCTGACTTGGACACTTCCAGTTCCCTTCTCCGCGATCTACTTCCCGACATACGCTCATCTCAAGTCCGACTTCTTCGGGGAATCCCAGACCAACAAGCTTGGTGTTGTGCAATTGTTGACTGCCGGTGCCATTGCTGGTATGCCTGCTGCTTATCTCACTACGCCTTGCGATGTCATCAAGACCCGCTTGCAGGTGGAAGCCCGTAAGGGCGAAGTCGGATACACCGGCCTCCGTCATTGCGCCGCCACCGTCTGGAAGGAAGAAGGCTTCAAGGCCTTCTTCAAGGGTGGCCCTGCCCGTATTCTTCGTTCATCTCCACAGTTTGGTTTCACATTGGCTGCATATGAGGTTCTCCAAAAGATGCTTCCCATGCCCGGCGATCACGAGGAGGTCTCGCCCGCTGGACACGTCGAACCCGGCGTCGGCCTGACCACTGCCAAGGCACCGCTTCCCTATCTCCGATCCAGAAACGCTCTTAAGCTGATCTTGGACGTCGACGAGAACATTGGCCGCGTTCGGGTCCCCACCGCAGAGCGCTGGCCCAAGTTCCTGCAACCATCCCAGCAACAATAGACACGTACGACCTTTGTTTACATAGCGATGATTGGCTTTCTCTTTCTAATTTCCCCTTTGTCTTGAATGAAAATAGTGTTTGTTTCACCCTACCCCATTTCATTGCAGCCCTTCCCGTTGTCACTGGATCTTTTCTTGGCCTGGTTGGAGCAATGACCGCTTCTCGCTGGTTCCTCCAAGTTCCATGTCCACATCCACACTACTACATGTAACAAAAGCAGATAGACTCGAGAGGAGACTCTTGTTACCAGACCGCTGTTTGGGTATCTAGACCTTTTTCTTATTGACCTCGCCGACGTCTGCAGTCCTTCGGTGATTTCCACATCTGTTGTCTGTTCCTCTTTCCACATACATAAGGACGTCACATATCGGTGTACAGGTACCTGATTTGGTCATCTCTATCCTCAAAAATCAATCAACTAGAAGGTTTCGAGAATACATTCATGTGATCATACTGCCTCGTGAAGACTATCCATCATTGGCTATACTTCATCCTCACCACCCGAATATATCTGCAATTGGATAAGGGGTATATGGTAAGTTAAAATACAGGACCGTCATGACTGCGGACTATAGGTACAGGGAACTTCGCATAAAAACAGGTCTTTAAGCTCGCCGGTGGGACATGTGAGGGTACCCGACCAGATGATTTGTGGTTGTGGTGACATGGGAGTGATATCACTAGGGAAACCCGACACAGGAAAACAGGATTCCCCCTTCTCGATCTGTATATGTACATAGGTCGTGCGGAATTGACCGTAGGAACGTGTCGGGTGTAAGTGTAGGCGAGAATATCATGAAGGGCTTGCTTATCAAGACACGGATCATATCTACCTGCATTACACATGTCAGCCACGTCATTACGTTGAACCGCAGATCATGCACTTACACATCTTTCGACCATGCTGAGAGTGGTTCAGGCAGGCTTTATTGTCACAAACAAGACCACCGTTATAGAAAGACCATGTCATGCCACGGGTGACATATCGGCGGGCGGCGGCCTTGGCCTTGCATCATCAGTCCTCAAATCGACAGAAGCTACTTCAGAAAAAGTTGAGCTTCCTCTTCGTCTCCGAATTGGCTGCCGGTTCTGCATTCGTAGGGGTCTCGGCAGGTATAACCGGATCCTTTGCGACAGGCTTAACCGTCTCTTCCTTCACCTTCTGGGGGGTTTGCGCGGAGTCGGGCGTGGTGGATTTGCGATGCCACAGTGAGTCTTCATCTTCAATCTCACGAAGAACTATAGAATGGGGGACAACCGAAGTCAGCCGATGCCAAATCTTCCCTCCTTCGAAGAAGGGGAGAATATCAAGAAAAGAAAAGTGTAGACCGACCTTCCTCCCACTCTCTCTCCTTGGCCTCGTTGCCCGTTCCAAGAAGCTTCTCGACGTCCACCACCTCCCCGTTATTGACCTTCTCGATCACCTCCCGCAGGAGCCGGATCTTCGCATCCGTCGACCGGCTGTACGCGGCGTAATCGTTCTTGAGCGCGATCATGCGGATGGCCTGCGATCCGATGAGGATGAAGATGATGATGTAGAAGCTGGCGGGGTTCCATTCCTTCGACTTGGGCGTGTAGGGCTGGCCTTTGCCGGTGAAGCGGTTGCGGATGAAGGCCGGAATGAACGTGGTCCATACGTCTGCGTGCGCGAATCGGGGTATGAAGCGGGAGCCGCCGCTGGAATACGGGCGGCTTTCGTGTAGTAGTTGTGATGTTGAAGGTGACGACGGGAATCGGATCTGCGCAGCCGCAGCTGGTGGTCTGCGGATGGGGTGGGTTCTGGTTGACGTTCGGAGGGCGAGTCGAACGGGATTCATGATTATTGAGGCCATGGGCTCAAATGAGATGTGCCTTGCGACAGCGGAGGTTTGACGAGGTCAATTCGGTCATCCAAAGGCGATTCCGTTGGAATTCGATCCAAGTCCCGGGTACCATGTACTCGATGCCTGAGGCCCATTTGGCAGTCGGCGGGCACGAATCTTACGCTAAGCCTGTCTGGGAATGGTGGAGGGGGTTGTTGCTGCGACAACGCGGGTTTGCTTGGCTTGCCCGTTCGGATGTCATAACCACATTGGAGTGAGTGAGGGCCAGGCTCGATCTTCCATCTTCGACTGACAGACGCCAATTCCGCCGACAACAGTGTCTGCAGAACACTCCCGATTTCTCTCCCCCCCGGCCAGCCATGACGGTTGCAACACTTCTTCCTGATTCCACCTTGGAATCAGTGAAGCTGGCCGTCCGCTCCAGTTCGACATGCTCGACGGCCACCGTGCTATCCCTCCAAACACTCCTCCGCGGGACATCGAAAGCGCCCACGGACGCGGAACCCACCACAGTGAGACGAGCGGCACGAACAACAAAAGCCTCGACTACAACTACTACTACGATTACGAGAACAAAGTCAACAAGGGGAACAAGGACGAAAGTTTCTGCGGCGGAAGCAGCAATCAACACTGTGGTGGAACAAGATGCTGCGCGTATATCAAACCAAGAGAAGCTTGTTCTGGCCACAGAAGTATTCAACACGACACTCAAGACCCTCTCAGAGGCTCTGAATTTCAACACCAGCACAAAACGAGAAGATTCTCGCGCGTCGACGCCACGCGATTCTACCTCTGTTACCCGCGGCGTCACGAAATCACCCCGGAAAACGAATGCGACCGCCCTTGAGAATGGTATCCCCGCCGTGGCTGCGTGTGCGGCTACATCTTTAGCCTGTTTGAGGACTCTGAAGAGTGACCAGGTCGATGGGGGGTTGAGCATGCAGCTTGAACAGGGTTCTTGTATACTGGCGGGAAGGCTCCTGTCGCTTGGACTCAACGACATGGCATACAAAGAACTGCGGGGTTTGAAGAAGAGAATACAACAAACCTTGGAATCCCAGGACTCGAATGGAACGAAAGCGTCTAGCCGGAAAGGAAGCCCCCCGGAGTTAGAGGAAGAAGCAGTCAAAGAAAGGATGTCTGATCTGCTGAGCTTCCCCGCTCCAGGCCAGATGCAACCGTTGCTCGGATTGCTGGTGACTTTTCAGTCGAATGCCCTGCGACTCATCCTAAACGACAAGAAACCCACGACTATTCAAAACTTGGCTCCCTCGCTACAGCTAGCAGATCCGAGCAGTCCAGCGAACATCATCTTAGCCGCCCTCGAGTCTGGAGCGCTGACTACCGAAAAAGCCGCGATGCAACTCCAATTACTGTCCAACACCGTGCTGTCCCTATCCTCCACTACTACTCAGACCCCCAGCAAGTTGAAACCCATGACTTCTCTGAGCCTGCAATTGTTATCCCTCGAAATCCGCTGCATGTCCTGGAGAATCTCGGGACACGTTTGCGACGACGCAAGAGAAATGTGGGATCCGATGGCTCGGTACTTGGCTAGCTTCATTCACCAGAACAAAGGAGTCACCAAGACGGAGTTTGCGACTCTATACAAGCACATCGTTCGTCTTCAGTCGTCTTTCACTAGCGTTCAGAAAAGGTCAACTGCGAGCGTCAAGGACAATGTGTCTGTCGCAAGGATAGCAGCGATTCTTGGACAGCTTGCTCAAGACGCGGGGTGCTTTGAGGAGGCTCTGAAGCTTTTCACCGAGTCCATAACGCCACTGTTCAATGGTCAATGCCTTGCCTTGGCTACCGTCCGCTGCAAAATCGCTTCTCTCCACTTTCAAGCTATCAGGCATTCGGCCAAATTCACAGCTGCTGCTCTGCCCGATGTTCTCACGGACGCGACGAATGTTCTGTGTCTGTCTCTCAAAGGCAGTTCAAACGATCTTGATGAACTTCTAGTTGAAGCAGCGAAGCTCAAGAAGGCAGCGATGAGCTGGTTTGGCGATGTGATGTCAAAGGAGAAGGATAAAGGTGAGGAGCAGAACGATGTTTGCACTAAGATCCTCGAATACCTTAACGGTTTTATACGATTCTTGCGCCGATACATCGGGCGCAAGCCGACAGAAGAAGACCCGAAGGAGATCGAGTCATTTGATAGACGTGTCGCTGCATCCCAAAATATTGCGTTCGCGGCTGTGGACTCTGTCCTCGCGGTTGGAAGGTTGTCTATCACGTCCGGAAGGCCCTCATGGGAGGTTATTCAACCGACCTTGCTCGACTGCCAGCGACTACTCGTGATAATCGAACCTCAAGGGGAGAAGCAACCCGGCTCTCCAGTTGCTGAAAGTGTCGATAATGCATTCGTCAAACTGTCTAATCTGTTCTGGTCCAGGTATGTCAAAGAGAAAGAGTCTGGTCAAGGGTATCGTGATCTCTTGCCCATCTTGAAGCAATCCGCGACCTTACTGTCAAATTGTTCGCCTTCGCAACGTGTTGCAGGGTTCGCACCCCTCAAGTATGAGCGACTAGCACACACATATATGGAAGGGGGATATGCTCGTGAATCAGAACAGGCGTTCCACAAGTCGATCTTCGAACACATACATACTGGTACGCTCGACCAAGTAATCTCATCTACAGTTGGGTGCTTTCCGCACAGAATGTGCCAAGATCCGAAAAGCAATGGATTCATGCTTGGGCGCGTTCTGTATGCCCTCCTGAAATTGAACCTCAGATCCAAGAAGTCAAAAACGCACGGTTTCTTCGATGATGACAGCCTGGACCTGAGCCAAAGAGGCCATTTAATGGAGTGGCAACTGGGAGTGTTGGCTGAATTCCCCGCCAATGCTTGCTCCGATGAGGCCTTCCGATCTACTTTTACCTTGCTTATCACGCAGATCTTTAACTTGTACTCTTTTGATACCCAGACCATTCGTCTTCTGCGCGTTGTTCTTACTATTCTGCGTTTCTCTTTGGAACATCCGGGTTTGATGGACTCAAAATTGCTATCAAGTGTCATTGACGTCGGCCGCCAATGCATTGACCAGGAGGACGTCGGCGAGGACTCCGACCTTGGTTCTCTATGGTTACACCTCAAAAATTCGGTTCAACTTACACTCGGTCTCCATGAGGGTAATCTGTCACCTTCCACTCTGGAGACAGTCCTTTTGTCTTGGAGTGCAATGCTGCGAGACTGCGGCGACTTGGAGTCTCTTCTTCTGAAAATCGGCGACCTCGACCACTATCTACTTCAGATGAGGGCGATAGTTGACTACACCGAGATACACGGGCTCTGGAAGCTGCAGCTCTCTGCACTTGAATTGGTGCTGAAGACCACGGAGCTTCAAGAATCGGGTGACTTTTCCGAAGCGATTATAGTTTTGTCACGGCTTGTTCTTCAATACAGTCGACTTGGCTTCTGCACAAAAGCCAGTGCTCTCTTGAAGCAGGCGGAGCAGTATCTCACTCATTCCAATACCACCTGCTTAGCGATCTTGTCGTACCGAATAGCACACGTCGGCTATCTCCTTGAGATTGGGGATATTTGTCAAGCGGCGACCGTGCTCGCCAAAGCCAGAGCTTTGTACGAGAAATACCAGAAGAAGGAAGATCTGAACAGCTGCTCCACATTGTCCAAGATTCTCTGGGAGAGGCTTGTTGCTGACGCAGCCTTCATGAGCTCTCGGCTATCTTTCGCTCAGGGATCTGTCAATGATGCTCTCTTCTTTGCCAAACTTTCTGTCCGGTTGAATTGCAGAATTTGGGCCAAGATCGAGAAACTTTCTCAGAAGAAACAAGACAAGATGATTCAGGCTAACGATAATTCCGAACTTGAGACTGTGGTGGAAGGAATGGCAAAGCTCGAGGTTGCGCAAGCAGCTCCCGTGCCGAATCCTGTCTACTCCCAAGGTGCCCCTTTCTGGCCTCATATTGGCTCTCATCATACTGCTCTGCTGAATTTGGCAAGTCTCTCAGCACACCATGGTTTATTCCAAGATGCTATATATTACGGGGAACAAGCTCTTAAGATCAACAAATCTCTGAATGCGAATGTCCGACTCATAGCGTCTCAGGCACAGCTTGGGTCCCACTGGATCTTTGGTGGTCATCTCTCTGAGGGGCAGGAACTGCTCGAGGCGGCGGAGTCTCTTTCCAAGCAACTCGAAAGTAGTGTCGAACTCGTCTCGCTTCAGATTGGCCTTGCTTCTCTTTACAGGGCACAAGGCCGTTTTCTTGAAGAGCAGCGTGCTCTTCTCGAGGCTGACCGTTTGATGACTCAAGTGGCTGGTCCTGATGGTTTGGATGCCTCCGCAACAATTCCGAATCTTGAAGACCAGATGAAGAAGTTGCAACTACAGGGAACGACCAGGAAAACACGCCAACGTGCCACCATAACCACAACAACAACACGCAGAACTCGGGCAGCGACAGTGTCCGCTTCGAATGCATCCAAAGTTACAGAGACACCAGCCACACCAAGCGAGTCCGAGTCCGAGTCTACTTCCCTTTCGCATTTGAGAAGCGAGATTCTCCGCCAGCAAGCTGCCTGTTTACGTACACTTCGTGACTTCGAGAAAGCATCAATGACCCTCCACAATGCGCGGAAATTTGCGACGTCTCGGGACAGCCAGATATCTCTGCAGATTGGCGAAAGTGAGCATCTGCTTGCGGATGCCATTCGGCATTTTGCCACACATGCAGTCTACTGTGTTCTCCCTGAATCGACCATCTCCCTGCCATCGCTCCAGTCACCAAGCAAAGTCCCCAGCAAGTCCAGCACTGGTAAGCCAGCATCCACACGGAAAACAAGAGCTCCAGCTCGTGCGCCAGCAAGAAGCACGAGGGCTAAATCCGCCAAGCCGACTGAGGACTTCTCCGTGATGTTGTCCAAAGCCGGGGAGAGCCTAAATGCAATCTTTCCCACCGCCACAACATTGGGGTCTACTCTTGACAGTCACGCAGCTTCTCGCCTGATGAGCCGTATCTCCATGCTCTCCCATGTTACTGTACCTGAAAGCTCGGGATTATTGTCTCAGTCTCCAGCAAACATGAACGAAATAGGCAGGATCGGTGCCTTTACGCGTGAACGAGCTGCCATCAGTCTTGACAAGCAGTTAGCAAAATATTGCGATCCTCTCCTTTGGCCAAGCGCTGAAGCAAAGGCCAAGTTTGAAGAGGATCTCTACTCGCGTTTCACCGAGGACTATATCGAGATCCTTCCAGAGAATTGGAACGTTCTTTCTCTGTCCCTTAGCGCTGATAGTACTGAGTTTGTTGTTTCAAGGCTGCACAAGGGTCGTTCACCCTTCTTGTTACGACTACCACTCAAGCGTGGTTCCGAGGACGATGAGGAAGATCAGTTCACCTTCGAAGATGGGAAGGAAGAAATGAAGGAGCTCATCAAGCTGACGAACCAAAGTGCGCATGCAGCTAAGCACCAGAACGACCGGCAATCGAAGAAGGAATGGTGGAAGAACCGTGAAGCCCTGGACCGGCGCATGGAAAACTTGCTACAAAACATCGAGAACGTGTGGTTTGGTGGTTTCCGAGGAATCTTCTCTCCAATGCCTCACGAAACCGAATCTTTAGAGAGATTTGCGGCTCTTTTCCAGAATGTCCTAGACAAACACCTACCTTCCCGACAGAAAGGTAGACGCGCCGAAGGCCCACACTTGACACTACACCCGAATGTTCTGGAATTATTCTTGGGTGTCAAGGATCTAGAGAGTCAGGAAGATCCCGAGGAAACCTTGATGGATCTCCTCTACTTCGTCGTGGATATCCTGCAGTTCCAAGGGGAGCGCAATGCGTACGACGAGATTGACTTCGATATGATGGTCGTGGAAACTCTGGATGCTCTCAGAGGGCATCACGATGCCGTGCGTAACGATCATAAGAAGCGGACACCGATTAGCACAGTGCTGGTCCTCGATAAGTCGCTGCATATGTTCCCTTGGGAGTCTCTTCCATGTCTTCAGGGTCTTCCTGTGTGCCGTGTGCCATCCTTGGAATGCCTTCGGGATCGGATCCTGCAGTTCCAGACTGACCGCGCGGGTCGCAAACATGACTTCGGCATCGATAGCGGGAACGGGACGTATATCCTGAACCCCACTGGTGATCTGCAGACAACCCAGGGAACCTTTGAGAAGGAGCTCCTAGGGCTGAAACAGTGGAAGGGGATATCCAAGCGGGAGCCGACCGAAGACGAATTCAGGCATGGCTTGGAGACCAAGAGTCTATTCCTCTACTTCGGACACGGAAGTGGTGCGCAGTACATCCGAGGCCGAACCATCAAGCGGCTGGAAAGATGCGCCATCACCTTCCTGATGGGTTGCAGCAGTGGAGCTCTGACGGAAGCGGGGGAGTACGAGCCATACGGGACGCCGATGAATTACCTGCACGCGGGCAGTCCGGCTTTGGTAGCTACCCTGTGGGATGTGACGGACAAGGATATTGATCGTTTCGCAAAGAGTACATTTGACAAGTGGGGCCTCTTTGGTGGCGAGGAGGAGGCGGTGGCCTTGGACGAAGCTGTCTGCCAGTCGCGACAAGCTTGCGTTTTGAAGTATTTGAATGGTGCCGCGCCTGTGATTTACGGCATTCCTTCGGTGTTTTTGGAGTGATCCAATGGGGCACTCGGACGTGTACTGGATTGGTGTTGATGATTCTTCTTTGTTTCGATGGTGTCAATTAGCCTATTCCCCTTGTCACAGCTAGCGTTCTACATATTATATCATTCAAATTCTGAGCTTCTGTCTAGTCTACGATGAATAACCCCTACGCCGGTACTGCAGTATTTTACCCCAAGTCTTGCAGGAGTATGAAATGGTCCGCAGGACCTCTGAACACTCCCACACCCGAAGGTACATTGAAAGGGCCAACAGAACCTCCAAAAGATAGACATCTATGCTATCTCCATGTGTATATGTCATGGCCGCAAAGGGGAAAATTTCCCGAAGCTCCACCCACGCCCCTCATTTTCCCCTCATCCGCGGAAAACCAAACCCCTCATCGTCATTCCCTTCCCCTCCCTCCCGTTCGTTCCTGATTTTTTAATAGCGTCGCGTCCCGAGACCTTTTCCTTCTTTCCTACCTCCCTTCCGAGAAGAAGCTCGCCCAGACATCAAAGACATCAGAAATTGAGACCAACCATGTCCGTCACCACCAAAGCCACCATCGCCTCCTTCGGCGGCAAGCTCCTCAAGCTCAGCCATGCCGCCACCTCCACCAAGTGCGAGATGTCCTTCAACCTCTACCTGCCGCCGCAGGCTTTTCAAAACACCTCCCAAAAGATCCCCGTGCTGCTGTACCTGTCCGGTCTGACCTGCACGGCGGACAATTGCTCCGAGAAGGGATTCTTCCAGCACGGCGCCAGCAAGAAGGGCATTGCCGTGCTGTATCCCGATACCAGCCCTCGTACGTTTTGCCTTTTGCCTTTGCCCTTTTCCGGTGCAAGAGGCACAGCGCAGCACAGCACCTGGCATCTGATCCCGTCCATCATGACCTAACTGCTAATCGCTCGAGAAAAAGGCGGCCTCAACCTCGCCGGCGAAAACGACGCCTGGGACTTCGGCACGGGCGCCGGCTTCTACGTCGACGCCACCAAGGCCCCCTACGACGCCGGCTACAACATGTACACCTACATCACTGAGGAGCTGCCCGCCGTGGTGTTCCAGGCGTTCCCGGTGTTGGATGCGGACCGCGTGAGTATCACCGGGCATAGTATGGGGGGGCATGGGGCTTTGACTTTGGTGTGTATCCCTTTTTTTGAATCTTATTTTACCTCCCCGGGGGAAGGGGGTAGATGGAAATAAAGGGCTTACCATTAACATTTCCATGTGTGCTAGTTCCTCCGCAACCCCGGCAAATACAAATCCGTGTCGGCGTTCGCGCCCATCTCGAACCCCATCAACTGCCCCTGGGGCCAGAAGGCATTTGGGGGATACTTTGGCGAGGAGCTGCGCGACACCAAGTGGAAGGAGCATGATGCGACGGAGTTGGTGAGGAGGTGGAAGGGTGGGCCGCTGGATGTGTTGATTGATGTTGTATGTGCCCATCCCCCGCTTTTTTTTTCCATTGTTTTTTTGGACGTTTTGTTGTGGTTGTCTGGGTCTGAATTAGGCCAGGGAGGGGTTTTGTTCTTCGTTTCCTGGATGGCTAACGTTCCGACAATTAGGGTACCGGCGACAACTTCTACAAGCAAGGTCAATTGCTGCCCGAGAACCTGGAGAAGGCCGCCCGGGAGGCCGGCGTCGAGGGCATCAAGGTCCGCTACCAGCCGGATTACGATCACAGTTATTACACGATGGCGACGTTCTCGGATGATCATGTCGAGCATGCGGCCAAGTATCTGTTTGCTTAGTGGGTTTTTCCCCCTTTCCCTTTGGCTGTTTTTTTGTGGTGAGGTTTATGTACCGGACTGGGTGGAAGACCCCTCATGCTGGGGAGGATTGGAGATTGTGTCGTGTTAATGGACTTTTTATCTGATAGGTTTGAGGTTTTCGATTAAAGTGACCGTCCGCCGAGATCATCTCTTTGAAGTACGGGGGGTGGCATAACTATATGATAGGTAATATTGGGGCAGAGAGGATTTACGAGGGACCACGTATATAAATGTTTCAACCGAAGAACCGCAAAAGAGTCACCATAAACAAATAAAACTGTTGTCAATAAAAGGCCCCTACCTTCCTACACCCACTCATCGCAAGTCCCTAGTCCAATTGGACCAACCTATTCAACTCGCACAACCTCCCGATCAACCCCATGCATCTCCTCCGGGAACCGGCACCCCGTCAGCTCATGATCCCGCCACGACTCCCACGGACACTGGTGCCCGCACACGCACTTCCGGTTCGTGCACCACAGCCCCTCGCCGCACACGCTCGTCCGCGAGATGCACCGCAGGTCGTGGAGATCCTGCGCGCTCGTCAGCCGCCGTCCGTGCGCGTGCGTGCAGCTGTCGCCGTAGCTGCAGTCGTCCTGCAGGTGGTACCGGTTGCAGAGCTTGGCCGCGCGGAGGCGCTCGTAGTTCTCTTTGCTGCTCGCGCGGGGGAGTTGGGGATCGATGCGGTGGCCTCGGGCGTTGTACTTGATTTTGGGAAGTAGGGGCGTTGAAGTGACAGAGGGGGAGATGTTGAAGATTATCTGGGTTGATGTTGAGGTTGAGGATGATGACGACGGGCTTGGTGTTGGGGGGGTGGGTGTGGTGGATGCGGTGGCAGAATAGGAGGACGAGGAGGCGGAAGGCGAAGGGGTCATTTGGAGGTTAGCCTTTGCGATGGTCGCATAGTCTCGCCGGGCAGGAGACGAGGATTGCGTGTCGCCGGCAGTTGGTGGTGAAGCAGCGACAACATTGGCGGAAGCGGTTGCAGCGGCGCTGAACGAGTATGCGCGAGCGGGGAGCTTTGCAGCCCGGAATACCGCTGGGAACGCGGCTGTCCGAAGTTCAGTGGCTAGCTGTTCGATCTCCCATGCGAATGGCGCCCCCTCGACCAGGGTGATGCGGTTGCTCCCTCTATGGGAGCCGAGGAGCCGGGCGTAGCCGTTGTCCGTGGCGGCGCAGAAGATGATATGGCGGCAGTGCACGTCGAGGATGTCGCGCTCGAAGGTTGCTTGTTTTGTCGTCACCAGTCAGTCAGATCAGTTGTGCCGTGCATGCGGCAGAAGAGGGGGGGGGCAGGTTGGGAGGTTGCACACCTCGGATCTTGACATCGGAGCATTCTTTGCCGTTTCCTGCGTCGATGAAATCACACTGGCTGTCTTCCATGTTGAAGCCCCGGACGAATGGGTCGAGGGTTTCCGTCCAGGACAGCACTTTGGCTTCCCGGTAGGCTTTCTCGAGACCGGGCAGGTTGGCGTAGACACTCACTCTGTACTGCAGGCTGGGGCTGGCTTGGGGGTCGGTGTCCCGGATGTAGCGCTCAACGGCCTGGAGTAGAAGTCGTGCAGCTCTGCGGCCGCCGTTGTGGCCTTCTTGAATGAGGGCGTCGTTAAACTAACTGTATGGTTAGCTTACGTATGTTGTTTGAGAGTCGGAAAACGTACGTTCATACAGTCCCCGTCGACGAGGATAGACACGAAGCTTAGCTTTGCCTGCGTCATTAGCGTCTTTGTTATAGACATGCAGTATGTGTAGATATGTAGGAACAGTACCTGATTATGTCTCAGATCTGCAACCTCCGTTTTGTATTGAGCAATTTCTTGATTGAGACGGAACCTCTCATTCTCCTGTTTGGTGCATTCGTTAAGCAGGGCAGAGTGAAGCGTCTCGACCTCGAAGAATAGGTCCTTATTGACAATGAATGGCCAGTCAGTGTTTGCTCCTGCGGACAACATAGACAACAGCAAGAACTCACTTGTATCAATCTGTTCTTGCAGTCATCGACTGCCATTACACTTCCAAGCCGCTTCCTCAGCTCCAGGAGATCCAGTGGGACCTGTGGTGGGCATTGGACGCTGGTCAACTCTGTGTCCATAGTAATTGATCTCTGGCAGAGAATCTCTCAGGCTCACCTGTAGTACTAGTTCTCATTCCACCCTCTTATAACCTGCCTGGGTGAGCCACCCACCCACAGAGTCTGTGAGCTGTGAGCTGTGACAAATTGGCCGTATTGTCTCTTGCGGCGATTCGAAGACATTGTTGGCACAGGCGGCGGAGGCGTGACGCGAAACGATCTCACATCCAATGACCCCCCTCCCCCTTCAAATTGGGGATGGGTGAAGGCTGGGCTATGTCGTTCGGGGTTCATGCCGGTGTGATGAGCGTTGAGCGGCTAAGCGGAGAGATGGGTTGGTCTCCATTGACTGATGGGTAATTGTAAGCGCCAGCAGAGCGGAGCAAAGTCACGGGTCAAGCGTTCATCACCTGCATTCTGGCTGTGCCATTGTGGCAAAGTATGGAGAGATGGATGATCGCGAGCGATAGGTGTAGTTCTGGACTACCTTAGTCTTAGACGGCGGAGTCTGTGAAGCCTATCTATACTGTACGTAACCAAGGAGAAGAGCTGCGCTTTAGACATGCCATTGCTCTACTCTTCACTCCCCTCATAGTGACAAAACTGCTGTTATGGTGAAACATTCGATGTTTGAAGTCGTCGATCGTGTTGTCTCTTAGGACAAATTATAGAACACAAGCGTCTCGCTAACGTAGCAGAGTCTTACAGCAGCAACTCAAGACAAGCCACGGGTACAACTCCCCCAACTAAACACCTACTTGCGCCTCGCCATCTCTGCTCGCCAGTAAGAGTCCACCTCCTCCTCAATCTTCCTCCGCGCGCCCGTCCCAACGTCACCTTCCACCATCTCTCCAGCCGAGCGCATAGCCTCACAATCCCAACAGAAGCAACCCCCGTACGGCTCCCCCGTCGCAGCCTCGTACAATTTTCCAGTCGTATCGAACCCCCCAGTAAGGATTTCTTCGCCAAGCTTATCATCGTGATTGATATACCGTCCCGTCCGCTTAAACATCGACTCTTCGTACATGTCTGCACTACACAGATGCGTGTGCCAAACCAAATCCACGTCCAGGGTCGGGACCAGCATTATCCCCGGATGCAGACGGAACAAGGTGACGAAGCGCTCATAGCGCGCGAGTGCCCGGCTGAGGGTTCCCTGGAGCGCGGGACTGCGGATCCAAAGGAAATCATGCATCTCGTCAATGAAGGTGGCTTGTCGGAGGATGTTGTCTACCAGTGGAATGTGTTCTGATGGGGTTTCAGGGGCCATTGCTTTGAGAGTGGTGGCTTCATTGTCTAAAAGTGCTGTAATCAGGTCTGGTGTGATGTTCAGCTCGTTCCGAAGCCAGGCTGAGGTCTCGCTGGGGAGAGTGTAGCTCCAGTTGTCGTGAGATAGGGCCTCGTGCTGGGGTTGCGTTAAAAGTGGGAAGCAATTTAGGTAGGCTGGGAGGTGTCGGTTGAACTTACTATCGCTTTCCAGGGGAATGAGAGGCCCCGGATGTGATCTAGGCGGTTGGTACTGCAGAACTGGGAGAACTCGTGCGGGTTGAGCAGGAAGGCATGCCATACCATGAGTATGTCTACTACTGTATCAGTAGTGACCATTATGTCGTTTGCAACAACCGAAAAACTCACCAAGCGGAGGTAGAAGGAGAGAATTGTTCCCCACAAGGTGCTTGACTTCGAGATGATGGTTCAGTACTCGAATCCACTGCTGAAATCTGGTGACTGCGATTGACAGAAATTTATGCCATCTCTCCGAAGGTTCTTTGCGTCCACCAAGTATCGAGTATCTCTTGTGGTTTTGTTTCCGATCCAAAGATTTCGTCAGCCTGCTCGAGGTAGTAACCCGGATACGGAGAGTATAGAACGCTTCCAGCAGCTCGAGATGAATAGCACATTGACCTCTTGAAGGAAGATCGGACCTGTCTTTTAACTGTATAGAGGAATCCTCGAACAAGCTCGGATGAGGTCCGACTAGGTCTTGCGATAGGTTTGATGCTGGTGATGTGCGAGCTGAGTGTCGATGCAATATGGTCAGGACATTGGAGATATAGGATGGCATTTTCAAATGTCACCGATACCAATAATATGAGCCTCTGACTGAGACGTACGAAACCATCGCTCGTGGTAGATAAAGGAAGGGTGTTGCGCCCCGCCAAGATTGACAAGGCTGAGCATCGTGGCTGGTGGTCAGATGACTCTCTCGTTGATAATCCCATTCTGTCACCATACTACATGCATCTGAAACTTATTTAAATTTGTCTACAGAACTTCGTCACACTTTTAGGCTCCAAAAAAACTTACTCCCATCTGGCTCATAACTTCGACTTACCTCTACGCCTATCCGCAACCCTTTTCTTCTTCTCGCGCGTGCTCGGAATGATTCTCTTTATCCGCCGCTCTATATAGGCCTTTACATCATGCCCATCAAGGCTCAAAGTCAGTGGGCCATCCACAGCCTTCAAGGACCTTGATCGCCCGCAGTCAAAACCCCAGTTGTGGCCCTGGAAACCGAACATTGTAGCCATAGGACAGGGCTCCATGCTCCCATCCACGTCCCACTTAAAGCATGGCACCGGCATCGCGAGGTCTGACGGGATGTGAGACGCGGCTAGAGCAATCAGCTCATCCATTGTTAGGACCACGTATAGCTGAGCAGCAGCATGGACGACTCCCTGCGATCGTTGCGCCAAATGAAGCAGACAGACATTCGAGACAAGATCTACGGGAATTCCATCCAGGATGTAGCTTCCGCTGGTTGAGCCCCTCGCGGCTCTCCAGACCCGACTCCCGCCCCCAGTGGCCAGATAGATCTCCAGGGCGTTCTCAACAGGATTAGAGCCCGCAGGACCGAAGAGAGGGTATGGATCTCGAAGAGCTGGCCCGATGGCGGAGGGACGTAGGATGAGCAAGGGTAACCGAGATCCGTATCTCTGAACTAAAAGTCGTTCCATGAGGTACTTGGCCTGTGCATAGGGCCAGGCCCATTGCTTCGTCCGGTTGGTGTGTCCTCTTGAGGAGAGGATTTCGTCCAGCTCTCTTTCGCAGTCGATGTCGTCTGCACCAAACGGCTGGATAGTTTCCGCGATCTCTCCATCGGGCAGAAAGCTGTTGACGTAGACAGTGGACACTTGGACAAATGTGGCGAGCTGTAAGAAGCTTGATCCAAGCTGGGCCAGATTTAGCGCTGAAAGACAATTGTTCTTGCAGGACTCGTGGACATCAGCGACGAAAGACGTATTTGCCGCTGTGTTGAGTATAACGGTTGTCTCCTTTCGAAGTACAGATAATTGCCTCGCATCCAGGTCTAGGTTCGCCGCAGTGATGTCCCCCCTGAGAAATTCCAGTTGCCCTGTGCTCATGACTTCATCGATACATCCGGGCATGTTCATGCGCAGCTTTGCGATGGTGTCATCCTCGGAGCTTCGATGAAGGAGAAAGATTTTCTTAACAGGTACCTGATGAATGAGTTTGAACAGAAGACACCCGCCTAGGCCGCCCGTTGCTCCAGTCAGAAGCACAGTTTGTTTCGCAAACCACTCTCGGTAGAAGGCTTCGATCATTGGTGGTGCATTCGCCATTCTAGGTATAGAATATTATGAGCCCGAAACTGACACATGCATCTCACCACACATCATACTGCCGGGGCTCATGTATATAGTGGTTGCGAAACTCAAAGCCATGTAATCACATTTCGTGATGTCAATGTTACTTATTTTGCCTCAGTGCAAAGCATGCACTGCTTTCGCCACTCCAGGCAGGTCTCACTCCGAGTGATGCTGATGATATGGCCCTGTCTTTACGCTAGAAGCATGTGAGAAGGTCTTCGAGGAACTTGGCGTCGAATTTTATCACGCTCATAGCGATCATGGATCAATTCAGACTGTGAGCTCCAGGCATTGTAGGGTATCAGACTACTCCAGGCCTCACTAAATGAAGATTGCCGCAGCCTAGCAGCACTGGAAAACAAGGTTCCCAATATCAGGTAAATGCTGGAGTAGCTGGGTACTAGCAAGCGCAAATTTATTTCTCGTCCTTGGATCATACCAACATGGATTCTAAATCTAAGTGCCCGGTCAGCAGAGATATAGTACAGCTTCCATTTTCTTCAGCCAGAAGAAATCAAAGGACAGATCCACCGGAGCCCTTGAGATGACAATGGAGTCCGCTCAATTCGCCCTGCAATGACCAGAGTCTTCTCCGCCACTGTGCAGCTGATCACATGGTTAGCACTTTAGCTGTTTCATCAGTCGTACTCCATTCAGCTTTCTAGATGAATTCTCCTTGGTACTATCCAGGATTGATATAGTATATCCACCAATGCTTTGAAAGCACGCGCGTCCGTCAGGGTTCCTAGAAAGGATTCATCATCGCCAAGAAGCCAAGACGGATACTGCGTGGATGATCAACGGACTCAGTTCCGAGAAGGCTCTAGACAGCGGAGTGTGTGTGGGAGGGAGGGAGAGAGAGAGAGAGTCGAGGCTGGCATTGAAACCAAGATGATGAAGAATAAATCCATGGTGGAGCTGTACGCGACGTGGAGTTGGTTGCTGTTCGCTATTTGGAGATGCCAAGGCCGGAAGGTGCATTATCGGCGGTCAACGGGAAGGGAAGACAATCAAAAGCTTAGATCTCCAGCCACTGTTCAGTGTTTAGATAACTTTACATTCACTGTTTCATCATTGGTTTGCAGCGCAAACTGCCCGATCGCAGCTCGGGGCTTTGGGGTTCCGCTGACTAGTCAATGGCAATCCGCGGATTAGAGAACATTGTACAGGCAGTGGACCGACCGGGCTGTTCGTTGTTCGTCAGCGTATGATGTCGGCTTCGCCTCAGCCGGGTCACAAATGATGACTGATGAAACTGAGCTTGCCTTGGCTGGGCTGATGGCTATCCATCCCATCCATCCTTCTGTTCCCTCATTGCGGAACCAACGCCATGGAGCTGTGGTTGATGCTGCGGCCAAGAAAGAAGCAATCCCGTCTCCTCTCGCAAGTGCACTGAAATTTACAGAATTCAGTCGTTACAGTACCATAATATTAGACTGCTACTAAGCGTTTCGAACGACGAGGATGCTGACGCAGCCCCTGCGGTGCAGGGCCCATCCTCCACCAACTTCTCCTCCATCCCTCTTTCGCCGCGGTCCGTCCGGCTTTGTTCGTCTCCCCTGGGCTTCTCGTTATCATCGGCGATATTTGAACACCTCTGCCTCCGCTTCTTGTTCGCCGCGATTGTATCACCATAAGAGCTCCCGTGCTGCCTCCGGTTCTTCATCGACCTTTCCTCCTACTCTTATCGCGTGCCCCAATGCTTCCCTCCGTCCAACTACTCGCCCGACCCTGATTCCGTCCCTCACTGCTGTTGCCTGCTCTACAAGACTACCAACCTCAATCACCCTCCCTTCAATGGCCACCCAAACACGAGAACACGGTGGCCACCACCACCATCACCACCACCATCACCACCACCATCATGGCAGTAATGTCTACCTCACATCAACCGACAAACACGATGCTGGAGTTCGCATCACGCGGATAGGCTTGCTCGCCAACCTGTGTATGGCCATTGGCAAATTTATCGGTGGCTATGTGTTCCATTCCCAGGCCCTCATTGCCGACGCCTATCACGCCCTCACCGATCTGGTCTCGGATATTTTGACTTTAGCTACGGTTGCTTGGTCGTTGAAGCCGCCGTCGGAGCGGTTTCCCAACGGCTACGGAAAGATCGAGAGTATTGGAGCTCTAGGTGTGAGCGGGTTGTTGCTGTGCGGCGGCGTCTTCATGGGCCTCAACTCCGGGCAGGTCCTACTACACCAATTCTATCCCGGCATCGCCGAAGCAATTGCGCATGTGGGGGCTCTGGGGCACAGTCATTCGCATAGCCATGGGGTGGAAGCGCTCGGCCCAAGCATCCATGCTGCTTGGCTGGCTGCTGGATCTATCGTGGTCAAGGAATGGCTTTACCATGCCAGTGAGTACCTTGCGAGGGTCAATCAACCAGTTTAAAAGGTGATACTGACGTTTCTTCTTCAAACAGCTATGAAGGTCGCCACGGAACGCAAGTCGTCAGTCTTGGCCTCCAACGCCGTCCACCACCGGATCGACTCCCTGACCAGCGTCGTTGCTCTTTTTACGATTGGTGGATCCTACATGTTCCAAGATGCTTCCTGGCTGGATCCCGTGGGAGGACTTCTCATCTCACTTATGGTCATAAAAGCTGGATGGGGCAATACCCAGACCTCCCTTCTGGAGTTGGCAGACACCACTGTGGACGACGATGTGAAGGCTTCGGTCCACAAAGCGGCTACCAAGGCACTATCTCTACTGGACAGTGGCGAGTCGCTCAGAATCCATGATGTCCAGGGGATGAAGTCGGGCCAGAATTATCTTATGGATGTCGAGGTCGCAGTTCCAGGCGCGTGGTCCATCAACCGTGCTCGCGAGGTGGAAGAGGCAATGCGCACTGCCGTCGGAGAACGAGTCCGCGGCGTCAAGCGGGTCAAAGTCCGGTTCATTCCTCTTGAGCACCAGGAGTTGACCTTCACTGAAGAATTTATCCCGGCTGAAGTGACTTCGCGGGCGCGTCCTGAGCCGGAGGATGGTGACGAGCACGACCACGACCACGAGCATGAGCACGAAAACCGCAAAAGCCGTTAGATAACGAGTACCCGCTTGCCAGGTTGCTCTCCGGTGTCGACGTCTTCGCGCGTGGCCGACGAGGTCGGCTGTCGTGCTGCTCTTGGAAATTTTCCTGCTCTCCGCAGAGGGTTGGTAGGGTAGATAAAGCCAATATAAGATGAACATAGCAACGACATTAAGGGAAGACACTCTTGCAATCAAGCTAGGAAACTAAAAGGAGTTTTCTGATAGATGCTCGTGTATGAATGTGAATACTAAAGCACGGACATGGTTGAATTGGTGACGATCGTCCTCAGACATGGAGTGCGCAGTTACCCCGTAACTTTACCCCTCCATGCGGGTGATATGTGGGGGATCCCTTCCACAACTCAGCTAATGGTTTGGCAAGACATGAACTAAGACTTATGTGTAGAAAGTTCAACAGGCCCTAGAACAACCCGTCACAGTCGGGACTTCACTAGTGCAGGGCTCAAACATGGTCACGATGTCCCTCATAGGGTCTGATCTAGACCCCCCCCGTTGTTCTTCCCGTGAACTGAATTAACCGGGTAATTTCCCGGCGGCGGTGGAACCCGGGATAAATTCGACCTCATCGTTATAAGGAGGAACAGCAAATTTATGTTCGAGAAGAGCCGTACTCGGTAAAATACACGAAACTTCGGCAGAATCTTGTTATGGTTATGGAGACTATGGTGGGATAGATAAGGGAGAAGAAGTCTTGCCAGATGGCGATGTTGGGTCAGCTCTTCTAAATTTCTCCCCCGCTGCGCTGCACACCATAAACAAGTAGCCGGAAGTGGAAAAGGTTAGTAGCTCCGTCGATCTTAAGTTAGCAACGAATGCCCATTGCATCAGTGGTGTCTGTCGGGTTGTCCTTTGCCACACACTACACTCTCTTACATTACCCCTCTATCAGTTGGTTTCTCCAATTGCTTACACTCGAAAGTCTCTTCTTTCTCATCTACTAGGAAGTTTTTTTTCAGGCGTATATATCATTTAGTACTTCTTTATCTCACACCTGAAACCCCGTCCCACGACACCTACGTCATTACCCCGGACCGCAGCATTCCAAGTGCCATGGCCCAACCGGACAGCCCCCTATACATCGGCTTCGACCTTTCCACTCAACAACTGAAAGGTCTGGTCGTCAACTCCGATCTCAAGGTCGTCTACGTGTCGAAATTCGACTTCGATGCCGATTCGCGCGGCTTCCCTATCAAGAAGGGCGTCCTCACCAACGAGGCCGAGCATGAGGTCTTTGCACCCGTCGCACTCTGGCTGCAGGCTCTCGACGGAGTGTTGAATGGACTACGCCAGCAAGGACTGGATTTCCGCCGCGTCAAGGGTATCAGTGGAGCTGGTCAGCAGCATGGAAGTGTTTATTGGGGCGAGGACGCGGAGAGGCTGTTGAAGAGTCTGGATGCGAAGAAGACGCTGGAGGAGCAGCTGGAGGGAGCGTTCTCGCATCCTTTCAGCCCCAACTGGCAGGACTCGAGTACGCAGAAGGAATGCGATGAGTTCGATGCATATCTGGGTGGGCAGGAGAAGCTTGCCGCTGCTACGGGGAGCAAGGCACATCATGTAAGAAGCTTTCCTTCCCTGGGTTTTCTCTAGCCCGTTCTGTGCGGATGATTGTTTAACAGTCTGGTTTGCGTTTGTAGCGATTCACTGGACCGCAGATTCTGCGATTTCAGCGCAAGTATCCCGAGGTGTACAAGAAAACATTGCGGATCTCGCTGGTCTCCTCGTTCCTGGCGTCCCTGTTTCTGGGCCACATCGCGCCGTTTGATATCTCTGATGTCTGTGGTATGAATCTGTGGAATATCAAGAAGGGAGCCTACGACGAGAAACTCCTGCAGCTGTGTGCAGGACCTTCCGGCGTGGAGGACTTGAAGCGCAAGTTGGGCGATGTTCCCGAAGACGGAGGCATCCATCTGGGTACCATCGACCGATACTATGTCGAGCGCTACGGGTTTAGTCCGGACTGCAACATCATCCCCGCTACGGGCGACAACCCCGCGACGATCCTTGCGCTTCCCTTGCGGCCATCCGATGCAATGGTTTCGCTTGGCACCTCCACTACTTTCCTTATGTCCACACCTAATTACAAGCCCGATCCTGCTACGCACTTCTTCAACCACCCCACGACTCCCGGTCTGTACATGTTCATGCTGTGCTACAAGAACGGAGGACTCGCACGTGAGCAGGTCCGCGATGCGATCAATGAGAAACTTGGGAAGACCACTGCTCTGACGTGGGCGAACTTCGATAAGATCACGCTCGAAACTCCGCCCATGGGCCAGAAATCCGACTCGGACCCCATGAAACTGGGCCTCTTCTTTCCGCGCCCGGAAATCGTGCCAAACCTCCGTGCGGGTCGATGGCGATTCGACTATGACCCGAAGAGTGGCCGTCTGCACCAGACGGAGGAGGGCTGGAACAAGCCCCTGGACGAGGCTCGCGCAATTGTCGAGAGCCAGATGCTTTCCCTGCGCCTGCGGTCGCGCGGACTGACTCAGAGTCCCGGCGGAGGCCTCCCTGCTCAGCCGCGCCGAGTATATCTGGTCGGTGGTGGATCGAAGAACAAGGCCATTGCTCAGGTAGCTGGCAAGATTCTTGGCGGTAGTGACGGTGTGTACAAGCTGGAGATCGGTGATAATGCATGTGCGCTGGGAGCTGCGTACAAGGCGGTGTGGGCTATGGAGAGAACGACTGGGCAGACCTTTGAGGATCTCATTGGGCAGCGGTGGAAGGAGGAGGATTTCATCGAGAAGATTGCGGACGGATATCAGCCGGGCGTGTATGAGCGATACGGCCAGGCTGTGGAGGGATTCGAGAAGATGGAATTGGAGGTCTTGCGGCAAGAAGGGAAGCACTGAAATAATCCAATGGTGTCATAGTGAAGTGGGAGTATGAGATATAATTAGCCAAAGCTATGCTATAGAATAGAGATACAGTTACAGCTCAGAGCATGCATCAGCATGGATACCTTATCGTAGACTTATTGACTTGTTAGCTTGTTAGCTTGTTAGCTTGTTAGCTTGTTAGCTGCGATCAGCTGCAAAAACGATGTCATTTGCTGCCTGGGGAATCAGGCCGGAGCCGCACGCCGCCCCTTGCCATTTTTGGGCAACGGACCAGCATTCCTTGGGCCACACAAACTCAGGTCAATTTTTTGACTCTTCAGGTTCCTTTCATGTGCAATGTGCTCGAGGAAGTGACTGGCCGATAAGCGTTTCTTTGAGCATACAACTATTGCAACCTTGAACTCTTGACTCTCTTCAAAGACTTCAGCTTCTTCATTGTTTCTGCGTTGTCACTTTTCTCCCCTCGTGACTCTGCCCCGTTGGAGCAGGCTTATTACCCGAGTGACTGGGTCCAGATACCCTTTGACTACTAACTACCTAGTAATACTTGTACTGGGCCCAACCCAACCCCCCCAGTCTGCTAAACTAAACACGCACTAGTCGGTCATGGTTTGATAGTGTCTCCGGGCTATGACTACTCGCCGCCGCATCATTCTGTCCTAAACCACCACCTTCATTGAATCTCTGTGAACTCCATCCCCCCCCTCCCCCTCCCTTCTCTCCCCTCCCCCTCTCTCCCCTCCATTGCTTTCGAGTCGTCGACTCCGAAGGCAGCCAGGCTGGTCGAAGATGGAAGAACAGGTAAGCGATCTTCTCTTCGATCATCATTTGTTTTCCCATGTTGCGTTTCACTTGGTCTTTTTTTGCATCTTACCCGTTTTCTTTTTTCTCGAATCCCCACCCCACCATTCCTTCCTTCCCCTCCCCCCTCCATGCTTACCCGTCCAGTCAAATCACTCTTTCAGATTCTCGGAATCGATCTCATGACCCTTGTTCATTGTCATGTTGACTTTCCATTAGGTAGCGAATGCCATTGAAATCGCCTGGAATCCGTCCTCCGACCAAGCCCTCAAAAACCAAGCCTACGACTACCTGAACCAGCTTCGCGCCGACCCCTCCGGATGGCAGGTCTGCCTTGCTCTCTTCACCAAAACCCCACAATACTCCGAGATTATACGCCATGTGTCGTTGGAAGTGGTCAACAGTGCGGCTCAGGCCGGTCTCCTTGACCTCCAGGCCCTGGGATATGTTCGGGATGGCTTGATGGCCTACCTTCGACAGGTCTACGGTCAGGAAACCGCCTCCCCGGATCCGCCCAACATTCAGAACAAGATCGCTCAGACCATTACCTTCCTCTTCTCCGCTCTCTACGCGAACGGTTGGGAATCCTGCTTTGACGACCTCCTCAGTCTCACCTTCAAGAGCCCCGCGAGCACGAGTCGCGACAACCCGCTCGGTATCATCTTCTACCTCCGTGTCGTCAATTCGATCCATGAGGAGATCGGAGATGTTCTGGTGTCTCGGTCCCGTACAGAGCAGGACAAGGCCAACCTCCTCAAGGACTTGATCCGGGAACGCGATATGCAGAAGATCGCCAGCTCCTGGCAAGAGATTTTGTCCGAATGGCGGGACGGCAACGATGTGATTGTGGAGATGTCGCTCAAGGCGGTTGGCAGCTGGGTGAGCTGGATTGATATCGGCCTTGTGGTGAACCAGACCATGATGGACCTGCTGTTCCAGCAGCTCAGCCGTGCGCAGAAGGCGGAACTCAGATCCGGTGAAGAGAAGGTGCGCGATGCGGCGGTTGATGTCTTCACGGAAATTATCGGCAAGAAGATGAAGCCTGAGGACAAGATTGACATGATTATTTTCCTGAATCTCGACACCATTGTTACCCAACTCTCCAATAGCCCACCTCTTAACGAGAATAGGTTCACCTTCAAGTACGATACTGATCTGGCGGAAACGGTGGCCAAGTTAGTCAATATTACAGTCATTGATATTGTACGGGCTCTGGAGCAGGATACCATCATGGCTGACTGCAAAGAGAAAGCCACTGGTCTGCTGCAGGTCTTCCTTCCGCATATTTTGAGATACTTCTCCGACGAATATGACGAGGTCTGCTCGACTGTGATTCCTTGCGTCAGCGACCTCCTGGCGTACCTGAGGAAGATGGCTAAGGTCAACCCAGCCCTGGCTGCGCAGCACTCCTCCGTCCTGCTCCCCATTCTGAAAGCCATCATTGCCAAGATGCGCTACGACGAGACATCGTCTTGGGGAGACGAGGACGATCAAACGGATGAGGCGGAGTTCCAGGAGCTTCGCAAGCGGCTGGGTGTTCTACAGCAGATTATCGCCAACGTGAACGAACCACTATACATCGACGCCGTTTCGGAAGTGGTAGGGACAACCTTCGAGAATCTGCGGCAGTCGGGTGCTCAACTCGATTGGCGGGACTTGGATCTGGCTCTCCACGAGATGTTCCTGTTTGGAGATATCGCCGTCAAAGCAGGGAGCCTCTACACCAAGGGGTCCCCCAACAACCCCGCTGCAGAGCGACTTATTGAGATGATGCTGAAGATGGTGGAGTCTGATATTCGCTCTTTCACACACCCTGCTACGCAGCTACAGTATATGGAGATCTGCGTCCGCTACAGCTCGTTCTTCCAGCACCATACTCATCTAATTCCGAGCGTCTTGGAAAGCTTCCTCCAGTTAATTCACCATCCGATCAAGAAGGTGAAGACACGCTCATGGTACCTGTTCCAGCGCATCGTCAAGCAGTTGCGAACCAATGTTGGCAACGTTGCTCAGACCGTGGTTGGGGCCTTGACCGACCTGTTGGTCATTCACGCAGAGGTGCCTTCAGAAGGATCGGACGGGGACGAAATGTCTTCGGAAGACCACGAAGGATCGGCAGACGCTGTGTTCAACAGTCAGCTGTATCTTTTCGAGGCTGTCGGCATCATCTGCTCTACCCCCACAGTACCCGCTGACAAGCAAGTTCTTTACGCGCAGTCCGTGTTGAACCCCATCTTCATGGACATGGAGAAGAACTTGGCGCCCGCCAAAGCCAACGACGAGAGAGCCGTTTTGCAAATTCACCATGATATCATGGCTCTGGGCACGTTGGCCCGCGGCTTCTCCGACTGGATGCCTGGAACCAGCTCTCCTGCTGCGCTCCCTGCGCCGGAAGTTTCCGAGGCATTCATGCAGGTGTCGGAAGCCACTCTCGTGGCTTTGGAGTCGCTCAAGGCTTCGTTCAATGTGCGCACGGCGGCACGATTCGCCTTCTCCCGACTTATCGGCGTTCTGGGGGCGCGCATTCTCCCCCAGCTTCCCCGCTGGATCGATGGCCTTCTTACGCAGACATCATCGCGCGACGAGATGGCCCTGTTCCTTCGGTTGTTAGACCAGGTCATCTTCGGCTTCAAGACCGAGATCACCGGTATTCTAGACACTCTTCTGACACCTTTCTTGCAAAGGGTTTTCTCAGGTATCGCGGACCCGACTACTGGCACCGATGATGAGATCCAGTTGGCGGAATTGAAACGCGAATATCTTAACTTCCTCTTGGCTGTTCTGAACAACGATCTCGGGGCTGTCATTATCAGTGAAAGTAAGTCGTATCTTCTTGTGACTGTCAGCATGATTTAGACTAACGGTTTAGGGAATCAACCTATGTTTGATACTGTGATTACGACAATCGAGCATTTCGCCAAGGACATTGAGGATTTCACCACCGCCAAGATGGCCTTCTCGGTGCTGTCAAAGATGGGCAGCTCGTGGGGTGGTCCGGACATTGCGCCGGAGGGTCTGAACGGCGCGGCAGGACAGCAGGTAGCTCTGCCCGGCTTCGGCCAGTTCATGATCAGCCGGCTGTCGCCGCTGTGCTGGGCACTGCCCGCGACACCATCATTCAACTCGAAGGATGCACAGGCTAAGCAGGTCCTTGCGGAAGCCGGTGCGCTTCAGCGGACAATCTACGCCAAGACTGGCATGGAATATCTGGAGTATCTCCGGAATCAGGAATTGCCAGGCATGGGCATGGGGGCAGATCTCGTGGAAGAGTTCGTGGGGGCATTGAGCCGGCTGGACTTGAAGGGATTCCGGCAGTTCTTCCCGGTTCGTATTTCTTTTTCCACTCCTGGCTTGAGGCAACGGCTAACATCCCCTGCAGTCTTTTATCCAGCGATTGAGCGCATGATGTGTGGTCTTTCTATATTAAAATATCCCGTCTTCTCATTTTCCTGTTTCTCGGCCCTTTTGACCTCACCCAATCATTCTGTTTCAGTCCTAGATTCCCCCATGGTTTGGTTTGATGACTGATGTGTCTCATGTGATCATTTACACCGAAGCTCTCTTCCCCTCCCATTCCACCTCCTATTATCATATCATATACACGCGGTACGCCGTGAATCATGCATTCAAAAACTTCCCATTCGCCGCAAATGAATCTGCAGGCCCAAGAGCAGGCAAGCGAGCAAGCATACACAACACGAGCACAACCTGAGGAATGTGCCGTGAGAATAAACAAGCCAGACCAAAGAAGAAGAAAAAAAAAGTATATAGTCCAGTTTTCAACTCGGCATAAGCATGAGTGGGCGTTCGAATCATAATCCTATTCCTACTTTGAACCTATCACGCGCAGAATAGGGGGTGGACTGCATGCAGTATGCGATAGGCTAGAATAGCATCGAGATGGTTTCCAGAATGGAGAGGGTGATTTCTGCTTGTTGTTTACGGAGGGGAGGCTAGTGCTTAGGGCAGGTGCATTGTTCTTCAGCTTGTTGGGTGGGTGGGTAGGCAGGCCTTTACTATAGATACATCAAAGTTGTTTCTAATTCTGTGCACCGTGACTTGGTTTGGTGCAGGTATGTTCTGACATGATATCTGTCTCTGCGGGGCGCTATAGTCTACCATCTGCCTTTCCCCAATCTTCTCAAATGTAACGCAGCAGAGAGAAAGACCCCTGGCCTATTCGGTGGTCTACGATCTTCTCTGGACGACCAACCTACAGCACAGTACAGTACAGCCCCATGTCCAGACTACATCCTCACTATGCACCCCCCTTCAAAACCAACCCCATCATCTGCACCAACCGATCCTGCATCTCACAGAAGATACTCACGGCCTTTACCAGTAAAAAAAAAAACTAGCAGTCAGCAACGCGCTCTTCCCCCCTTTCCATCTCCAATAGAACACGCCACAAAAGAACATACCTGGGCAAGCTTCCCCTCACTCTCCCCCCGCCCCTCCCTACTAATCGCAAGCCGATACCCCGCCTCATCGTCCCGGAACGACCCCGGTGCGTCGTAGTTGCCGGGTGGGGTAGTCTCGAAGCAATTGGAGACCGTAGTAGCAGCCGAAGCCGGCAGCGCGGCCAGTTGCTGCAACAGCCCGGGGGCGATGGTGATGTGATGCACGCCGGCGAGCGCGAGGATTTCTGTTGTCGACGTCAAGCTGGCGGGGAGGACTTGCGTGCGGCTGTTGATGGCGTGGTAGTAGGTTTGGATCTGAGGGGGTAGGGGGAGGAGGGTTGTGGGGTCGGTGAATCTATGTCCTTGTTGTTAGTGTGGGGGAGGGGGAAAGGGGTTATGTCTGGGTCTAAGTCATCGGGATGGGGGGGAGGCCGGGGGGCTGGGTTTTGAAGGGCAAATGACAAACTCACCCCGGTTCAAAGTGCACCTTCAATTGATTCACGTAAGGCGCGACGTAGGTGCATCCGACCTCGGCGGCGAGCGCGGCTTGGGTTAGGGTGAAGAGGGTGGTGGCGAGGGTGCGCACGCCGGAGGCTTCGAGAAGTGAGCAGGCGCGCAGGCCCTCCCAGGTGCTGGGAATTTTGATGCAAATGCGTGATTGGGGAAAGTTTGGGTCGAGGTGGTGGGTGAGGAGGATAATTCCTTTACTTGTGGTTAGTTTGGGGGGGGTGGGGGTTCGTGTGTGGCTTCTGGGGGGGAAGCTGGATGGGGGTGTGTATATACGCACTCCACGCATTTGTGAAGGTCTTTGTCGTGGAGTAGGAGTAGTACGGGTTGGTTTGGATGTGGATGTAGCCTGTGATGTGAGGAGCGATCTTGAGGGCGAGTTTGATCATCTATCCAAGAAGAATGAATGGCCGGGTTAGTTACGAGCATTCTAAGCAGTGTGCTGGAGGTGTTTTGGAAGGGCTGATTCGTTACATACTGCAATCTCGACAGCCAATTCCTCTACGCTGGGCCCGGGAAATTTGGGAGATAGCTCAATTGCTTCTTTGACGGATGCAGTGATCAGGTCTTTGTGCTCTGGCTTGGAGAGCTCTCCGAACGCGATGGCCTGCCATAGCAAGTATAGTTAATGAGTGAAGAGTAAGTATTGGGTCTCTGCTGCTGCGGACAAATATACCTGGTTGGAAGTGCAATCCTGGAAGGGGCCGAAGGTTTTGGTAACTGATCATGATAGAGGACAGTTTGGTTAGCTCCGCATTCGAAGCGATCGTCTGACAATAAAAGCTGCACAGACCTTGCTCATCCATTGTGTCGCAGTCGACAATGGTCCTTTGGCGGAGAACATCCAGTGCTGTCTGCGGGGTAGCCATTGCGATGGTATGAGAAGGAGTATCAGGTGAGTTGATAATGGCAGCTAGTCAAGGAATGATGGAGTAGAATCATGGAGAAGAAGAGGAGAAATTGCTTATAAGAAGAATGCAGCAGAATGGCCTAATCAGCGCGTAGGTGCAGAACAGTCTAGGCATTGTCAAAAAAGAAAGCTCGTCGATCTGATAAGCACTGCCAACTCTTGTACTAGCTTGACAAAGGTACTAACTCACTCGAATGGCTGGTCTTTGGTAAGTGTATCGTACCTACCTTTGTGTTTGTAATCAACATAAGAACACAAGGTCGTGGGATATTGTCTACTTTTTTGGTGGTTTGGTGGTTTGATGGTTTGGGTATTTAAGGCAGTCGGGTTTAGACAATGAGAACAGATTCACTTGCAGGTATGAGCGGCTCTACCTTTTTAGCGCCTAGTAGGAAAGTGCCTTTGACTATAGCACATTGTGTCAGTTCCTAGATAAGAATGATATGAAAACTGCATTGTTTCTGTAAATCAGTAAAGACACTATATTGACAGGGTTTTTATGCCTTCTGATACTGATCCAGCTGCTCACCAGCCTATGATGCTGCAGTAAGAGATCTACTAGCCGGCATCGAAAAAGAGCTGCTTGAGAGAATATCAAATTTTTTATACCCCGGACCTAGCGATAACGACATCCGAGAGGCCAAACTACCTGGTAAAAATAATGGGACGGTTTGAAAGCATCAAGAGTAGTCGGGCGCATCTTCAGGACTAACAGCAAAACAGGTCACTTATACATCTAATTATAGTATACCTACCCTTCCCCTCAGACAGTGAGCAGTGGCCATTTAGCCTAAATCGGAGCGGGGTGAAACCCATTGCTTGTCGATAATCCGACACGATTGTTCTTCCATTCGGCCCGACAGTTCACTCGCCTTTGAAACGATCATCGGCAAGAGAATGAATCACTGGCGAATTGGGATTAGATATGCTGAATCGAATCTGCGGTGGGGTTGTAATCCCTTATCAATCAGATGCCGCTGTCTCAGCCCTAACAATGCCGACAACTGACTGAGGGCAGTGTCCGCATTAAGGATTGCTCGTGCAAACATTGGCAATTGATTGACAGTTGGTTTACTGCTCCTTTGACTGACTGTCCCCTCAGCTCATTGGGTTATTCAAGAAGCCAGTTGTCGTGGTTCTCGAGTGGCTAATCAAGCGCAGCCATGATCATGTCACCAATAGACCACCTGCGGGCATTACTGCCGCAGGCCGCAGGCCGCAGGACGATGACCACTGTTCCCAGTAACCAATGCTCCAGGATCACAACTCCAGGATTAACGCTGGGACATCGATCAGGAGACGATCTCAGTTGTCAATCTTGAATGCCGCTTGACAAGCGACAGCTTGTATGCACACAGACTACAATGGCAGTCAAGTACCATTCGACTACAGACTACATCATGTAACCCTGATATGAAACCCTTTCATCTCATTGACGAGAGACAAATGGGCGATTAACGACGGGACAAGTCCTTCTCAGGTATCTCATTGACCTCTGCGGAAACGACAGAATGCCGAACCAGTGAGGCCCTGCGTACCACGTCAACATCATCCCAGATGGTAGATAACGTGTGCGGAGACCCTTGGGAGAAGGAAAGGAAAGGAAAGAGGAAAGGAAGAGAAAAACACGCACACAAATGAAGAAAAGAGCTCGGCACAAGCGCGGGCGGTGAGGGAATGGAAGATGAATCTTCCGAATGGTAATGCAGCATTGCTCATTGGCTCAGAATTCCCCTCCGGAGCTGGTCCCGTGACCTGGAGTCGAACCCGAGGTTGTCCGTCCCGTGATTCCGAACCGCTACGAGAGTCGGGAGTTCGAGGCTACTTTCTTTCCTGGTCGACCACGAACCTCGAACGACGACGACATTCCGTTTTCTGTCCACTGTTCAATCTCCAGTCCCTGCACCGCCTGTCAGGTCCTTTCACACGCGTCACAATGCTTTCTCAGAAGGTTGCCCAGCAGTCCCTGCGACGGCGTACGTTCTCACTTCTCGACCCTGCAGCCATGGGGCTCCGCTAACCGATTCGTTTGCAGTCGCCGTCCAGCAGCCCTACGCCCTGCGCTGGTCCTTGATGAACTCCGTCTCGCCTGCCGCCGTTGCTCTCGGAAGAAGTGTTCAGATGAGGTGAGTTGCTGCGCTGAAGGATGGATGGATTGTTGCGACTGGCTTCTCCATTGGGTGGATGTCGCGATCTCGAATTCGACCGAAACCGCGTGAGGCGCAGGCCATGAGAGATTAGACACGTGTGGGGATATAGCACACGGAGTCGCTAACCTATCTCGTCGGATTAGACAAGCTACCACCAGCACGACCACCTCCGACCCCAACAAGCTCCTTGCTGAGCAGCGTCTGCGCCGCCCCGTCGCTCCCCACCTTTCCATCTACAAGCCCCAGATCACTTGGATCGGCAGTAGTTTGCACCGTATCACCGGTATCGCCCTGTCCGGCAGTCTCTACCTCTATGCGACTGCCTACCTCGCTTCCCCCATGCTCGGTTTGGACCTCGGTTCTGCCTCCGCCGTTGCCGCTTTCGGTGCCCTCCCTGTCCTCGCCAAGGTCCTCCTCAAGGCTACCATGGCCATGCCTTTCACCTACCACTGCATGAACGGTGTTCGTCACTTGATCTGGGATACCGGTCGCGGTCTCACCAACCCCCAGGTCATCAAGACCGGCTGGACTGTGGTTGGCCTGAGTACGATTAGCGCTCTGATTCTTGCTTTGCTGTGATTTCGCTTGTGCCATACCTTTTGATTCCTGCTCTGTCTAAAATGTTCTTCTTGCAATATATATTCAATAGCCAGTCAATGGATGACTGATCGCTTTTTTTTTCTCTTTTGGAAAAATCCGGTGTCCTACTTCTTTGTCATGAAGACATGACTTACACGGCCTGCAAAGGGAAGCGGTCGTGTACCATTTCGTAGGGCAATCCTTGGACATTGAGCCGCTGTCATGGATTATTGAGATTGAATGAATTGATTCATGCAGCATACGAAGACAGCACACGAAAACAGCACCACATATTGCTCATGTCACTAACATTGTAGCCAGACTGATTTCATTCTCCAGAACATTTGCAACAATAACTCCCGAACCCCCATCTTCGGTCCAGTCTATAACGATTCTGCCCATTTCGAATTCACGACCCACGATAAACAACTCCTTCATGCCGATGAATTTCTTTTGCCGCCTTCGGTGCTTGAACAGCCGCACTCCTAGTCGCAGCATTGCCTTGCGCCAGTTCTTCGCCTGTTACATAGTTAGAACCGATACTTCTATGCTTTTGGCTCTCAAGGTGCGCATCTGCAAGTCTTTCGCAGAATTTGCACGCTCGAGCGGAAAGAATGTCCTCACCTGTACAGGAATTCCTTATTGATCCAACAACTATCGATTATTATGGTCTGTGATTTCATGCCGGACTTGGCGGAGGGTTGGGAGGGAAAGGTTGAGGTGAAGGCGGATCATGGACCGAACAGTTACTCAGGGGAATCCCCTCCCTGTTGATCTCAACTGGAAGAAGATCCAAGCCCGACCAAACTTCGGAACGGAAGTTGTACATTGTCCAGAGTGACATGTTGCGCTGTGAAGAATCGAACCGGATAGGCAGACTGCGGATAGCTCGGGGTATTTTCGTAGCCCGGAGAGGAGGAGGTCTTGGGCTTGCTTGATACCACTGACAAACAGAGGGGGGATCAATTGACTGGAGCAGGATTTGAGGTATAAGACAAAGGCAATACGAGGCACACACATGCACATAAGGGGTCTGATGAGAAGTCACTGCAGAGAGAGCTACAACCTTCCCTTTATATACTGCCAATTCTGAAGTCCAGAGACCGGGTCGAAATGGGCTCTGGGCCGGGTCGTACACCGCTATACTGTTCGACTTCCGTCTCCACGGCAAGAGACCGCGTGGGGGATATGACATTTCCAATGGCCTTTAACGCTGATTACTCCGCCAGCCCTGATAGATCTCGATGAGTCTCCCGCGTTGTCTGCAAGGGACCGACGGGAATGAGTCGTCTAAATATGGCGGACAGTGTGCTTGCAGCCGCGTGTCTCGGTCCATGACTACAAGACAATAGTTCAGACACACTGGAGAAGGGAGAACCGAAGAACTATGATGAGCCAAAACATACTAGCAGACTGTCCGATCATCGGCACGCTGTGTGGACTGACAAGCATGAAAACTCCCTTGCGTCTTTTGACTATCGCAAGTCATATTACCTCAGATCTTAGAACCTGAACCAGAAATTGAGGCTGATATTTTCTGCCTGCTCTCCATACCTAGGGCCGAGGGTCGATGCGCACACCTTGCGAACAGACCCTGGAACGTAGACGCCAGATGGACGTTTTACGATCTTCCACCCTCTAAGGCGAATCCGGCAGCTTGCCCCGAATTGTGGCTTCATGATTTCCGGGGAATTGGGGGGGGAGGGTGCGTTTGCCTTTGCATAGACGGGGCCCTAGAAAGTTCGCTTCGATACAGGGATTCTGGAGAGCTTCCATCTTTGCAAACAACCGGCCTCGGCAATACTGCACTCATCGGCCATCAAGCTTACAGTAAAAGTCAACCTTGAAGCATCTGGCAAGCCCGTTACTAGTGACTCGCTCTGTCACGTGCACACTGTTCCCCATTTGCCTACTCCTCTTCGTCCAGATTGCTCATGATCGCACCACCAAGGCAGGCCTTTGTCGGATCTTTCTAGTGAGCCTTGATTTCTAGAAGCGGTCTGCAAACGGCATGATAGCAGTTTCGGGTATATGGATATTCCTGTACAACGCAGGCCTCTTGGATGCCATGTCTATCGCGCGGAAGCACGTGGACAGATTCCAGAGCTCGAATCTAACGCACCCAGAATCGAAGCGATCCTGACCCCAAGTCTCAGCAAATTGCCTGACCAAGCTCTTCTTTCTAAACGGCTAATGCATGAGACCGTCTCCAGTGATGTCTCAAGTTTGCCTCCCGACGGCTTCTGACGGGGTAGCCGCTCAGAGTCGGGTAGAAGGTGTTCAGCGGCCGCTGGGCATCGTACTCTTTCCAAATCGGAGTATCTTGTGGAAACTGGCTTGCTCTTGACTTCCTACTACTCACTTTACGGGGAACTGCAATTGGATCTATGTTCCCCGCAGAGTGGTGTCGTCCGGAAAACGGGATCCAATACAAAGAATAACGCCCTGAGCGGTTCTCGTTGTTGGCTCAAAAGTTTCGGGGGCTTTGAGAAGGACTCGTCTCCTCTGGGCCTTGCTTTGGGTCTATATCACCTGCCAGTGCGACACTGGCCCGTTGGAACGAGAACCCCCCGGCCGTTACGTCCCTTGTCAATAGCAGCTTTGAAATATGCTGTCCCGAGGGCGACTGGTATCACCTTGCTCCTCAATATTGGCAGTGAGATAAAAGCGAAGCTCTTTACCGCTGGTCTCTTTGTGTCGGCCGAGCCTGTCTAAAATGATGAATCACGACTTTTCCAGGGCATACAAAAGATACAGAGGCCGTTCCACCGAGCTCTTACGACTCGTCCACTGGAGGGATGGATTCTAACAGCTCCATTGCACGTTGGATATGCACAAGGCAAAACGGACCGACAGGGGTGACACGGAAACTACCCCGAGGTTTCCGTCATCCGAATTTTCGGCTCCTGGTTGTTGCACAGTACAGACAGGGTGGGAAGTGATATGCCGCCCTTCCTCCTCCCCCTGTCAGGCCATATTGCGGTGTAGAAAGAGTCTCCAGGCGGGAAGCTCTCACTTAGGGCGGGCAGGCAGGCTCTGGGCTGGGCGGTTTACTTTCTGATGTTCCCGTCCATCCTGTCAATTGTAGCCTACGAATAGCTCTCCGTAGATGACTCGTGTTCTGACAGGCTATAATCATCATTACATTTACATTGAGGAAGGTTCTATCGACTTGGTGCTTTTCTCTCGCATCTTTTGTCTCGGACTCCGAAGTGATCTAGCAAGTCACTAGAGCTTACGGGTTCTTGCGCCTAGTAAAATCTCGCCCCATCGTCGAAGAGGGAGAGAAGGTGATTCATGGGGAAGTACGTAACCTTCCGTCGGTTCATAGTACGGCATTCAGTGGCATGCAGCGGGCCTTGGGTATGAGGCAAAAGAGACTAGATACCCGGATGTCAACTTTGGGGTTAATGGCGAGATATATAGTATCGATGCCGGGTTCCAATGGCGCGGAGATGTTCCTGGGTCCATTTGGAGATGGATCTCAACATTGGTACACAGACGTACACAGACCCAGAACGTTAGAGTTCGAAAGCGCTGTATCAGGCCAGCATAACAGATTTCAATTGTTTTTGCTGTGGCGAGAGGAGTAGCTTGCTCATGTATAACCTATAAGATGCGATAAGGTACTGTATAGTATAGTGCTGTAGCCGCTCATGCCCCGGCCCGCAAGAACGGAACTGAAGGGGAGCGCCGGAGGAAGCGCTAACCCAATATGGAATAGCGCGTCTCTGAATTCTTCCTGGAAGTCCATCATCAATTATAGTTGTTGTTGCCATCGACCGTGCCAAAAAAAAAAGAGACAGCCCCGGACTGGCGAACCCCTCACTCTCACACCCCTTCTCCACCACTCCGAGTTCCGGTTTCTCACATATCCAATGGCTTCAACACTGTCCACTCGCGCGGTCAGGACACTCTCCGGCCCCGCGTGCCGCACCCTCGCTCGTCCCAGCGCGATCGAATCCGCTCTCCTTCCGCGGCGAGCCTTGTCGACATCCACGGAGGCAGCGCCTGCCAGCCAGCAAGATCGGCCGCGGTGGTCCTACACGCCCGAGCGTGCAAAGGCCCCCTTCAGTCTGCGCATTGATTCCAAACGCCCGGCCTGGAACTCCAACTCCGACCCCAAAGTCCTCGATCGGTTTTACATCGGCCTGCTCGGCCCTGATGGCGACAAGGTACTATCGGACGAGGTCAAATGGCTGGCGGTGACGCACAAGAGTTTTGATCAGGGACGGAGAGGTTACAACGATCGTTTGGCTTTCTTGGGTACGTACGGGGAAGAAGGGAGGAAGAGAGGGGACGAAGGGCTTCCTTCCCACTTTTACCGATGACATGACGGTGGCGGCGGCTAACCTTCGATTTTTCCTCCTGTCGATAGGCAAACGCATCGTCAAACTACAGGCTTCGCTGGCTTTGGTGCAGGGTCCAGCTGCCAGTGCCCCGACTCCGGACGCCTATGGCCGCATGCCCTTTACCCATCCCGATTTGGAGGGCTTGAGCAACCTCTCTTACAACGTCAAGAACTTCATGACACACAAGGCCAAGATGGCGCAATTGGCAAACAAATACTCACTCCAGAAAGTTTTGAGATGGTCTCCTCGGCAGGTGAGTGACTTGTGTTAGGTTGGGATGAAAACCGTTGCTCTTCCCCCCAAACCCCCCCGTTTCTATCATGCTACAATGGAGAGCGCACGCGAGTTGGGGGAAACAGACTGTGGCTAACATGTGGTCTCCCTCACACAAACTCTAGCCCCTCAACCTTCAGGCTTCCGGATTGGAACTCGTCCTCGCTCACACGATGTACGCTATTATCGGCGCCATCTCGCTGGAGAAGGGCGGCGACGTCGCCAACAAGGTGGCACGTGAGCGGATACTCAAACCCCTGGGCCTTGGGCTCGAGGCATGAAGAAGTCGGGGAGGCAGGACCGAATTTGAATTCTTCGGGGCAATTTTTCGCAGGGAGCATATCAAGGCGTTTATCTATTATTTTTCTCGTTCTCTCTTTTTTTATTTTTCTTGGGGGATCTTGGTTCCCATCTGTGTACTGGGGGATCATCACTTTTTGTTCGACCGTATATTATGTATTTTTAACCACCGCCAACCACTACGACCTGTGCTATATGGAACTGCAAATACCAACCCGCAAGATTTCTTTACTCGCTCCCGGATATTCGAGTACATAGCATGTAGCAGGCTAAGGTGGACAATACATAAATCAAGAGAAAAATAGGAATGTACGGTTCCTCTGACACCGCCCGAGTAACAGTAAGCAAAATACTCGGCCAGCTCTTATGGAACCCTCGAAGAATTCGATGCATCGTCTTCGCACCTTGGTATCGCAAGATCAGCCATGGAAAACCGAGATCAACCAACAGAATGTCAAGTTGAACTTGGAAATCGCTTGGATGCAATTTACGCTGGCTTGCACTGTCTAGAAAGGGCGTATGGTACAAAGAAAGAAAAGAAAAAAAAAGCCGGAGGAAATTTCGCAGCAGAAATGCGAATTTATAGTGTGCTTGGTGTCTACTGCGCTAGACTTCTTTGAGAGTAGCTCAGCTCCCTGAGAAGGCTTAGCGGCACGTGTCCTGATGCCTGAGGCGTGGTTACTTACCGAGACGTTAAAACTGGTAATCAATGGCCAGAATGCGAGGGGGCCTGGTGTAAGACTAGTATCAGGCCAGACGGACAGCCGCAATCCAGCCCATTGACAACTTTAGGTATGAGTTCACTAACTACCTTAACTTTAAGGTCAGATACAACCATCTTGTACTGTACGTTTATCTTGTTGCAGAGCTGTTGATGCTTCTCCTCCATTGACCTCAACTAACATTGTTCACCTTCAGCTCAAATCCCTCCCTTTTTCTAGATCCAACAAGCATGTCGAGTAACTAGTGGTCTGGCTGGCCTCTCCCGTTCACACTCGCCAGCGTCTCTCTCCCGCACCGACTCCCCTTCCCATCTCCATCTCCTTCCTGGTCATTCTCACTCTTGACCACTTCCTTACTCCCCCGACGTCGGATTTCTTCCCATCCTTGTCGCCATGGCGTCGGCTATTTTCTTCCTGGATCTGAAGGGCAAGGTAAACATACTCCAGCAGTGCCTCCGTGTCCATTCTCCCCCCCTGGTACCTGACCGTCTTAGTAGACCCTTCTAGCCCGGAACTATCGCGGAGACATCCCTCTGTCCGCGGTCGAGAAATTCCCTATCCTCCTCAGCGACGCCGAAGAAGAGAGCTCCGCCGTCGCCCCCTGCTTCTCCCATGAAGGAATCAATGTACGTATCGACCTGCGCCCGCCGCAACGCCGCCGCAACGCCGCCGCCGGTGCGGCGCACACACATGCACCTCCCTATTTACCCCCGCTGTTCCCCGCAGCCCGCACCCAGTCGCTGCTGGCTTCGTACCAGCATCACTCATCGCCCCCCTCCCATACCACCTCAATGCGTACTTGCTTGGAAACGTGGTGCTTACCGCAGCTATATTTGGAATTGGTTCATCTTTGTTAATTATGGCATCCGACATAGTACCTCTACATCCGTCACAGCAACCTCTACATCCTGGCCCTGACCAAGAAGAACACCAATGCCACCGAGATTCTCCTCTTCCTACATAAGATCGTCGAGGTGTTTACGGAATACTTCAAGGTGCTGGAGGAGGAAAGTATCCGGGACAACTTCGTCATTATCTATGAATTACTCGATGAGATGATGGACTTTGGGTACCCGCAGACCACGGAGAGCAAGATCTTGCAAGAGTAAGTTTCCTGGATCGGTCTGCTGCTTGCCAAAAAAAAAAAAAAAAAAACATGGCGGACTTTCCTTCTTCCAAAAAACAGTGGGGTGCTGACTCGGGGCGCGCAATCATTCCAGATACATCACACAAGAATCACACAAGCTCGAAGTCCAAGCCCGACCACCTATCGCGGTCACCAATGCCGTCTCCTGGCGAAGCGAGGGAATCCGCTACCGCAAGAACGAAGTCTTCCTCGATGTTGTCGAGTCCCTGAACCTCCTCGTCTCCGCGTCTGGTAACGTGCTGCGATCGGAGATTCTGGGCGCTATCAAGATGAAGTGCTACCTGAGTGGGATGCCGGAGCTGCGGCTGGGCCTGAACGACAAGGTCATGTTCGAGACCACGGGCCGCGCCACGCGCGGCAAGGCCGTCGAGATGGAGGATGTCAAGTTTCACCAGTGCGTGCGACTCTCGCGCTTCGAGAACGACCGCACCATCAGCTTCATCCCGCCGGATGGCGAGTTCGAGCTCATGAGCTACCGGTTGAACACGCAGGTGAAGCCGTTGATCTGGGTGGAGTGTCTGGTCGAGTCTCACTCTGGTTCGCGGATGGAGTACATGCTGAAGGTGCGTTGAACATCCTGAGAGGGGGGCAGATGCGATGTCGAGGCTTGGTTGACTAACGGCACACATCCGCTACAAACGACAGGCCAAAGCACAATTCAAGCGCCGCAGCACAGCCAACAATGTCGAGATCCTCGTGCCCGTGCCGGAAGATGCCGATTCGCCGCGGTTCCGCACCAATATCGGCACCGTCCACTACGCCCCTGAGAAGTCCGCCATCATCTGGAAGATCAAGCAGTTCGGCGGCGGCAAGGAGTTCCTGATGCGCGCGGAGCTGGGTTTGCCCTCCGTCAAGGGCGATGACGAGCACGGCGGCGGCATGACGGGCGGCTTCGGCGGCAGCATGGGCGGCACCGGCCAAGGCAAGGCCAAGCGGCCGATCAACGTCAAGTTCGAGATCCCCTATTTCACCACTAGTGGCATCCAAGTACGGTACTTGAAGATCACCGAACCAAAGGTATGTTGTAGCGTCTTTATCCATTATAGACTTCTTGAATAGTTCCCGCTAATCCGATGGCTTCGATAGCTACAATACCCTTCCCTCCCCTGGGTACGATATATAACCCAGTCGGGCGATATCGCCGTCCGCATGCCAGATGTACAATGATGTATAGCGTTTTCCAACCCCCCCCCCCACCCCCTTTCGCTTGTACCGTCTTTATTTCTGTCTCTTCTTCCTCTAGTCCAAATCAGATTTATTATAAATACTTTCTCCCCTCCCCCTTTAAGGTGACTCATGGATCAGTCCAGTCTCTGGCAGTTCTATACATAGACGGTCATGGAATTAGGCTGGCTGTCGTGCGTTCCCACTTTCTTTCTTTTACTTCTAGTAGTTTTTAGGGTAGTATAAAGCCGGACGTAGCCCAACTCGCGACCTCTTTTCATTTCACTCCGAAGTATGATTGTACATCCCTCCTTCTATGTCCAGGCGGAAGTATTCCGTACTTGGGGTTTGGTTTTGCAGGCTTTGTAGTGTACATCCACAGCGTTGTCTCTGCTCTGCCTCTTAGGTCTCAGGTCTCGAGCTCAGATGGAGAGGAAACAGCGGAATGCTAACAACGGTGTTTGGTTGGAGTGGAAGACATCGTTGGCGAGAATCAATCACATTCGGCTGAGAGCCGGTCAGACATAGGGCTAGTACTGACTAGCCGTTACCACATACTAGTGACTAGTCACTGGGTTCCCCAACGAGTGGATTTCGCAATTGGTTCAATAGAGGAATAGAGGACGATTGAGAAAGAGAGAGTGTGTGTGAGGAGGAAAGCGGGCTGGTGATGAGAGGATTACGAGGTATATAGCCCAGGGGTATGTGTATAGGCTATCGAGTTCTCTGGATAGTCAGGTATAGGAATGAATAGTTGGTGACGACTATGCCAAAGCATACTTTGCATGGGCATGGGAGAAGGTAAGTAGTGGGATGTGGTCGAAGAAGCGGGGGCCTTTTATTTATGAAAGAATTTTGGGTTGACAAGGCTTGAATACATACACAGATACATACAGGACAAAGGCTGAGGGAGATTGACGATGCAGCGCATGCTCATCAGGTTTGGAGAATGAAGGGTATCTTTAAAGGATAGGATGGTGGGAGGGGGAAGGGGAGTTGCATTGCGTGGTTCAATGCACTGAGATTTCTCTGGTCGGGGCCAAAGGAATTGGAAGCGTGGGAGTTGGCTAGTGGGTGTGGTGTCTAGTTTGCTTGGTGGTGCAGCAAGGTTGTTTGGGATGGGGTGGGTTAGAGGATTTAGGGGGGGGGGGGAGGGGAGGGAAGTTAGAACCTCCCTTTTTGGCCCCTTCAGACAGGGGAGATGCTCCTTGTTATGGTGGATGTGAAGGCGGAGAGCCGCGCATACGCTTCTTCCACATCGGACGGACCGCGTGTCATTGCTGACGAACTCTTGATGGGGAGGTCAATTTGACCTCTTGGTCGATTAATTTGATGGTAAATCAATCATGCGCCCCGTTGGTCCCGTCGGGCGATTCGACGGTAGGGAGCGGAAATCCATCGCCGTGGCCGGTGGCCGCCGCTTTGGAGAAGCCCTCGCGGGCGAGCATGGTGTTGAGGACGGCGCAGTTGTAGGCCGCTTCGCCGGGGGGCACCACCAAGAAGATGTAGGTGTTGTCCGTGAACCGGCCGAGGAAGACGTTGAACTGCGGGGTCTTGGTGTGCATGACGACGAACCCCGCGGACGCGGGCGTGGTGTGGGTGTTGCGGGCGGCGCAGTGCTTGAAGGCCTTCATGATGTTGGAGAGGCGCTCGTGGCGGTCGTAGATCGGATTCATGTCGCCGATCTCGGATGACACGGACGTGACGGTGAGGAAGGTGGAGCGCTCGAAGAGGATGACCTCCTCGGCATCCACGCGTTTGGCGAATGCGTGGAGAAACCGCTCGATGACCGTCAGGTTGGGGATGAGCTTGTGGACGATGCCGGCCCAGGCCTTGTAGAGGGACTGATCCCAGATGCTGCTGCCGAAGGTGTCGATGGAGAAGTGCTCCGACCGGCTGCGGATCATGGCGGAGCGTTCGTCGTAGATCCGTTGCCGGTGCTCGGCCTGAATGAGGTCGAGCTTGTGGACGAGGCAGAAGACGTGGGCGTTGGGGCTGTACTCCTTCAAGGCATTGATGATGGCGTTGTAGGTGTCGAGGTCGCGCTCGACCTCGCGGGACTCAATGTCGAAGACGTAGATGAGGACGGCAACGTCGGAGAAGATGTTACCTCGTTGGGAAGCGAGGTAGGTCTCCATAAAGGCATCTTGTCTAGAATGAGGGTTCTTGGTCAATGGATGGATTATTCACTGCAAGGCCCGAGGTGTTGGTTGACCTACCCTCCGCAATCCCAAAGGTTAAGCGTGAGGTTCCCCATGAACTTGACATGACTATGCTCGACATCAATGGTGGCACCCAGGCGTCGGACATCCTTGGCCACGTAGTTGCTGAAGATAATTGATCGCATAGAAGATTTCCCCGAGCCACTCTTCCCCATCAGAAGAACCTTTCTCTTCTTCTTGCGGAGATCCATATTTGGGGAGGGGGAGATTACTATCCCGTTAACCGTACCCCGCACTTAGAAGGAAGATAGAAGCTCAACGGAAGAGATTAGGAATGAGGAGGAGAGAGTGCTAATCAATGGGAGAAAAGAGGTAGTTTTTATCCATCTGAAAGTGGATCTTGCAAGGGGAGATTGGTATGTGGAGGTAGAGAAGCTACAGAACGAAGGCTCGCGAAAGCAAAGGGCCGGAGGAGTTGGAGGACCAGCCTCCCTCCCGCCCTCCCGTCCTCCTCAGCGAGCGTCATCGCTGTTTGGGTCAACAATGTTCCGGAGGCTGCCTTGCAGTCACGTGAAGTCACACGCATCGGGTCTTTTCCCTCTTAAGATTACTTTACACGTGGGCTTCCCCTCACCCGTCAAAAGGTAGTCAAGATATATCATGGCATCAAGGCTGTACTGTATGTGTACTGTATGTACATACAGTTGTTGATACAAAGACTTGAAGAGTCTCTTTGCGACTTCTTTCGGATTCATTACCCTGTAATGATTGATGTAGAATGTACAGACCAATATCCATGTGTACATGAAAAGTAAAATATCAGTATCCCCCCCTAGTAGAAACAAATGTACAGCAGACGCCAATTAGGTATAAAATTCAAGGTGTTCCAGTCCAGAACCGACCCGAATGGTGTTCTTCACACACAGAGGGGGAGAACAGTAAATATGTAACAAGGCGAAGGAATATCCGGTCATCAAAGTCATAAGCACTTCCACCAGCCGTAAGGTAATCAGCAAACGCGAGCTGGCGGAGTCAGGTATCCAGGAAATCAACGAGGTATGCGATCATTAGAAAACAGTGCCGTCCGAGCGTATCATGATGGGAGGCTCCTTCGTATTGGGCCTGGATACTTCGGCAATCTCGCGACCACCCTAGGGTTGCTTGTTAGCATGTTTTCACCTCACTGGGTATCAAACATGGATTTCCAGCTTACCTTCCATGAGCCTGCCTCTAGCATCTGTGCGAGTGTCAACTGGTCTTCTCCTACCAGCCCCAGCTGCCCGTTGACTTCTGACAGCAGCTCGTCTAGGAAGCCAACAGTGACGGCGCGCCACTCCACCACCACATCATCATCCGTCGAGAAAAGGGGCACAACCTCGACGTTTGGCTGTCCTTTGATCTGAGCATTCTCTCTGTATGCCGTGAGCCCGCGCTCCAGGTCTTTCTCCTTCAGACTCAACAGTCCCATATCAATCAGTAGGCCGCCGTTGCGATATTCGGGAAGACCCGTCAACAGTTCACTGCCCGCAAAGTGGATCTTCATCAATTTCGACATGGGAACCATGATGGAGTAGCAGAGCCATTGCGTCAATTTGTGGAACGGGACGATGTTCTCCCAGGGCTGTGCGGGTGGCGATTTAGGTAGATCAGAGCAGGGCCATGCGTCTCCGATAGAAAGGCCGTCGATCTGCGTTCTCGAGGGAGGCCAGATCGGGGTGAGTCCATCCATGAGCACACTCCAGAGGGTGGTGATAGGAACGATCGGAACGGACGAGGCGAGTGTGGACGGGTGGGAAAGAAGGTAATCTGCATATCGTAGGTTAGCTGGTGTTAGGCAGAAGACGGACCGGTCGGTCTTCGCTTACCTAGCAAGTTTCCGGGTCGCGCATCGACGCCGAAGAAGTCTTGGTTGTTCAAAGCTTCAGAAAGTCGGATCAAGAGGCCAGCGCGACCTTGAATGCCTGCAAGCGGGTTCTGCTCCGAGTGTTGCATTCCCTTAGCAAGCACCTCCACGGTAATCTTCTTCAGCCCAGCGCCGTCCACCTGACAGGGTTCTGTGGGGTCGCTGCTGAACAAGCCACTCTTGAACATCTCCAACGTAGCTACTGCCAAGCCTTCGCTGCGAGAGTAGATCTTGCCCGACTCCTTGGATTTGTAGGACCATCCGTTCCCTGCGCCCGCATCAAGAAGAACGGAGACGACAAACAGATCGATCAGCCGACGGGTCCGTTCTTGCGCGTCAATAGTACTAGGCCAGGACTGAAGCAGTTGGTTGACGCGGGGTCGACCACCCACGTCAAAGTGCTGCCAGCGTCCATGAGGAGGAATCGCGTCGTAGTCGGGAGCATAGTCTCTCTAGAAGGAACCAGCTTGGTTAGCACCGAATCCTGAGACAAATACGACGGGGTCCCCAAAGTGCGTGCAGTTTCCTCTTACCTTGATGATAGAAACAATGTACGAGGCAGTGGCAATGAATTTGCTCATATCAACATCAAAGTGGTTGAGTCTGTTTCTCTTCGCCTTGTTGAGAACGTATGAGCATCTTTCGCGGACGGCGTGGATGCTCCGCAGATAAGCTGCGGGATCCAGGGCTGGATCGGGCGGTTTGGCAATCGGCATCTCTGGTATGGAGGCAGGCAACCCGCTTCCCTTATACCCAGGGGATCTCAACGATGCACTCGAGGTACGGGCACTGTTGGCGGAGGCAAAGGATTCCTGCTCATCCTTTTCACTCTGGATCGAGTTCTTAGAGTCTTTGCGCTTGAAAAGACCCATGGTGGGCGGAGAGTGTGTTAGTTAGAGTGGGTGAGGGGGTGGGCGAGATAGATGGATGAAACACGGCGCTCAGAGAAAAGGAAAAATAATTTGTTTTTCGTGAGGAAGTCGAGGATGGTAAGAACCGAGGAGAAAGAACGATAAAGTTCCAAGGCTAGACTGAACGTCTGGTGTCAGCAGCAGAAGTGCCGAACGCAAAATTGGGCACCCAGAAGAGCAAAAAGGTCGTAAACAGAACGAAGAGATCTGCAGTGGTTGCTCCTTGCGGGCGAGAGTGAGAGGGAAAGAGAAAGAGAGAGACTGGAGTGACGGAAAGGAAAAAAGGACAGGGCCCTTAGTTTTTACATATGAGTTTACTTTTGGGATCTGGCTAGCTGTCTAGATTTTGCTTTCTTCTTTTAATCTGAATGTGAATTTTATTTTTGGGGAGGAAGGGGGGAAGAGGGTGAATTCTTTTTACATGAAATTACCATGTTTTCTTGTCATTTCTGTGCCTAGAAGGATTTTTGTTTTGTATTTTTATTTTTATTTTTATTTTTCCATTATTTATTTTTTTTTCTTGTTCATTTAGATCAAGATTAGCAAATGGAGGGGGGAAAAGAGTCAAACTACTAATAATAAGGAGGGGAAGTAATAATAACAATAATAACGACAACAGCAACAACAGTGTAATACAGAGCGGGGGCAGTCGAGGGGAAAGTCGAGCTTAGAGAACATTAGGAAAGGTTAGGAACCTTAGCAGGGCTACTAAGACCTCCCTCATTGGCACGAAAAGGACCCGAGTAATTGAGCCACGGCCCTCTCTACGGCGCAGAACCAGTAACCTAGTCGAGTCTCGGAGTCGGGAGGTGGAGAGCTTGGGAGGGGGAGGTTGTTTAAACCGGCTGCATGGCGGATTTTAGTCTCTGATAGAGACAGATGAGTTTTGGTTTTCTCTAGTCAGTCTAGTCAGGGGGGGCCATACAGTGCATACTCCATACTGCATACTGCATACACACCAACTGTTAACCAAGTAAACATAACACAATACGAGGCAACCACCGACAGTCCATGGAGCTGATTACTGATAGGATAGGTGCCCGGTCTTGTCAATCGTTCAGTCAGACCTAATGATTCTGGCCCCGCAAACCAACTGGTGCTTCTAAAGACCTGAGAAGCTGAGGGGTCAATGAGTTCATTGAGTTTATAGTGTGATTGATGATCATCGAGGCAACACATCCGAAGCTAGTAATGAGGTCAGAGCCGTCGCAATCTCACCCTGTTCTTTATCTGAACTCCTAGATTTGTACTTAGTACTTGTAGATTGTAGATTGTGCCGTATGTACTACTGTACTGTGTGCCCTAAACCTCCTGCGATGCATGGCAGCTGCATCCATCTCATTACCGCATACAGCTGCAATACCGGACCTTGCTGTATTATACAGTACCATTCTCCTCTGATACAATACCATACCTAATCAATACCTTCTCGTCACTACAGGACCACCCAGTACTCGTACTAACTTACTCAGTTGTCTCCAGCTTACTTTTTTAGGAGTACCATGCGCCCCTCAAGGTAGCTATCAAGTGAGCCACTGTGTTGACTCGTTGAGTGCCAATTTCCCAGGTATGGGGCATCTGCTACGGAAATGGATCCAAGAGGGGACCGCAGGACGCAGGTCGACAAGGCCACCTTCAACCCCCTCCCTCCCCCCCCCCCCGTGCTACGGCCGACAGACAGGTAAGTCGGCTGTCTTGGACCCAGATCGATGGAACCAATGAAAAATAAGTTTAACTAGTGAGGATCAGAGAAAAATGGTAGTCTAAGAGGAGCAGGGTGAGCACGGACAGACTCGCGCTCAAGGCTGTTCCGGGTCTTGGAGTCTTGTCTCTTGCGCCGCCGCCCTCTTTTCCCCCTCGCCCCAGTCATGCGGATCTAGCGGTTTGCCGGCAGCCATTTTCTTTCCACTCACTGCGCATCAAGGACCTCGCTTATTTTCTGCTACCGTCTATCTTAACTCGATTAGGAATTACTACAATTGCATCTCATCTTGAAAGAAGTGGAAAGAGAAAAAAAAATCTTCAAAGACGCCAAAGTCTGCGGGCGGGGCAGAAAGCGTAAATGGATATGAAGGGTTCTGTTATCGTTGTTGTTGGTGGTGGTGGTGTTTATTGTTGTTGTTGCCTTTGGGGCTTTGTTGACTGCTGTGAGCGATTTCGGTGGACCTTCAGCACATGCCCAATGAAAATCCAAAGATACAAGCCTACACTCAAGTGCCAGCTTCGAATTACCTGCTGACTGTCCGAACCTAATTCGACTTGCAAAAGCTCCCTGGTATCCGCGCGGATAACAGCCGAGCCCACCTCATTTGGGTTTCTACCCTATCGGTTGTTTTCCCCTTCCCTCTGAGACGAACACAGAACACAGAACAATTCCTGGCGATGAAAAAGACGACAACCCAAGGGCGTGCGCCGAGAGCTCAGCCAAGAAGACATGGAATTTTCTCACTATGTGGGTTGCGGAGGCGGAATGCGATACACTGACTGTTTCGCACTATCGACTCAGTAAGTAGGAATAATGTCCTTTCATTGCCAGATATGCGCATTTTCATCTCATAAGAGATTGACACACTACTCCAGCTTTGCCAGCGCTAGATGCCCCTAGCGATAATGACCAAGCTTTAGATCCACTGCCAGTGGCAAATCGGTCCCAGTCATCCCCGACACGGTGGCTGGAGACGGCATCAAGCGTCTGGGTACCAAGAAAGGCCTCTTGACTCTGACACATACCCCTCCACGGAGTCCGTACTAGACTACGGATATCCAACTTTTGCCACCGTTAGCATCCGGAATTATTGTATCACTCATCTAAGCCTGAATCCCCGAATAAGCTACTCGAGTAGGTCGGAGCTTCGGAGGTAACTTATCGGCCCCAACCGATGATCTACAGGTGACTCCGTTAGCAGAAACATGGAAATCCGATGCCCAGGGATTTCACCTCTATGCAGGATTCTTCTCCCATTTGGTTGTCGGTCGCTGTACCAGGCAAATGCGAGTCGGTGACCGGAGCCATTATAGGGGGGAGTCGCAAATAGTTTGCTCCTGCGGGGCGCCGTTCCACACCATCTGGAGGATGATCATGGGGAAGAACCATATGACCCTCGAGTATTATTGAGCATTGACTACTTACTAGCCGAGGATCTAAGGCCCCTGCTTTCGACTATGGGCCATTTATGAGCATCACTTGGCCTTTGCACATACTACTAAGGTCATTACATCATCCGAGCCGTCTCTCGCGTCCTTTACGGGTGAGTGCGAGTCGTCATGCTATCACTAATTCACTATTGTAGTGGCACCTCGAGACCTGAGTCTAGTTCGGTACTAGCCTTTGTACTAGATCGGCAACCCTATTTGCATAGTTATCCACGAATGCGCGCTCCGAACGGGGACGATGCGCCGATGCGCGCGGCTATAGCTTGGAGTGAACCTTAATGACTCACGCTTCGGCCGGGACCTCCTCCACACCGGCGTCGATCTCAGATTGCACCTTGTGTGCGAGGTGTGAGTTTGTGACAACCACAAGTCTACAACTCATGTTCGCATCAATATGCAATTCGGCTGACATGTTTTGCTGGTGTCCGAATTGCCCGTGGGCTTTGCGCGACAGTACGTGGGTCGTCGCGTATCTGAACCATGGATCGCAACAAGTCCAAGCGCCGCCAAAAGTTTGGAACGGGGATCTGCCTGGGGCAACACTGGGAACAGCTCTTGACCGTGCTCGTGTGTGTGGAACACATATCCACTGACAGTGGATACTGGATGTCAATGCCCGTGTGAGCCTGTCCCGCTGCAGATGAGCCGATAAGTCTCCTGCAGAGCGGGACTCAAATTCAGCTCTGGTGCCCAAACCTGTCAATGGTCCAAGAGGCTGACTAGAGACGCAGAACCAGAGTACTACTCGTAGCGCACTTCGGTCGCTGCTTGGCTCGACTGCGTTCAATTATATATCGACGTTTCAACGCTACAAGCTGTTGATGTGGAGAGATGAGATCTGCTAGCCCGTTGATGAGGCTATCATTCGTGACAAGATGTACTGTACCATAGTAGGTATGTCGTACACTTGCTAAATATCTTCCCCACAGATTCGAGTGCATTGTGATAGGCTCACCGACTGATAACTGCCGCTTGATCGGACGATCATCGGTACATCCATGCTTGGTTATGCGGTCACCTTTGTCACTTCAAAACGCCCAAGCCACCGACGTGAGCTCGAGCTAAAGATGTCCTTTGCGAGAAACGTCCCCGCATTAGGGTCTTTGTTGGCGAAACCATTAGGTGGTCTGATGTTCTATAGATCCGTAGGACTTTCCTGTCTTCTGACATTTCTACTTTGTAGGCAACAATTTGGAAGGCCTGCAGGCACTTGAAAGCAGCGCCTTCTTTAATAATGCTCGGCTATTACTCGCCATACACTATGCAGTATGCCTTGCACATGTTCTGATATCATGGGAACCGTGATCTCCTCAGACATCACAAAGTACCTGCTTCTCGTCTGAAACGGGTATCATACCGCCCGCATCTGATTCTGTTTTCAGCACCGTAGGTACAATACTATACCATAACTGACCCAGAAGGGAGAACCGCCAACGGCTGAGGGTAAACTCAGTATGTAACTCCATTAGCCGATAAAATAAAGTTCCGAAGTGTATTCTCGCGCGTTTCCTCTACTGTCGTAACACTGATATTGTCTCTCAGCTCCTGTTGTCTTGTGTGGCCATAAGTACCATCCTCGCTTGTCGTTTTAATTCCCTGATCGGGGAACGTAATCAATCCTACTCAGCGGCCCCACCTCGGGGTACCTCAGGCTCCCAGCTCAAGTGGAAAAAAAGCATTGAACCGCACACTCACAACATGTGGCTGACAGGCTAACTAATTGCGCTCTGGTACCCAACCTCTCTACCTCGGCCAAGGACATGCATCGTACGACACTGTGGACAGCTTCTTAAGACTTGACGCATAACTTAGTTAGCTCAATGGCTTCCGATCAGAGACACATGCTTGACCTCTTATAGCAAGACACTACTGCATAAGCATGTACAGTGTATGTACTAGACCAAACAGTAGCCTCCCCCCCCCCCCCCCTTACGCCTCCTGCCCTTTCACCATGAGCCGGCGTGCCGCTAACGCAGAGGGACACGGTCCTGGCCGTCCTGCTGGGTCTGCTGGATTACATACTTTAGGTTCATCAGGTAGGCGTGTCAGAATACGGGTACGTACAATGCGTTCGGTCCCGTATTTACCCAGCTGTACGTATGCTTGCTCTCCAGGGAAGGAATGCACCAGCCACGCAGCCAATTTATATGCTAGATATCATCAACTGCGTGGGTACAGTACATTGGTTCCGTGACCTGCGCCATTATTAGACCCTTGAGGTCCCTCGAATCGAGAACCTCGAACAACCACCATCGTAGGACTTTGGCTCTTATACAGCCTTCCCTGAGTGTCTTTTGGCATAAAGCGCCTGGGGCACTCGACAAAAAGAAAAAAAAGTAATCGACAGCGCTGGGATTCGAACCCAGGCACCCGAGGGTATGAGATTACTAGATCTGATGCGAATTGTACACAGATATTCAAGTCTCACGCGTTAACCACTCCGCCACACTGCCATAACTTGGAAAAAGTGGAATCCGAACAGACGCCATACAGAATCCGCTTCGCTGATGCATCACGTGACACGCGATAGCTATACAATTGTCCGTAGCTCAGTAAACCTTATTGACAAAAAGCATATCGTAATTACTTGCTCCTGGCTGTGTAATCTCGAGAGGAAGCCCGTAGTCGTGCAGCTGAGCAGCTTCTTCTTTACCCTTGGAAGAATGGTCAAGAACCCCCCGCAAACTCTATTCGTCGCAGTGCTTATCCACTCCGGGTATGATCACCGCCGTCGACTATTGGCAATGCGCGTCCCTCATTTAAATGGCTCCTGTCAAGTTTTGATGGACGGTAAATCTGGAACATAGAGTACCTTGCTGATACTTTGTATGCCAACTGTTGCGCTGTCATATGGAGATTTTTAAGTTCCAGCCATGCTACTTGTCAGTTGCCAAATCGTTCGAAGCAACCCTTCCATATTGACGACCAAACACATTAGTTCTATACCACAGACCTGAAGGCAAACCAGCCTTGTAATTCAGACCTCCAGTTTCACCGTGAGAACCTTCCCGCACAATTCTGCGAGTCTCGTGCATGCAGCACTCAGCTCGAAGCGCGGAGATGAGCTTCATCGACTCTCCGTCGACACTACGGAGTAGACCTGAGAACGAACAGCGCACCAACGGAGCAGCCTTGAAAAGCTCTGGTCAATCTATCTTGTCATTACGAGACCTCTCGCCTAGAACTTCCCTTCACTGAAGGTTGATAATGCTAATGGAGTCACCGAGAGCCACCGGGACCCATCCATCCAGACCAGCTCTGCCCAATCCTGGCTAGGGAGTATGGAAGTATGGACGGCATCGGAAAAGTTAGGGTTAGGATGCTAAATCTGGGCTGTAGTTTCCATTTTCTCCGGAACGAATTACCGCGCTGTTTGGTCGGTGTCAGACACGATTGCAAACCTACGGACCGTGTCATTCTCCCATTCGGGACGTCAATGTCTTTTCTCCACCGGCTGGAAGGAATCCACTGCTGATCTGCCTCCTTGTGCCGTGACAGATGGGCTTCGCCTGCCGCTCCCAAGGGTCAGGGCCGGAATCCCTGGTCAAGTCTTCTCCGGCGGTGTCTGTGACTCTGTAATCGTGATCAAAGCGGTGGAAGTCCTCGTCTGTCTCTTGCACGTATCATCAATCTGCTGCATAGCACACTAATTCGGACACTCTGCCTATGTACAGTAGTATGAGTATGAGTCCAAATGGAAGCTCAGATTCTCGTCCAATGCGTTGGACACGATCTTACTTGTAAAAGACCTGATGTCTCTTCTACTCTCGTTTCCACCAGTTGGGAGCTTTCCAATCTAGCAGAAACTTCCGAGACAGTCAATAATCCCTGTAAAGCCCGATCTAGCCAAAAGGGTCTCTAAGCTAGACTCGAAACCCGATGTCGTCGATGGGTTAGTAAGCGGCTACAGAGGCCGGACTCATAGTCACGTGGAAATGAGCACACAGCCACATCGTGTCAGCCACGTCAGCCACGTCAGCCACGGTGACGATCGCAGCCCTCCAACCGCCAGGGGAAGCTGGCGACAGCCGCGGATAAGGCCGTCGGACTACTCTACCTACTTTTCTGACTCTGAATTCGGACGCAGAACCTGACACTCTTTCTTTGAACTAACTGTGACCTTAGATTGCGGCTCAGATCCACGAGCTCGCCTCATTGCCGATTCATTCAACTCGAACCGCCCCCGCATGGTATACTACGTTCATGGTGGGTTCACCCTCACCTGCGAATTACTTCTCCGATCCTAATTCCAAACGTCTAGGCCCAAGCCCACTGATTCCTCACACCCGATCACAATGGATGACTTAAGCGGTCTCAACTGGGCGTCTACCTCGTCCAACAATGACGCCCGGAAGCCTCCCCCCATGGGCTCGGGTTCTTTATTCCAGAATGTCCGGCGCAATGAACTATCTGGCCGATCCACGCCGTTATCTGCATCCTCCGGCCCCTCCAATCCGCCGTCAAAGTCCGCAACCCCGGATAAAGATAGCTTTGCAAACCTGGTCTCCTTCAATGCAGCTAGCGCGAACAAGAATCTCTCGCTCCTCGAACAACAAAAGCAGCTGGAAGCGGACAGGGCCAGAAAGGAGGCGGAGAAGAGATCCCGGTTCGAAAATCAATATGGGGGACAGAACAGCCAGTTCTGGGACAGTCTTGAGCGAGGGGGAACCCCGGCAGCCTCGGTGCCTGCCACTGCCACGGGACAGCAAAGCGCAGCCTCTGCCGATGAAGATGATATACTTGCCGCCTTCAATGCATCCGCACCCGTCGATGCCTCGACGCATTTTCCTGTACCTGGTGCAAGCCCTGCGCCGCCGGTCGGAGCGGGCTATTCTCAGGCTAGCCATAACGGAGCAGGCGCACCCCTGCACGGAGACAGCAGTATGGCTTTCCCCGACGACGACGATGATCCATTTGGCCTCAACCAGTTGAAACCTAAGCCCGCGCAACCATCGCAGCAGTCCCAAGCTGCCAACGATGATGACGATTTCCTCGGTTTGTTGGGTAAGCCAGTATCTGAGCTTCCTCGGCCAGAGCCTCCCGCCAAACCACCTACACCCCTGGAGACCGAGCATCATGCTCCCTCCCCGAAACCTACAAGTGGGATTGACCACGCCATCGCGGAGCTTGTTGATATGGGATTCCCTGCGGATAAAGCCAGCCAGGCCCTGCGCATGACGTCATCCGGTACCGATGTTCAGGCGGCTGTTGGCTTGCTTCTCACTCAGGCGCATGAAGAATCCCGTCAGAAATCCAGGAGTAGGCCATCCGGGGGTGATCGCGCCTCCGCTCATCCCGAGAGAAGCAGAGAACGGAATGAAAGACCTAGCCGCGATGTGCCCTCGTGGATGCAACAAGAGCGATCCCGGAGCAACAACCGCTCGCCAATGTCCGCGGAAAAGGACCCGTCTCAAATCGCAGCCGCATTTGGAAATAATCTGCTGAAGACAGCGAACTCTCTGTGGAAGACGGGTAACAAAAAACTGCAGCAGGTGGTCCAAGATTTTAATGTGGATCATGATCCCAGCCAGCCGCGATGGATGAGGGAGACACCCGCTCATGCTCATGGCGAACCTTCTGATAGTCGTCCTCGAGAAGATCGTTCGCGAACTTCTACGCAGCCCCAGGTACGGTCTGAAAACATGACCGATGAAGCATTATTGCTCGAGTCAGGCGGCCCAGTTCGTTCATCACGAAACCCTGCACGGTCCAACGATGGGCCTGGGCCTCGCACTGCCAGCACCAACGTCAGGCGACAGCCGTCTCCACCAAGGGATCGGCCGGTACAACAGCCTGCGTTCATGCGGCAGACATCGAGGAGTGAAATGAGGGATCCCAGATCCCGTTTGACAAAGTCTGCCGTGGAGGAGCAATCGGCGCAAGCTTACGTTAGCCCGGCAAGAAGAAAGCGCCCTGTCGCTCAGTCTCCTGCCCCGGAGCCGCAAGTCGACCTGTTTGATTCCGCAGCTCCAGTTCCAGCTTCAGCCTCAGCTTCAGCGCCGAAGCCGAAACCCCCACCTTCGCCCGCTCAACCCTCGCGTACCTCCACACCATCCAAACCTCTGCCCACCCGACCCAAGGCTCCGGCACGATCAATTCCTCCCGTGTCGCCACAAGCACTTTCTTCGACCCATCGTCAACGCGAAATCGCCGCGGATGCTTACAAGCGGGGCGACTATGGTGCCGCACACGAAGCCTTCTCCGCAGCTCTGACACCTTTGCCAGATAAACATCCCATTACCATCCTTATCCGCAGCAATCGCGCCATGACGGCTCTGAAGGTTGGTGAGCCCAAGGTGGCAATCGGAGACGCGGACACCATGCTGGAGTTGATTGGCCCAATGAAGGGCGAAGGCGAGAGCATTGACCTCTGTAATGGCGAGGCCGCCAAGCCGATGAAGGACTTCTTCGGCAAGGCGTTAATGCGCAAGGCCGAGGCGTTGGAACAGCTAGAGAGATGGACCGAGGCCGCACAGACCTGGAAGCTCGCGGTGGAAAGTGGACACGGGGGCAGCACGAGTATCCAAGGTCGCAATCGCTGCGAAAAGGCCGCCGGAATCAGCAAGCCCGCCGCCAAGCCCGCCGCGCCTGCTCGACGCCCACCTGCTCCTGCGCCGAAGAAAGCAGCATCTGCTCTGGCCGATCTGCAAAGCTCATCTGGCGCCTCATCAGAAGCCGTCACTCGCTTGCGAGCCGCCAACCAGGCGGCCGAGCGCGCCGACGAGGAGAAATTCGCCCTGTCGGAGAGCGTCGATGCCAAATTGGCGGCGTGGAAGGGCGGGAAGCAAGACAACCTCCGGGCCTTGCTGGGCAGTCTGGATAGCGTGCTCTGGCCCGAGGCCGGCTGGAAGAAGGTCAACATGTCCGAGCTCATCATGCCCAACAGGGTCAAGATCCAGTACATGAAGGGCATTGCCAAAGTGCATCCCGATAAGGTGGGTAACAACCTGATATGTTCATGCTCATGATCGTCTTTCAGCAACTGACTCTTGATCCAGATCCCCACAGATGCCACGACCGAGCAGCGGATGATCGCCGGTGCAGTCTTCGGCGCCCTAAACGATGCTTGGGACAAGTTCAAGAAAGAAAACAACCTGTAAAATGAAATACGAAACCTCGATTTTCGCCCATCAGTTTCCCTCCGATTCCCCATGATTACCTCTTCTCCTTGTCAGCCCGGCCTCAGACCCTTTCCCAGATCCCTTGCTTGGGGGCTAAGCGATCTCGTCCATGATGTTTTTCCACATACACAATTTTCATATTCTCCCGTTCTTTTCTCGTTGTACTCTGATGGCTGCTGACGACGTACGCGAAAAACGAAGCCCCATGAAATATCTTCCCCATTTTAGCATTTTATTTTTCTTGTACATAGATAGAAACTAGAAAGGGGGGTGGGAGGTGGGGGGGGCTATTGGGCATCCACCCCCTCGTGCGTGAATTTTCTCTGACGGCATGAAGATGAGATGAGTTGCACATTGTAGACCTTCTTGAATCCATCAATCGCCACGCAGAAACCCGAGCACATACTTTCCACCTCCGTTATTCTTGCGACATGGCTGGCCAAGCTTGGTATACCTATCCTATTGGTATGGGGTATCGTGTACATCAACCACTACGTAAACATGCCAGGTGGGTTTGGAGGACAGGGCAGTATTACATTGCGTCTGGCGAGATAGGCCCTAAGCTTTTTTTGTTGATAAGGAAAAACTAACTAAGCTTCTTCAGAGGCATCGGCCGGCTTTTCCCCTCCTGCTACTACCTCCTCCTGCTGCTGCTTCTGTTGTTGCTGCTGCTGCTGCTGTTCCTCGGCTTCCTCCCGCTGCAGTTGCTCGCGCTTGAGCTGCTTCCTTCCCTTAGGCTTGTCTGTTTGCATGGGCTGATCGACGCGGTGCGGGGGCCACTTGTCGCGGCATTTCTGCTCGTCTTCCTCAGTCCACTCGCGCGGCAGGACGGCGAAGACCAGGTAGGAGGTGTGGGTCTTCAGGTTGTCTTCGGTGCGATGGACGAGACGGCCTTGTTTGTACAGCGGGATGTTGCTAGAGGAGGAGGAGGAGGAGGAGGAGGAGGAGGGCGCAGCCTGTTCCTCCTTCTGAGAAACAGCAGCGGCAGCTGCTGCACCCGAGGACGCCGGCAGAGGGGTATTGGCGGCGGTGGTGCTATTCATAAGGTCATCCTCATCCTCCTGCTGCTGCTGCAACTCGCGATACTTGCGGGAGTGTTCTTCGACGTGGCGCATCTTGGCGACGGCCTCGTCGACGGATTTGGGGAAGACGACGGCGCCGCGCACCTTCTCGTACTCCAGGCCGACCTTCTCGCGCTTCACGTCGATCCGGTGGTTGTTGACCTCGACCATGGAGATGTCCAGCCACGACAGCTGCCGCAGCACGCTCACGGTCCGTTGCACCTGCTCCAGGCAGGGGGAGAATGTGCACAGGTAGACCGGCGACGTCGGGTCCAGCGGCGACTCCGCGCCCGAGGCCGGGTGGCGCACAAGGTGCTTCAGCGCGAGCCAGGGCGCTGGCAGATCCAGGAATACCGCGTTGGCCTTGGGCGAGGTCCCCGTCTCCGCGTCCCCGACGAGGAACCCGTCCTGGTAGACGTCCCGGTGCGTGACGTGCACCAACCCTTCCAGGCCGTGTTCCTTGAGCTCTTGCCGGACCTTGCCGACGCGCTGTTCGTGGAATTCGAAACTGGAGACTTGACCGAGGCGTTTCTTGTTGGTTGGTGAGGAGGTGGTGGAGGAGGAGGAGGAGGAGGATGAGGGGGGTGCTGTCGTGTCGTCTGTTGTTGGGGTTGTGGGGTATCCGTTGAAGACCGCTCGGACGGCCGCGTGCGTGAACGAGCCACTGCCCGCGCCGGCCTCGATAATCGAGCTGCCCGGTCGTGCGCGTAGCCGGTGCAGGATGTAGCTGTAGTCCGGGGTGTAGACGACCTGGGTGCGGTGCGGCAGGGACATGGTCCACAGCTCCGGGGTCGGGTAGACGAGATGCAGGAATCCACTGGCCGCGGCGACGGCGGCCTGCGGCGAGGCGGATGGGCTGTCGTTGGCCCCCTCCGCCGAGTCAGTGTTGGTGAGTTCGTCCGCTTTGCGCTTCAGCTGCCGGTTCTTCTTCTGCGGGCCGCGGCCGCGGCGCGAGCCCGTGTCGACTTTCGAGGCGATGATCTGCGAGCCCCATGGTTGGCCGGTGAGGGTCGTGTGCGGAAAGGAGCCGAAGCGCGTCGTCGTCACTTTCCCTTCCTTGTAGCCGGCGTTGTCTTCGTCGTGGAGCTGGAGGACGGTCGGAATGGCTTGGTCGCGGCGGAGGTGGAGGAGGGCAAGCTGGTTGAGCTGCGAGTGGGAGCCCGGGGTGAGAAATGGTGAGGCCATTTTTGATGGGCTGAATATGTGAGTGACCGCCGCGTAGGAGCGAGGATTGACCTTGGGATGCGATGGAAGTGTCCCCGTCGCCGAATTGAGGGCTTCAAGGCTTCTTTCGACCTTCTTCAACTTCTTCAACTTTCTTTTGCGACGGCGGCGTCACTTGCTGAAGATCCTCCGCTTTAGTCTCGATTGGGAGCCCAGTTTAGGGCTTAGGGCTGCTGGTCCGAAGGCGGTGAGGGTTGCAAAGGAGACGGCGCTGATTGGTTCCCTTCGTCTGTCGGCTGTTTCTACTTGGTCAAGTTTCGCTATCAAGAACGTTCCTATAGTTCAGAGGCTCTGGATAATGGGTTATATATTTGTTCATATCTTGAAATCTATGGACTCAGTACTACCTCTTTATCTCTGAATTTCGAGAAACTGCTCCAAAGTGGAGGGGCTGTGATCTCGGAGATTCATATCCATCATCTGATGAGCTCGTCCATCACATGCTTCAAAATCCCCCGAGAGGGTCGATAACATGATGAATACTGGGCTCAGGAACTAGAAACAACATACCAAGAACGTCCGGGGTCAAGAAGGTCTGGCTTAGCTTGCACCGTTTATGCTAATCAATTCAAAATTGGTCATGCATCCTTGCTCACTGGCCTTTGGCTAGGCATGTCGCCTCTTTCTATTACTGATCACTAACCTCGGGGCGCTGAACCTCGGCAACTTTGCTCTTCCCCACAAGGGGTCTCCAACGTCTTAACGCAGCCTTCCCCAGACTATCCCCAGCTATTCGACCGTTAAACTTCGGATCTCCTTAGAAGAAGATAGAGACTTTTGGTTACAGTTCTTACTCGGTGCTTTATCGCTTCATCTGAATCTATCGCAGCATTTTTCCCATAACACTTTAGCCGGTGGAATCAGTCGGCCGTCAACATGCCTTTCAACACCCTTCTTACCAGGAAACTAGGCATTAAAGGTGCGTCCAGAATCAACAGACTGTCTGGCTCGCCTGCTGATTATTTCAAGTCCCTGTTGTCCAGGGAGGTATGCAATGGGTCGGATACGCTGAGCTCGCGGCGGCAGTCAGCAACGCAGGCGGTTTGGGGATTGTACGTATCCGCAATCGCCTCAAAATCAGAATACGAAACCAAGAAAAGACTAACCCATGGAGAACCTATTCAGCTCACTGCCCTCACACAACCCACCCCGGAAGACCTCCGCAAGGAAATTCGCAAATGTCGTGCCATGACCAAGAACCCCTTCGGAGTCAACCTAACCCTGCTCCCCGCCCTCGTGCCTCCCGACTACGCGGCCTACGCCCAGGTGATCATCGATGAGGGAATCAAGATCGTCGAGACAGCCGGAAACAACCCGGGCCCTGTGATCCAGCAGCTCAAGAAAGCCAACATCATCGTCCTGCACAAGTGCACGACGATCCGCCACGCCAAGTCCGCCATCAAGCTGGGCGTCGACTTCTTGTCGATCGACGGATTCGAGTGTGCGGGCCACGTCGGCGAGAATGACATCACCAACTTCATCCTCCTCAGCCGAGCGCGCCAGGAGCTCAAGGTGCCGTTCATCGCCTCCGGGGGTTTCGCCGACGGACAGGGGCTGGCGGCGGCGATGGCCCTCGGAGCGGAGGGCATCAACATGGGAACCCGGTTCATGTGCACGGTCGAGGCACCCATTCATAAGAATGTGAAAGAGGCGATTGTCAAGGCGGATGAGACGGACACGGCGTTGGTGATGCGCCGCTGGACGAACACGACCCGTCTGTTTGGGAATAAGGTCTCCAAAGAGGCTCTGAAGGTGGAACGGGAAAGCAAGACGGGCGAATTCAGCGAGATTGCCCCCTTCGTGAGTGGCAAACGGGGTCGTGAGGTGTTCTTGACGGGTGATGTCGATTTTGGTGTATGTTGTTCCTCTGCCACCCTCTCTCCTTGCGGTCTTCGGAATCTCCTGGCCTCCGGCTAACTTTATCTTAGGTATGGACTGCCGGTCAAGTCATCGGCATGATCCATGACATCCCGACATGTGCTGAGCTTCTCGAGCGAATCGAGAAGGAGGCCGTCCAGGCGTTGGATCGGGTGAGGTCGTTGCACACAGCAACGGCACAGAGCAAGCTGTAGAAGAGCCAACCTGATTGCTGACTGGTCGGATTGAGAGGGTACTACAGTACACGCGGGACATGTATTACGTTTAGGTCTTTATGCAAGGAATTAGACATCATCTCCGTTTTTTTTTCTGCGGTTTAGTCTGTGTTTCCCGTCATGTATACACAGGCGTGCTCACCCTTGCAGAGCGATGCGCTCTGTCAAGGGATATTGGAGGAAGGGGTGACGTTGAACGAAACAAAGTGTCTCGCCCTCGCCCATCACCCTGCGACTAGTCAGAAATAGCACGATGATGCCAAAACGTTCTCCTTGATCAACACATGCTGCATACCCCGCGGTGATGCAGCCGGGCCCTCTCCTTACATGCCCCTCCCAATACGCCGGAGAATTGCGATCGCCAGTCTACTGTACTCCGCATCAGCATCATTGTATGGTCGTGGAAAACGCTAATCTAGCACAGAAGAACTGCAGAGCTGCTGGCGGGTATACCGGGTAACGAGGTTACAAAGCAGCTGCCCTGGATCACCACTCGGGATACTGGACGGCTATCATGATCTTATTCTAGACTTACCCTCCTTGCAGCTATTCAGTCAAGGTCTAGACTAGACGTTGTTTGATACTTTGTTCTATGTCCGGTTCGCTGACTAGAAGCTTCTAGGGATTGATCGTCTACTCGCAATGAAGCCTCTTCGGTATCTGAGACCTGGCGAACTAGCCTTCACGTATAGTGGCATCGCGATGCTATCACTACCTTACCAACATTTGCAGCAGGGGCACACTCTACTCGAAGAGATCTGTATCTCGCCTATCGCAATCACACCCCTCATATGGGGGTCAATGCAAGAGTTATCCTAACCTTCAAACCCCCCAGCGTCCAGTAATCTAACCCAACTCAATAAATCCTCCTATGACCTCAAGACAAAGGGGCGAGTTTGGAACTGTATCGCCTCCCCTCCCTCCCTGTCCCGGAAGTATCAATCTCCCCGACAACGACCACAAAAGAAAGAAAGGGTAAACCCAAAATCAGCGTTGAAACAACAAGTCCTAGCGGGTCGGTGGCAAGTGACCAGAGCCCGACGAAAACCACGGAGGAATATTTCAACAGCAACAATCCCCCACCTCAGAATAATCATGACAAGATCAAGCGTGAATTCCGACCTCATGCGTCGACCCCGAAACATGGGGGTTCTCTCCACGCTCCTCCTGCCCTGCATCCAGGTGCGCAAGCTGCGACGCTCGCGCCGCCAACGTGATCACCATACCTCGTGGTCCTGCGCGGGAATCCCCGAGTTTGAGGAGCAGCACCAGCACCAGCAGCAACAGGGAACCACCGAGAAAGAACTTCATAACCGAGACACTGAAGGGTACACCGAGCTGTCGAGCTTCCCCGAGAAACCACAACAAGCCGCGACAACAGCAACAACAACAACGCTGACGCACACGAAGTCCATTCGCCTGGTCAGCTGTGCGGACTCGGAATGCTCGACGCTGGGGCCGGACGATGGTCCGATTCTGGAGAAGGATGACGAGGCAGGGGACCAGGAGAGGGAGGATTTCCTGGCGGGCAAGGAGAGCGCGTCCGAGAATGGGAATGCGACTATGTTGTCGTTGCTGTCGGATGAGGAGACGGATGTGGAACAGTCGAGTGGTGGTAGTAGTCCGCCGCTGGTGCAGAAGGTCATTGCCATGGAGGTGGTCCCGCCTTCACGGCCGCCATCGCGCGCTGGCGCTGGGACTCCAAAAAGTAAAGATGATCTTGATCTGGAGCTGGCGAGCCGTCGGGTCCCCCAAATTCCAGCGGCTGATCGACGGCCCCGGCCGGCGAGTATGGAGGTTCACTCTTCTACCGGGGGCGCGCTGAAGCTTCCTGAGATCAAGAGCCGGATGATTGACGATATTCCGGAGGATGTGGAGGGGGAGGTCGTCGGCGTTAAGGTCCGGCCGTTGAGACAGGCTGCGAGGAAGAGTGCGGTTCTGAAACCGACGGTTCAGGAAGAGGAGGAGGATGAAGATGACAAGAAACGCTCCTCAACCTGGCGACTCAGTCAACGCAAGTCAATGATCGAGCTTTTCAGTCTTCTTCAATCCACCGCAGCAGCCGTCGCCGCGGCCCCGAAGTTCTCGAACCTCAAACTACCTCTCACTCAGAGGTCGCCCTTCCGCTCCTCCACCAACGCCGTCGTCGATGAATCGTCCTCCTCGGTATACTCCACCACAGCCACCACCACCACAACCTCACCATCTCGATCAGCAGCAGCACCTCCAAACGCAGCACCACCCACAACGCCAACCAGAAAAACCAAGCTCCCCTCCCCACCACCGCCCACGCCTCCCCCGAAATCCCCCAAACAACTCCTCCAACAACGCCCCCTCCCGCAGACCCCGCAACGCAAGCCCCGACACAGCAGCTTCCAAGAGCAAATCTCACCCCCAAGGGTAATCTACCGCACCACCCCAAGCCCAAGTCCCACCAAGAAACAACGCCGAATGGGCACCGTCCTCTTTCCTCTAACCTCCTCCTTCCGTCCGGGCGGTGGTAACAACAACAACAATAATAACAACAACAACAACTCAGGCGTGACGACAACGCCCACCACCAACCCTCCCTCCCCTCCCCGTCGTCAGTCTCATCTCCAAAAAAATGCACAGACTCTTTTTTGCTAGCCACGGAGTTCGGGGTACCGGTGCAGGGGTTCGGGTTATCTTTTGTTGGTGTCTATGGTCTATCTCGGGGGGATTGGTCGCTTCTTTCTTGAGGGCTTTGATCAGCTTCTGAGGACTTTTCCTTCCTGGGAATGAATGTAACCTAAGTAATTCCCCCCCCTGTATCACTTTTGGGTTTTGTCTTCTCTTCTACGGTGTATTTACTTTCTTCGAGGTGATTGTGTCATCTGTGTCTACTTTCTTTCTGTGTGTGTGTTTGTGTGTTGATTAGTTACGGGGTCAATGGTTATCTGTTGATCGGGTTTGGGGTGTTCCTTCTAGGGTTCTATTTCTGTGATAGTTACGGGAGTTTTCGGGGTGGGAATAACTACCGTATCAACTACTACACCTAGCTTCCTCTAGTCTGAAGATGGAATGAACTGAAATGAGGCGGAAGAGTGAGATCGAAGAAGAAGAACAGCGCGGAGATGGCAGGAGCTTGGAGTCTAATCATCATCATCATCATCTATCTTTTTTTGTATAACACCTTTATTGATATCCACGCAGGTAGCTCGGGATTATCAAGTCCTTGAATCAAGACACCTTCTTTCAAAGTGTACTATGTTTTGAGCTGCGGTCCTGCACAAATACAATGGAACACGACTACCTCGCAATGCACTGCCTACTGTCTGTCTACTTTACGATCGACTTCCGATAAGAGTTTCAGTAGGATAGGGCTGACCTGCGGGTTCGGCTGTGCCTACCGCTGCCAGTATGATTGATACCAGCCGGCCCTTGATAAGCCCCGAGAGCCTTGCTGATTCAACCAGATCGAAGTCTATGCAGGCAGGGTGCATGCAGGTTTTGTGGGAAAGGTTAAGTGAGAGGGATCCTGAAAAGAAAGGCAGTGGACAAGCTTTCTTCCTCTGGGGGCATGCACACAGAATAAGAGCGTGGGTTGTTGTTGTTGGTGTGATTCTGTGTAGAGGAGCGGGTGAGGTACTACTGCTACTGATGTTAGGATGCTATGTGATTTGGCTTGGTGGTACATGGGGAGGCGGTGCGTGCATTGTGGGTAGGGCTCTGCTGTGAATGGTGGCTTGAAGGTAGGGAAATTTAGTTCGGTGGTTGATGATAATTCGTCGGGGGAAAGCTTGCCATTCTACCTAGTAGAGTGTCCGCTCAGTTTGTGTGGTTACTTTATGTCAATTTAAGTCAATGGGTGAGGGTGAGCTTCAGTGAGCGTAGGTGGGAATGAGATCAACCAGAGGGAGTTATGAGGAGGGTAGAGGTGGAAGTTAGATAGTGATAAAAATTGCAGAGGAGAATGTCATATTAATCCAATGTGCGCAAATGGCATGGGAAACTACCAGCTACGGCGAACAAGTGGAAAAAGTCAGGTAAAGCAAGTCTAATGCATTGAAGCTATATGCCACGACACCAGCGCTGGTGCACCGGGAAATGCACAACTAATGATCAGATCATAGTTCCAAAAAGCAAAAAACACGAATCTTCTTTCTCCGAGAGTGCCACAGGCGCACAATTAATGGTACATCATCTGCTCAAACAGGAATAGAACCACAATCCTCCAAAACCGGAGAATCGCAGGGCGACCTGTTTTCCTAGCCCCGATCCATGACCCCGAAGGGCTTGACGAATAGTGACCATAAGCAAAGACTGAACCCGCTTACAAGATAGAGCCGAGGGCAATGCAGGGCAGGGCAACGCCGATGAGGGAGTCGCTCTGTCAGAGAGGTTAGCAACTGATCTGAGCTGAAGAACGGCAGAAGACACTTACGGCGTCCGAGGGGGAGCCCTGGCAACAGGCGATGTTCTGCTTGCACTGCTGGTTGACAAGATCCTGGACATTGAGGCCAAGGAGGGCGACTGCGCGTTGTTAGTGAGGCTCGGATGCAGACATTCAAGGGAAACATACTCGGGAGATCGAGCTTGGAGCACTGGTCGAAGAGACCGAGACCCTCAGAGCCGGAACCAGTACCAAGGAGGTTACCGAGGGTACCAGCGAGGATACCGTCGTCAATGGTGGTGGTGTCACCGGCGTAGGTGGCCTTGTTGCAGCAAGACAGCTGAGCCTGGTCACCACACTTGGCGGAGGCCTGCTTGACGGTCACGTCGTCAGGAACGGGGAAGCGGACATCGCTGTTGCCCTTGTTGCCGTTGCCGTTGCCGACACCAAGGTTGCCGTTGGCTTCGGGCTTGCTGGGCATGGCAGCGACGGTGGCAGCGAGAGCCAGAACAGCGGCGGAGATGGTGAACTTCATTGTGACTGTGGGGTTGGATTTGAACGAGAGAGTGAACTCGGATGAATTGTATGTATAAAGAACGGTAGGTCTGTAAGAGACTGGAGGGAGAGAATGCTCAAGAGAGTGATTGTGTGATGATGAAAAGAATCGACTGGAGGGCAACTTCCACCACCCTTATATAGACTTTCGTGGAGGCCCTCGAGCTCCAAGTCCATACACTGTCGAGCCTAACAAGCCGGTGTCTTGCACAGCAGCATCCTATTCAACATCCTCAGCATGCCCCTTGTGGAATGCAGAATGCAAGGACGTGTTCGCCGTCCTCGTTCCTGAGGATCCATACTTGGCTCGGTCCCCACTCCCTGGGCCAAGAGCTCCCTCCGCTCCAGCAGACGGTATGGATCTGCCCAAGCCCTCGCCTCTGGTTGCTTGCTTGCAGCCATTCGGTACTGCCGCGATGCTTTCCAGCTCAGACTCGGCGCCTTTGCAGGATAACTGGGGTACATTGCAGCGAGGCTAATGTCTCATTCCTCCTACCCATTCAAGTCGATCATCATACAATCTCTTGCCAGCACACGTTTGAAGGTGCATGCTTATGCATTTCCCTTTGTCAAGATTCATGCCCGCCTCATTAGCTCACCAGCAACCACCCAGACCTGAACTCCAAACAATGCCTCAAGGACCCGAAGTCAGCCACTTTCCACCACCGTTCCTTGTCGCATGCCCTTGCCACAAGCCCTACGGCCCCAGTCGTCCCTTTTCGTCGCCCTCACGCCTGACTCCGACGACGCTCGTGCGGTATGCGGGTGGCGTGGCAAGCATTGTTGGGCTGGTGTCGACCCTCGAGTAAGGTTGCAGGGCATATGCAATAGCATGCTTCGAGCTGCAAGGGGGAGGGGGGTGTGGATCAAAGATCGAGGGTCTGTCAATCAATCCCTTTCCTCCTTGTTGTTCCCAAACACATACCCGGAGCTTCATTTCCATGTGGGCGCAGAGAGAGGGGGGCTCTGTAGCGGTGGGAAAGCGCAAGGGGCACAAGATGACTAGTTGCTACCTAATTTCCGCGTGCAAGGACAAAGTAAACTCTGTTCGCGGAATTTCTTGCCCGTGCCCGTGAATAATCATCTTTTGATTTGTGTTTCGGAAGGAAAAGCGACGGTGCAATCCTTTCCCTGGAATTTGGCTTTTCGGAACAAAGAGACCTGGGCCTGGTTGTCATGGGCAGCGGAACTCGGTTTCATTAATGGATTTGAGACACATGACGAGGCCGGATGGTAGATCCTTGTTTGCGGTGTCCGTCCGTTGGTTGGCTGCTGGCTGCTCTGACCGCAGGATGGCCCATACTTGGGCTGAGTTGGTGAACGTACGGGTTGCAAATTGGCGTTCAGCGGTGTATTCGATCTTGATTGCGGTGCAGTGCAGATGCTGGTTTGTTGTTCGATGCGGTTGGCGAACATGTGATCCTCTTATTTTTTCCTGGGAGCCTGGGTGCCTGGGTGCCTTTCGGCCTCGACTCAATTGTGAGGCATCAATCAGTCCAGGTCGGTGTACAGTACAGTAGAATAGCATGCACATATACAACAGAAAGATTTTGCGTACAAAACTTGTTAGCTCTGTAATTAAGAGGGACTGATTATTTTGGTTGGGGCACATTCGACAAGATTTAAATCATAGCTGCCGGTGTATTTTGAAGTCAGAATATCTGATGCTTGTGCACAATTGTATATATATATTCTTCTACAATCTGCTGATGCCTCCTCTGGCTACCCACTGCTCTAGCACATATGGATGTATATATATAAAAATCAAGGCTACATCCTAAACCAGCTTTATCTTCCACAGAGCGAATGGCTGTCGAGGCAATTATGTTAGCCCACTGTAGCTGGTATCTCATTCCCATCACAAGTTTCGAGATTGAAAAGCCACTCGGCTAGTAGTGCTGAAAGGCCATATGACATATGTTCTAGATGTACTAACCTAACCAGATATCTTCTTGTACTCACCATTCGGCAAAAGAGACCACATCCATGAAACCACCAATAGATTATAAGTAGCCTTGTTACCCTCTATACCTTGTAAAAGCTTCCAACCGACCCAAAGCCAGGTGTGTCGCATGTTCAACGCTCGTCAAAAACCCCTCATATGGATGGCCTGAGGCTGCGAAAATGCAGACTCAGCCAAATAGGGTCGTGAACTGGTCCGGTCTTCGCCGATGATTAAGCCTGGTCGTCGAAGCAAGGGTGAATCTAAGCAGAACTGATGCTTTGAAATTGAGCATAAGTACAAAGCCCTTATACATTGCTGACAATTTTATGTCCCTTTAGACGTAGGAATGCTAAGGTAGTGTTTACTCTGGACGGACAGTAGAGAAGCTGTCGTTTCGTAGGTCACAGCAGAACTGTAGATGTAATTGGAGCCCTTGCTGAGACTTGATACAAAAGTGAAAGATCTGTCGGAGCAGCTTAGTCAATAGTAAAAATATCCAGACTAGTATGGGTTCGGTTTTGTAATTTGAGAGGAACTTATGAACCTTGGAGCGATTATCAGTATATATTCCACGCTGACGGTCACATTGGCTTTACTGAAGACTGAGCCCGAGAAACAAGTGCTACTTGCAACCCAGACTCCCTATATGACTGATACTAGTATCTCATATTCAAATCACGATCAAGTTCCGAGCGGTCCCGATTTCACTTGACACACTCCAACAAGAGGATAAGGTCCGAGGTCGTCATAGGCGTATCCCCAACTACTTCCACCTCCACCAATCAGAAACCCCCGAGATCGAGACACTGTCCCGGGACAGCCACCAATCCCAAACCAGCTAGCGCCTAAATCACCCAGCTCGGGACCGCTCCGATTCTCCCAGATGAGTAAGCGGTCTAACGGGGCAGCTTTCGCTATCAGTTTCCCCAATTCCTTCCACCATCTCTCCCTCTGCGCCGCCAACTCAGCTCCGGTTATCAGAGAGCGAAGACAAGAATTCGTTGAGAATCATATGCATCCAAAGGATTGCTGACGCTTTTTGACTCGAGCTTCTCACGACAGATTCGGTCGCTACTACGTGCATTTCGCGCGCCCAAAGCAGAGCAAAGCAGAAAAGAAAAGAGAGAAAGAGAGCTAATCCCAGCATGTCCGCGACATCGCCGCAAGACGTCACAGGTGGTGGTGGTGGTGGTGGTGGTGGCGTCGCGTCCCCCGCCCCGGAGTCTCTCCCGCGCGATGCAACGCAGGAGCAGGTTACTCCTCCGGATGTAAGCACGGAAGAGACAGCGTCAAGGAAAGAGGAAGAGGGGGCGGGACAAACACAGCGGCAAGAGGAGGATGTATCCGGTCAAGAGGCGGAAGAAGGGGAGGTAGAGGGGGAATTGCGACAGGAACAAGACGGCTCGGAGAAAGAAGAAGGGGAGGAAGAAGAAGAAGAAGAAGAAGAAGCAGCAGCAGCAGCAGCAGCAGAAGACCAACAAGATACATCAGCTTCGGCGCCACCGTTACCAGACGAAGTGCCCCCACCGCTCCCTAACGAAGTGCCACCGGGCGACGACGATGGATGGGAACCCGTCTGGGATGCCAACGCCCAAGCCTACTACTTCTATAACCGCCTCACCGGGGTATCGCAGTGGGAGAATCCACGGGTACCAGATGCCTCCGCCTCCGCCTCGTCCGCCGCCGGCGCCGTTCCCTATGACGACAACGGCGACGACGGCGACGACGGCGACGAAGACGGCAGTATTCAGGAAAAGCGCGCACGCGTCCTGGGTGGCTACAACCCCGCCATCCACGGCGACTACGACCCGACGGCGCCGTACGCGCAGCAGTACGAGCGACAGGAGGAGGCGGCCGTCGCCGGCATGGACCCGAACCAGGCGTACGAGGCGGTGGGCGCCTTCAACCGGTTCACCGGCCGGTGGCAGGCGGCCTCGCAGAACCCGGAGTATCACAATGACGAGAACAAGTCCAAACGGCAGATGTATGCGTTCTTCGACGTGGACGCGGCGGCCAACAGCCATGATGGCCGCAGTCTGCGGGCGGAACGCAGCGCCAAAAAGCTTACCAAGGCGGAACTGAAGATGTTCAAGGAGAAGAGACGGGAGAAGAAGGAGGAAAAGCGCCGCGCATGGTTGAGGGATTGAGGACCTTTCAAAAGCCGGCTTCGAGTCGGGGTTCTTTCTATTGTTATTGTGTTGTGTGCTGAGATACCTTTTCCCCGTTCTTTGACCTTTTCTTTTTGCTCGTTTCGTTTTTGTGTATCTTTTATGGTGGCTAGCTTACACTGGCGTTTTATGTACTTCACAAGATGCATAATAGAGCCACAATGGTATATATGAATCAGTTGATTAGTGCCTTGTAGAGAGGCTAACTTGTCTTGATGAATGAGTGGCGGTTCATGCCGTATGTATGAGTATACCGGATGAGGAGGCGGCGATTAAGATAAGATCCACCGGCAATCGGGATGCCAGTCACCTGACCGGGCCTCAAAGTTCTCCCCATCAGAAGGACAATTGGGATAGCGTCACATTATCCGAAGAGTTGGAGCCTCTCACATACTTAATCTATAGGTAAGCTCTGCGTTAACTTGCTGCCTTACACCCGTTATACACTTTCCAATTCAAATCATCAATTTGTGTGCAAATCCCACCCCAAAGTGAGGGGGAGGGGAGGGGTGTATACCAATGACAAGCAAAAAAGAAAAAAAATCCGAAAAGGGAAATATCAGAGGATTCCAGGCCGCAGGCCAACATCGCCACTTTCCAGATGTATCGGGCCAAGAAAGCAGGAAGCATGGCACTTTGAGCGTCCAGCTACCCAGATTATCCACCCAGTCCCTTTCTCTCTAGTTAAAAAAACATCGCACCTTCCCGCATCCCATCTGGAAATCCTATACATAAACGCGGATCAAGACTCAACCCGCTAATCAACCTCGCAGATACCCCATTACATCCATCATCCTCTCAAGCAGAGTGAAAGCTTTTCTTTAATCTCCATCAGTGAAGAAAGAACCAAAGCCCACAAGCCTTTTTACCCGCATTAGCGCAAAAAGCAAGGTCGACCAAAAAATGGCTTCAACGATCACCCTCCCCGCCGACACGATCGACGACCTCATCTACGACGCCCGCTCCGGCGACCTGGCCGCCCTCAAGGAGGACCTGACCGCCTGCAGCGCCCAGTTTCCGGACGTCTCGCTGGGCGCCCTCGTGGCCGCCGCCATCGACGCCGCCCCGGAAGCCGAGGGAGGCAGCGGATCCAGCCTGTTGCATTTCCCGGCTGCGAATGGGAATATCGGTACGCGAACCCCCCCCCATTTACCCCAATGATCATGGAGTGTGTCTCGTTGCAGTGTTGTGCTGGTTTGGGGGCTGCTAACCGACTGCACCAGAAATCCTAACCTACCTGCTCACCCTCCTCGCGACGGAGGAGGAGTCGACGCGCCGCCGCATCGTCAACCACCGCAACCATTCCGGCAACACGCCGCTGCACTGGGCGGCGCTGAACACGCACCTGGACTGCGTCAAGGCGCTCGTCGAGGCCGGCGCCGACAGCTCCGTCAAGAATGACGCTGGCCTCGATCCCGTCTTCCTGGCTGAGCGCGCGGACTGGTCGACGCAGGAGGATGGAGGTGCTGCTGCTGACGCTGAGGCAGACGCAAACGCGGACGCGGATGCCGCTGCTGATCCCGGGAAGATGTCCAAGGGACGGCAGGTCGTGGAGTGGATGTTGAGCGCCGAGGTGGCTGCTGCTGGTGGGGATTCGGAGACGGTGGTGGCCTCGGCCGGGGTGCCGGTTACGGGGAATGGGGATGAGTAAAAGATTTGAGAATCAGAGATTCCCCTTCTTCTATTGTGAAATGCTTACATGGTGTTTGTATTTGATTCTTCTTTTGTATGGTTAACTCCTAGGGTCTTCTTTATTTGGTCATGTTGTATAGAATTCTTCGTTGGTATATGTTTTATACAGTGGGGAAGAAATGTTCATTTTGGGGACGCTGTCTATCTTATGCTTCGAAATGTGTTTCGTCTAATGTCTTGCTGAACGTAACTTGTGATGTCATCAATGCAGGTGGGATGTGGATAAGAGGCAAGTAGGTAAGTAAATAGTCGCCCAAATCATACCAGTCAGGTTCGTTGGCTCATGGGTTCCCACTAATCTCGTCGTGTCTTGTTTCGATCCTGCGACGCACCCGACGGGCTGGATCGTAACGACGAGAGACCCGGTATCGTGCTCGTCGTCGCATCGCCATCAACAATCTCGCGCACCCGCATGTCAAGGCCGACCCGGAATCGACGGTCCCGCCAGGTCACGGTGACCCCTCCGTAGAAAGCCCAGACCCAGATCGGCAAAGCCAGCACCTCGCGCCCCAGCCAAGCGGCCAACCAATGCAGGAACGGACGACGGGTGACGGTGCCCTGAGCGGGCGGTCGCACGAAGGACGGGGTATCCTCGTCGAGCTCGACGGTGCGACCCGAGTGCAGCATGATGTAGACGAGCCAGTCCGTGAGGATCCACCCGAGCATGCTCAGCGCGAAGCACGCCCAGAAAGCGGGCCAGGTGGACAGCGCCGCCTCGGCCGCGGCGTACCCCTTCCTTCCCAGGAACTGCGCCAGCGCTGTCGTGACCCCCCACGCGCCGTAGCACGAGCACAGGATCGACTCCGTCCCGGGCTCGACCAGCGTCGCCAGCAGCACGGTGAACTTGCGCACCCGGAGCCACCGCACCCGGCGGGCTACGTACGACTGCACGCTCATGTGGGCCACGGGCTGGAAGGCCAGGTCCCCGAACACCATTGCGTGCTTGCCCCACCGCTGGCCCAGCTCCTTCTCCTCGCGCACCGGACTCTTCCACAGTAGGTCCCCGATCAGGTGATCCTCGCAGATGTTGTCGGAGAAATAGTCGATGCCCGGGTCGCGGCGGCGGCGATCCGCGGCCGCGGCCGTCGTCGACGGTGCCGACGGTGCCGCCGCGGTCAGGTAGTCCAGATGCGAGCGGCGGAACATGTTGGACTTGCCCACGATGCAGGGGGCGATGAGCACGGTGTTGATGGCGGTGTACATCTTCGCATGCGACGATGACAGGAACAGCTCCTCCAGCCGGCCACCCCCGGTCGTTAGGGGCCCGGCGGGGGCGGCGGCACCAGCAGCAGCAGCATCATCATCACCATCATCCCCGCCGTTGGTGTAGGACTCAAGCAACGCCTCTTGCTCCCCTCTCCTCGTCTTTAGACCTTCCTCCCCCGTCACATCCACCGCGACAGGTAAGTGATGAACGAACTTATACCGTTTGCCGCCTGCTGTCCCGCACAATTTATCCACCATCCGCCCACACACCCCCTTCCCCACCCAGACATTGCAATCGATAATCCAAACGATATCGCCCTTGGCTTCCCGGTACGCCCGACTCATATTCCGGATCTTCGGGTTCGGACCCAGCTCGTAAGCCGGGGGAGCAGCAGCATGACCACCACCGTCCTCGAAATGAAGGAGCGGATCGTCGTCCTCGACGAAGATCCGCGCGTCGGCGTGCGGGAAATCTGACACCAGTTTCTGGAGGGTCGGGTAGGCGGGGTCGGTCTTCGTGGAGATGCAGAAGTAGACGGTCAGCTTGTCGCGCGGATAGTCCTGGCGGAAGGTCGAGGCTAGACATTCGTAGAGGTGAGGCTCGAGGCCCTTGACTGGCCGGATTGCGGTGATATGTGGGGTGTCATTGGGGTGGGCGGAGGAGGACGTGGTGGATTTCCGGGGTCTTTGGAGGCAGTGTTTCCATCTAGTTTGCAGAAATGGTTAGTTTCTTTTGGTGTTGTTGAAGTCAAAGGGTTGCAATATTCGGTGGAAGGTTGTTTTTTTTTTTTTTGTAACGTACATCTGATAAGTGCCCAGCGAGCAGACCAGCGTCACGGTCGTATACCAGACCAAACCGACCCAGCCCGCGACGACTGGCCATTGGATGTCGCCATGGCCAGTGGCCAGTCCAAGCTCGGAGGCAAGCGAACGCAGGTGAAGCGTCAACATAGGCGGAGGCAGAGATGAATAGCAACGACAGAGTCCTCCGACGAGGAAATCATTCTATGGAAGGGGAAAAACAAGGAACTGGCGAAGCGAGTGACAGCAGGCAGATAGACACACGTCGCGTCATTCAATCTCAATGCGGCCCCGGACCAGACTGTAAGAAGGTCAAATTGAAATCCAAGAGATGTTCAGTCAATTAGCCCAATCAAACCAGGCTGTAGCAAGCAGCTAGTCTAGCTCCAGAGTAGTTGGCTAACGGCTGAGTGAGGCTGAGATGCCGTTGCCGGTTTCCATTCGGGTCTCACGGATTCCGGGTTCGGCGCGCGCGCGATGAAGAGAGTGGGTTTTCCCGATCGTCGGGCGCATCTCGTCGTTTGGCGCGCTTGATTCCTTGTACTGTACAGAATACCCAGTGATGTCCGCTGCCCCTGTCTAATTTCAAATTTCATAGTTGCTTATTTCCATGTTTCAGGCAAGAGAAATGCGGTGAAGTGGTTTTTATTAAGTAGTAGTATGCTAATTGGCCTGTTGCCCGTTCCGTGGCTCTGATATTCAAACCCCACGTTTGAACTCGGCCTCCAGTAGTTCCCTTCAAATCCTGCTAAAGACAAATAAATAATGAAAAAAAGTGATGAGATCCCAGTATGCAGTCCCTGAAAAGGTAAAAGCGAAACGCGAAGATAGAGAAAAGAAAAAGAAAGAACAACCCAGAATATTCCCAATCCTACTGTACAGTGCACAATGCCCATGCTTTATCGACCATCCTCGCTGCTCATAGTACTGTGCAAAACCATACGCTGAGCAAGCAAATCACTCCGAGGTCACGTCTTCTTCTTCTTGCGGATCAAATTAGCTTGTAGAACATTGACCCCGGAAGTTGATCCGGGTGTAGGAGTGGACACTGTTGCATATGCCGGCGGTGCATTGGCGTCTGTCGCGGGCTTCTCGGCGGTCTTCTCAATGTCTTCAGTTTTGGCGGGTTCATCTCCGACCTTCTTGCGTTTTCGGACCAGTGTGCTGCTGATCAGAGTGTTGACCTCCGTAGTCTGCTGGGAAGGATTGTCGGTGCTGCCTCGGCCCAGGACCTGTTGCCCGACCCAGAGTTGGTCAGCAAGTGAGGCAATCTTCTCCCCCCAGGCTCTTGTACTGGCGATAGAGACCTCCTGGTTGAAGAAGTCCTGCTCAATCAAGAAGTCAATCGCCGCCTTGTAGTCGGCTTCGCTGAGCACAGCGTGGCCACGCCCTGCCTCTGGCCAGAAGAAAGCACTAGTGTCTGTAGTGCGTTGTGCCGTGGACTCGGATACGGACAGGGTCTCAGCAGTGGGTTGGGGGGCTGCGGCATCGATCGGCTGTGCGACACTCGGGCCTTCTGAGGCTTCAGGTTGCTCCAACGAGTCAGACTTAGAATCATTGGATTGTAGCTCAGGTACTGTAATCGGCGCACGGGCTCCGGCATGTCTAGCATCACACGAGAGGGTCTTACGGTCACCGAGGACAGACCGGGAGCTGGTCATCTGGACCGAATTGACCAGCCCCGGCGGGTTAATGACCAGCCACAGGAACCCGACCAATCGTCCCGAAGAGCACTCCTGACGGAAAGACATCATCTCCCAGAACTGATCCAGGGATTTGACGCTCCGCCACTGACCGGGCGCCACCGAGGAGGACTTCCCGTTGTCCCCGGACTGCGGGCGAAGCTCATCGTCCAGGTCAATCAGAAATCGCGTCTTCGGGTCATCGGGGAAGCGGGGGACCAGACAGCGCGGCGGCGCCTTGGGGTCATCACAGAGCTGATGCAGAGGATAGCTGTTGCGCCATCTGGGGCGTTCCTGGCTGTCCAGCCGGGCGGCACTGGGGAAGAAGCCCCGGGTTTCGAACTTGTCACACCCGGGGACTATCAGGAAGGCCGTGGCCGAGCTCTGCGCCGACTCCGTCTGTCGGTCCAGGGCGTTCTTATCGTGCGAGCCGGACTCTGGCTCGTACTCGCGGAGAATCGGGTCGAACACGCGGCACCACCATTTGATCAACCCCCGGTCGTCGAGGACATGTTTGCCCGCGTTCTCGATGCTGCCGGGGAACAGATACTGGTTCTGCGCGCGCGCGAACAGGGACACCACGAGGCGGACCCCCGGTCGCTGATGCGTGCGGACCAGAAAGGAGAGAAAGGTCTGCGAAATGCGCCGGAGCAGGGAGACCTTCGGGGCGTTCTGGAGTAGATGTAAGAACCCGGTCGAGTCGGCCTTGGAGACGAAAATCGTCGTCAGGTGCGTGGTGCTGTAGATCAACACCTCCACCCCCAACACAATAATCTCGGCGCCATCTTTCCCCTCCGCATCCACCGATGCAGTCAGAAAATGATTCTCGCAGAAGGTCGGCTCTGAGGTTTCGCCCGGGGGTGCGGCGAAGAGCGCAGGGCAGGGAGTGGGAGTCGAGGAGACATGGCGAATGGTAATCTTGACACCGGCGGGCAACACCTCGGCCAAGAGATCGCCTAATTCCACGTCGACCTGAGACATGGCTGGCCTGGAAAAGACCCTCGAGATGGCCAATTCAACATAAGATGTCCCAAGTGTGAATTTGGAGAGAAATGCCCCGTCGGGTCTTTCTCCTGCGATATCCTTCTCCTGGTCTTTTTTTGACCCCCTCAGACGCGTTCCATTTCACGGGCGCATCACGTGCCCGGAATCTGACTCTTTTCGTCTGCTGCTGTCAGCACTTTATCCCTCGCTTATCTCCAGAAGGAATGCGATGGAATTTATCAGGTTTAAGCAAAGTCGTTTTATTGAGAGAAAAGGTGAGAAATGAGTTGCATGAGTACTTATTTTGCGCTTGCACAGCGGGAGGCAGCTTCCACCAACAGGGAAGATCTCGCAGGATGCATAAACGGACGGAAATGGATAAATGAAAGTGAAATTGAGACTTTCAAATCCCAGAAAAGAGCACAAAAGAATCTATCCATCTTTGCCTATCTGTACACACCAAGAAGACTTAGAAGTAGCCCGCCACCGCCTTTAGATCGTCGGCGTTCAGCAACGCAACCCCCTCCTCGAGCAAAGTCCTCCAGATATTGTTGCGAGTACGGATCGGATAGTAAGGGGTACCCCAGTATCGCGCCCCGATTCCTCTCTTCTTGGCGGCTGCGATTTGCACGCGGATGGCCTGGGCTTGTGTCTCATCCAACTCACCATGCGAAAGAGGACCCACGGCCGCCACGAAATTGGTGGACGCAATCGGGGAAATTAGACCGGTTATGTCGGCGAATTGACCCTCGCCGAGCTGGTCAAGGGGTGCATCAAAGAAGTAGTCTCTGTTTGCCACCGGTCCGACCAGATCCAGCGGCGTGTTACCGGTGCCTATCACTGTGACGGGTCCTTCGGTGATGGTTGTATTGTCTTTTAGAGTGGTCAAGTAGCCACGAGCACGGAGTGGTTCCAGGGCCTTGACAACCGCATCCAAGGTTTCAGGCCCGGAGGTCTTCAGGTCAATGAAGAAGTAAAGCGTTTGTGAGGTGTCGGTGTCAAAAACACCGCTGGCCGAAGTCAGCGCAGGTCAATGCTGATGGACCATTGATCCAAAGTTATCAAGCGATAAACAGGGGATCTTACTTTTTCGTGGGCGATGTCACAAATCGAGACGTGGGATTCTGGCGTTGAAGCACGTCCAAAATAGGGTTGATGTAGAGCGACTCTAGTGTTCGCTTTTCAGTCAGGGAAGACTCATCGTGGCCGACCTGGCCATGTCAGCATCGGCCCGACAATGAAACACCAAAGGGGACAGACATAGAGGGTGCCATTATACAGCCACACATCGGCTTCAGTCGATATGCATCCTTGCGATAGGCCTACGGATATAAGTCACTTACGTGCCATAGACCGGATCATTGGAGACGATCTATACGTACCTGAATAGAAAGGAATATCTCTCCAGTAGTCACTGGCACGAGGTCAGGCATCGTACCTGCTTGGGAAATGGTTGATGCTGGCTTACTTGTGTGAATGGACTGGGATCTGTAGCCCGGTTAGAGTTGCTTTTCATGACACCTTTCGCAGTGCAAACCCAAGCTTAGCATTGTGAATAAAACTCATAGGAACTTACAGGCATAACCCCTCTGGTGAAATCGGTGGGATACCCATACTCGTTGCTCATGTGGGTGTTCTTCAGCACGCTCTGTAGTTCCGTCACCGCGTCTGCGGCCTCCGTCGGGGAGCCAAGGAGGAATGCGGAGGCCGCAGCAAGCAGCGATCGAGAAAGCACCATTGTATATATCGAGAGCTGTCTTCTAATATCAAAGTACCTGTAGCAGTATCCAAACGAATAGAGGAGCAAGATAGTCTATTTAGAATAGCAATATTGAACAGATAAGGAACGGGGGTTGGCGTTCGGTCCGTCGGAATTGTTGTTGATCGAAGAAGCTTGGGACAACTCGGAGAAGCGCAAACGGCCAATCGCAGCCTCACGTGGTGGTCCAGCCCTCATTATTATATCAGCCATAAGACAGTGCATTAACATCTCCCAAAGCTCGGAAAGTAGGCGTTTATAAGCTTTACTATCTATTATATGAAGAACTAATCGGTAAAGAAAATGATCAACAGGTTTAAAAATGCTTCGAAGGCCAACACGCGTGTAAAGAATTAAGCCAATCGCGCAAACGCTAATCAGGTATCATCTAAACCATAGAGTTCATCAATACAACGAAAAGGAAGCCGGTGCATCTAAGCGAATCAAGAGACCCTCCCATTACGACCAATTGACTGTGAATGTCCAGCAGAGCTTTAAAGTCGTCTCTCAGACCTCGCGAATCGAAGGTGGCTGAGAGTTGCTTTGAGAATCTTGCGTACTACTGCGTCGGAGACTCAGATTGCCGATGCGCTGCACCAGGTTGCTACCAACTGCATCGACAGCACCCTTTGGCGCCAGCAGAGTAGGTCCTTGCGCGGCCGCCTCTTGTACCTTGAATAGCTTCACTCCGGTGCCATTCCACACTCCAACAGTGCCAGGTGTAGCACCTGACGCGGACCCAACAACCATTTCGCTCGAGAAGATGAATCCCCAGAGCAAAGATTCATACCAACCCATGGACAGGGCCGACCATTCGAACGAATGGACACGAACGGGCGAGGGCTCCGAGACGATAACCTGAATCATTGGCTCCTCCACAAAAGTAGGGAGGTTGGTGATCAGCGTGCGTGCTTCTGGGCTGGAGGCAGACTGAAAAGCTGAGTCAGGCACGTGGGGCATGATGGCTGAAATGATGGTGAGAATCGTGTGTAGCGGCAGCTCAGGCAACCAGGATTCAAGCTATGAGTTTCCAGTCAGCAAATAACACGCTCCCATGAAAGCGGGATCTCGCTTACCCAGGTAGTAGTCGGCGTGAATCCACTCGAGGATGCCAGGAAGGCTGCCGACATACTGCTTTGGCTAGTCATGCTGTTCTGTCTGGAGAAGGTGGGCTGTCCGGCTGGCATTTTGCCACGTGCCTTTTCAGACATCCCTCGAAGTTGAAGGGGCACGCTTTCGTCAACGACAGAAGATATTGATTGCCGTCGAGAAGTCGGCACCGATGAAACCGAGGAAATGTCATGGGACGGCGATTTCTGCGCCTCGCCTTCATCGTCGGAGTCATCTCCGCCAATTGCGAAGGGACTATTCTCTTCCGGTATGCGACCCAACGATGCGCGTGCACCAGAGGGAGCTTGCGTGTCTTCTTCAGTCGGTGAGAGGACAGGGCTTGCGGCGAAATCATTTCCTCCTGACTTTCGCCGCTCATTTTGGCGTTCTATCTCTTGCTGTCCGCTCTCAAGCGTGAATTCGCGCACAGCCTCGAAGCGTCTCCGGTTCTTGAGAATAGAGTAAACAAGATATGGGTTGTCTAGATCGAGTTAGCATGTCAATCGAGACGAAACATATGCAAGCGTATCATACTTGTGAATTGGTGCTCGAGAATAGAATTGATCGACTCAAGCACGGATGCTAGAAGGACGTGGTTCGTTTCGTTAGCGAGAAGGAAGCTGGGCGCCGACATCGAAGAAAACAACTGCAGCAACTTTGAGCAGGACGCGGGAGACAGATGTTCAACATGTGCGGCAATGTTGTTGATAATTGCCAGTAGCGCGGGATAAACAGCCGTCAATTGTCCTTTGCTGGCGGTAATCAAAGTATGAATAGACTATACCGCTGTTAGTCTCGAATGTGCGAGCACGGACGAACAGGGACATACTATGATCAGGTAATCTGCATATGAACCCTTGAAGCCTGGGATCTGGATACTTTGCGGAAGGGTTTCCTGAGCTTCGAATTTGAGGTTCAAACTCTTGCCAAAATTGGGCTCCACACTCATTGTCTGCAGAATGAAGATGCACATCCTAACCACGCCCTGCTTGGAGGGGTCGGATTTGTACACGATGGCATAGAACAGACACAGGATAATGAAATCGTGGGAGCGGTTCGAATCGATGATAAACGATCTGAAGCGTTTGTTGCACTGCAAGGCCTCCCAAAACAGAATAAGCATCTCGGGTGCCCATTTCACAGACTTTTGACTCCCGGGAAGATAGGAGTTGGTGACTTGCATCTGCACATTGAGCTGTCAGCAACATACGTACTGCGAGACGAATGTAGAGCTTACTGGCTGATTCAGGATTCGGGTCATGCCATCCACGAGAAATTGAAAGTCTTGCGGCCTATGCAGCCTGCCAAAATAATGGCGGTAGTAATTCTTCGGAGGGGCCCCGCGACCGTCCTCGGGCACTGGATATAGAAGGAGCACCAGAAGAAGCTGCAAGCAGTAGATGACCAGGATTTGTTTCGGGTCTTTCCACACGACATGGTCATACGGCACTCTCCAAGATGCAGGGTTGTATTTGATCGCCTACATGCCAATCCAAGTCAGACACAGGCCTGTTTCGTAGTAGATACTCAATGACTTACCGTGTTTAGTAGCGAACACAGCAGAGTCAAGACTGCCTGCTTGTCGGGACAAGTAGTAATGTACGTGATCGCTCTCACACCTTGCACAGGGAGTAGATCTCAAGAGCAAGTCAGCATGAAATCAGCGTCAGATGTGACCGCCGTGACTCACTTGAAGGCATGTACATCGCTTTCCCGGTCAGAGTCAGCAGTAGCCGTAGGACCTCGCAGCGGTTACTTTCCAGCTCCTTGGTCGACCCCATTGAAGTATTGCATCCCACTCCACTTTGCCAGATTGACCAGGACACTTTGGTCTTTGCAGATGATAGCTTCGGGATCGTAAAATTGGTATAGAATAGCAGGTCGAGGAGGGTGTCGATCAGCTCCTCAGCGAGGGGCTTTGCATCCTCCATTTCAGCAGCCCGCGGCGAGACCTGATCCCGCTCTTCCGCCCGTGCTTCATCGAACAATACTTCTGGTGCCACTTGCGCCTCGCGGGTTTTCTTCTTGCGACGGGCCCAGAAGAACTTCTCCTCCCATTCCTCCAGATGCTCCGCCTCGTAGATGTATGGGAGCAGGCGGGTGAGGATGCGGATACAGTTGAGCGCATCGCGGTCGGGCGCGAGCTCTGGGTCTGGGAAGGAAGGATGGTTTTTCAAAACAGTGAGGCGCGAAGTGACGGAGAGAAGGAGGGTCTCGAAATTCGATAAGGCATGGTCGCGCGTGCGCCGAATGTCGGCCGGGGTGAACAGGCTGAAGACATCCTCCGTCGACTCTGGGAGCTCCCAGAACTGATACCAGATGTGTGAGTTTAAACATCATCCTGCCCTCAAAAAGCCTCGTGGAGCAGAGATACATACCCTGGTCCAGTAGGGATCGTCCGCAGCAATGTCCTTCTCCTCAGACAGACGGAAGATGCCCTGCTTGAAGACTAACTTTGACTCGGAAGCTCCCATCGTGAAGCCACCATGAAGGTTACAAGCCTATCAACCTCATGCAGTTGAGTGATATGATCAGGAAGGGGTAATGCTTGGTGCAAAAATGATTCTTTCCAGAGAATGTCTTTGGGACGTAAGCCCAGTGATCTGATGCCGCGTGTGAATGGACTTGGTGGCATGTTGGCGTTCGGTCTTGGGTCATTGCCTTGGAAGCGGGTACGACTAGGCCCGCGGAGACCCGACGATCAATCAATCAATCAATCAGCCATCAATAACCCGGGGTGTCTTTCTACCTATCTCTGTCTACTTCTACTGGCTGTAGTCTGGAAAATTTGCGATCGCTCTTCTAAACGAAAGAGGACTTGAATCTAACATACAAAATGCAGCATCCCTAAGCTGATAACGGAGTCTAAAGATCCGGATGCACCCCGCTAGTAATAGCGAACAAAGAGATAAGAAAGGGAAATTCATAAGTTTACATCACCTCCCCTGGCTGCTTCACCTCCACCCACTGCCGCATCCGCCATCAACATCGGCCTTAATAACTGCTATTGCTTGCCGACAGTCGCCGACTTCTCTCGTACAACCACTTGTTGCTCAAACCTAAATTCGCACGCTTACCCCCTACAGGGGATGGACTCGCGGGTCCAAGGCTCGACATGGTTGACAACGACATAGATGACATGGTTGACATGGTCGATTCTTTGAAGGACGCAGTAGAGTCTCTAAAGGACGCAGTAGAGTCTCTAAAGGACGCAGTAGAGTCTTTAAAGGACGCGGTAGAATCCTTGAAGGTCGTGGTCGAATCTCTGTAAGGCGAGAATGATGTGCTCCGACCGAGCGGCGATGAAGATCCGAAGCTCGGTCTCCGTCCGCTTTCTTTCCCGCTGCTGTTGACCAATTTCTGGAACAGCGGACTAGGTGAAGGGGAGAAGGCAGGTCCCGAGGATACTCTGCGACCGGAGGCGCCAGCACTTGCCGACAGCGGGGATCCAGATCTACTCGCTGGGCTCGCACCACGAGATGTAGAAAGACGGTATTTAGGCGGAGTAACATAGCTTGTACCGGGAGTCAATGGCGGTGTAGCAGTGGGGTCCAGCCCGAGAAGCGAGCGTTGGGTGGGGGTCAGAGGGATGTCGGAAAGGTCGTCCTTCGGTCCAAATAGAGGATACAGCGCAACGAGGATGTTGAGAACAAAGATCAAGCGCAACACGAGGAGGGAAAGGTCAGGATAGGTAGAGTATTGGGTGATATGTTGAAGCCAAAGACAACTGTTAAGATCCTGTTAGAAGTGTCCCCGAACCCTACATGTTATCTCACGTCACGACTGCACAACTTACTATGACCTGATAATATCCCCAAACACACAGGTAGCGAACAAAGCGGCGCCATTCCACACTAGCTTGTTGATGTTGCGATCTCCAAATGTCCCAGCATTCTGTCGACGAACCACCTCATCCAAGTGAGGGTGACGCCATTTCCCGGGCGTCTGGCTTTGGTCGGGGACTGGTACGACTGTAGATGCAGCTGTTGCAGCTTTGGGGGTAGAGGGAGGGGCCGAGGAAGCCATTGGGAGATAGCACGATGAGATGAAGTGGTGGAGTATGAATGAAACTGTCAAGAATGAGCACAAACCGCATACACTAGAATGGGAGTGAGGGGAGATTGACTTACCAAAAGGAGTAGGGAAATTGGTCGTTGGGACTTACCTTGATATCAATTGCGCACGGGGGAGGGGGCTGTATCACATGGAAGGTTGTTATAATCTCCGATTAAAAGCCTACGACGAAAGTCCAGACAGGACCATAGTCGCAAGGAAGTACGGAGTGGCGGAATAGCCCCTGGGGATGAAAGAGGAAGAGGGGAGGAGAGGGGAGGGGAGGTGGAGTTGGAGATGCAGGGTGATTGATTGTTTTGGGTGATCGGTGCACCGGTCTTCACCAGGTCAGGAATCACAATGGGCAACCACAAGCGCCATTGCCGCGGCGGCGAAGTTTTCTATCGGACTTACTTTACCGCCCGCCCACACGCGCTCGCTGCCGTTCCCCACATCTGGCATCATAGCCTACCAGGGTCCAGTAATGAGGTAGCCTTGTACGTAAGGAACGCAGTCAGCTCTCAGCTCTCAGTTCACCATCAACCACACTCTTCCCATCTTAACAGTTCGCATCTCACCTCAATCTTTAATTATCCCTTTACAACTTGTGCCTGTCATATGTACACCCAAATCTGAGAGAGATTCAACCTCAGAAATGGACTCCGAGTCGTCCATCGTCGCCAAACTAGACGCCGTCGTGGCGGAGCTACTGGCCGACTGGAACATAGCCTCGACTGTGATTGCTGGTGGTCTTGTTGCCTTCCTCATCTATTCATTCGTCACATCGCAAGACTCAGATATACATCCCTTTCTCCTCGCCCGGCAATCGAGCGCATTCCCCGTCCGGCACCCAGGCCAGTCTGCTCCGTATAGAAGTCTCGAGACTCCGCATGGCTTTCCTCTGCGCACGGGACTTAACGTCAAGGACCCCGGGGCTCCCAAATGGACCAGTGGCCGGAAAGGTGACCTACGGGATGTCTGGAAGACTGCTGTCCGCGGATCGGTGGAGGATAATGGAGCTGTGAGCGGCAAGCAGGGCAAGATCTATACTGTGCTTGGAAAAAAGGCGATTGAACACTCCTTGGATCAGGTCACTCAGGAAATCAACGTCATCGGAACCCGCCTACGAGATTCCAAGGTAAAGACTGTGGCGGTCTGTTTGACGGATTCGGTTGAACTCCTGGCTGCTATCTTCGGTTTGGCCTCCACTTCCCCGATCCTGCCATAGATTTATCGCTAACAACGCTGTAGCTGGAGCTTTCTATGACTTCAAAATTGTTATCATTCCCCACAATCTGAAAGCGGAGAGTTTGTCGGAGCTACTGCAGAAGTCGCAGGCGGATGCGTTGATCGCTGAAGCTGGATCTCTCGACTTGTCATTCGTTGCCAAGGATAACAAACAGCTGTCGCAAGTGATTTGGGTCGCCAAGCTCGGAAGCCGACACATGGACTGGAATGATGTGCCCCAGGACGTGGAGGGGACGTTGGAAGTCACCGTTTGGCACGAGTTGGTGGAAGAGAAGAAAGAGCTGGCCTGGCTTGAAGTACCCGACTATGATCCGAGCACCCCGACTCCTTCTGTGACCACTGTTTGGCCGTCCAAGTCCTCTCAAGGCGACTTCATTGAGTACCAGCCGGAGGTAAGATCCTCTCGCACCTGCCATTTGTCGCTGTCTGGTAGCTAACTACAAGGGATAGAACTTGGCCTCAGGAATCGCCGGCTTGTTGTACTCTCTCCCCCGTCAACAGCGTTTCGGCCCCAACGACGTGGTCCTCTCCATCGACTCCTTTTCTCGATCGTACCCCCTGTGCCAGATCATGGCTGCGCTGTTTGCTAATGCTTCTGTCGCCGTCAACTCCGTAGCCGGCGAAAGCGTGGACTTTGCTCTTGCGACTGTAGGGGTATCTCCGACGGTCATTGTTGCATCGTCTCGCACCATGTCTGATTACCACACCAAGTTCATGAAGCCTCACTCCGGACCCGTTTCTTCCCTCGCGCGTTGGATCCAGGTGCGAAGCTTGGATGCTGGATACATGCCGTCCCACGGCCTGCTGAGTCAGCTTGCCAACGTTGGGCCCATGGCCGAGCTCTCTCTTGACAGACTGCGTCTTCTGTGCATCTCACACCGGTTTGACGCCGATCCCGAGGTTCGCCTGGACTTCGAGCAGATGACGGACCTGCGTCTCTTCACGGGTGCGCGTATCGTGTATGCTCTGACTGGACCCGGAATCGCCGGTGCCGTGTCGCAGACCAACGTCTTCGACTACAGACGCTTCAAGGGCGCCAGCCACTTCGGTGCCCCTCTCAGCAGCGTCGAGATTGTCCTGACGGGCTTGTCGGAGGATTCTGAGAGGGAAGAGGGCCAGGTAAGCGCAGCCAAACTCCATATCCTTCTTATCGACGCGTGTAGCTTACGCAGTCCCCAGATTTCTGTAGCCGGCCCTTCGGTCGTCTCCGGCAAGACAGTGCTACCCGTGCAAGCTCGCTTGCGCGACGACAACACCTTGGAGCTCTGCGCGTGAATTACCTGCCAAGCGAAGGATGAGCGTTCTTGCGTTATGAATTGAGGAATTTTGACTCTATATGCATTGCATCGCCCCACCTTTCCCTGTGCATTATGTTTTCCATCCTGCACAGGCGACACAGAATGACTTTTGCACCAGCATCGTGAAGAACGCCTCTGGATTTTATGAGTATAGTCTAGCTCCGTATGTCGATGAATTGAAGAAAGGGATATGCATCTATTTTTGAATACACAATATAGCTCCGAGCGATTCTGAGAAAAGATCATGGTAATGTACAAAAAAAAAAATGAAAAAGAAAAAGGCATAGACAAGCCTGGCGGCAGATTAGACAAAAACGATCCTGGCTTTAGATCAATTAACTAAGGCCGTGACCTGCCGAGAGCCCCGTCCGGGCTTTTGCCGGGCCAACGTTGGGGCGGCGTTCTTCTGAATCTTGATCCACTGCCGCAGGGCCTGCTCGTGTTTTTGGAAAGCCTTCAAGGTTGTGGCGTTGAGGGGCAACTTCTGGGCCAGCCGGAGGGCGTGGAAGATGGGGACATTCTGCTCCAGGCGCAGTTCGGTCTCCTGGTAGTTTCGGTACTCTTTCTTCTGGATCTTCTCGGCTGCCGCGAGGGGGTTCTCGGACGAAGACGTGTCCTCCGCGACCTTCGAGGTCACCGGCACCTTGATCTGGGGCGGGTTCATGTCCAGTTGGAAGCTGTGCTCCAAGCTGGCGAGCAGACGGTCGCTGTAGGCGCGGACGAGGCCGTCGGCGTCCTTGCCGCCGAACCGGTCGAGGGCGCGGGCGGCGCTGAGCTCGAGCAGGACGGCGATGACGGCTGGGCGGCGGCGGGCGTCCTGGCTCAGGAGGCGGTTGGCGTGGCGGGGCAGCGACATGACGTCCACGAACTCCTCGCCGAGCGAGAGCAGGCGGTCGAGCTCGGGGCCCTTGAAGCCCTCGGCCTGGGCGCGCAGGTGCAGCTCGAAGAAGATCTTCTCCGCCAGCCGCGGCTCCCGCAGCGAGAAGCCGGTGCTCTTCGCTTTGGCCGCCTCCAGGATGGCGAGCATCGCGTTGTTGCGGCCCGCGCGCCGCACCACCATCTCCATGTTCAGCTTGCGGTTCACCTGGTGCAGCGCCGTCAGGAACGCGGGCAGCACCTTCCAGTCCTCCGCCGACCGCATCCGGCGGATCACCGCGTTGGCCTCCGCGTTGCGCGGCTGCGCCGTGAACTCCATCGGCCGCAGCTGGTACTCCTCCTCCTCGCTGATCGCCACCGTCACCGGGTGCTCGTCCAGGGTGCCCTGGTGCTTCTTCCGGTAGATCAGGAGCTTCTGCTGCTCCGTCAGGTTGAGTGGGATGAACACCTCATCGCGGAATTTGTTGAGGCCCGGTTTCAGCTTCTGGGGCGCGCGCTTGAAGGTGGGCACTGGTCCGAGGATGGTGAAGTTAGCTTGGGATACTTCCGTAGGGTACGGTTCCTCTTGTGTCATCCAGGGGAAATTGGGCAAAGGATCAGTTACAATACCTTTAGTGAGATACGTGCGCTTCTGTGAGAAGGATCCGACGGCTTGACCGAGAGTGCTTGCGTTCTGGCAGCGCAATAGCCGGCTGCCCATGGCGAGCTGCGCCATTTCGATATGTGGTGGTGGTGGGATTGAGGTGAGGGAGATGTTTTTGTGAGGAGGAAGATAACTCGTAATTTCCAGCAAGCTGGAATTGACTAGATAAACAGATGCACACGTTCCCCAAAGCCGCTAAGATCAAACTCCGAATTGAGGATTTCAAGATAAAAATGGAAATGCAAATGCACTCACTCCCTTCCCGATAATCGTGAAAGTAGCGGCGGCGGCGGCAGAAAATCTCCCGCATTGAACAAATGGGCGGACGACCCAAACAGGCAAAGGGCGGAAATTCTGCCGGTCCGAATTCCTCTCTCCAATTCAGCATCAAGTTGTTTCCCGTCGACTCTACCAATTCGATCCCTCCCCCGAATTCCCAGCAAAGAACGGCTGCAAGTTCGCACATCTCGCCATGGCGAACTCCTCCTCGATCCTGCAGCAGCTGGGCTGCTTCCGGTCGCTTCTCACCAAGCCCCGGGTAACGCCCGTCAACACCACCGGCCGCCGCATGCTCACGACCGTCTGGTCCGCCAAACCAGCCCCGATCCCCTTCCCCAAGGAATTGCCCGAGCAATTTCACGATCAAATACCAAAGCGCTTCCGACCTAATCTCGGTACAGTCTTTGCCTACACCTACCTGTCCACCAAGAATCTCCCCCCATCCCCTAGCTAGCGGGGCAGGAAACACACATCCCAGAAAATCCCATTGCTAACAACAACAACCAAAAAGCTCCGAAGAAAATGAAGATCTACCCGCCCCCCCCGCAGCCCAAGTGCAAGGATCCCATCGACTTCATCGCGCAGACGCAACTGCAGAAGCTGGACCCCTCGGGCAAGCGCCGCGAGCTCTTCGACTACCGGCGACACGCGCGCAGCGTCAAGCCCGGCGACATCATCCGCGTGACCTTCAAGAACGGCGACCCGTTCGCCGGCGTGGTGCTGAGCATCAAGCTGCGCGGCGCCGACACCTCGGTGCTGATGCGCAACCAGCTGACGCGCGTCGGCGTCGAGATGTCCGTCAAGGTGTTTTCGCCGAACGTCGAGAGTGTGGAGATCGTGCAGCGCACGCAGAAGCGGAAGCGCAGAGCGAGGTTGTATTATCTTAGGTGCGTTACTATTCCTTTTCCTCTGGAGGAGTGGGGGGTTTGTGGTGTGGATTTCTTTTTTTTTTTTTTTGTTTTGCGGATGCTAATTTCGATTTTCTTTGGTACGGACAGACAGCCTAGACATGACATGGGCAGTGTGGAGAATCTGGTCGCCAACTACCTTAGACAGAAGAGAGCGCTTACTGGTGCGAAGATGGGCAGCAACCAGAAGCGGTGATTGTTTGTTGCTTTTGAGTTGGGGTGGGCTTGGTGACGCTCTCGAGGTTGTCACAACGGGCATGGTTTGGGGCGAATGTATTTTTATGTTAACTAGCATGTGTATATTGGATCTTAGGTCCGGGTGTTTTTCTTGTTTGCATTTCTGTTTCGGATACAGTTCAAATCAAAAGATCTGGGATTTCCTCTGGGTTTTTTTCTTTTTCTCTTCCGGTCTATGAGGGGTGTTCTGGTCTAGGGTGGGAGACTTTGCGGATGCTGTTTTCACAATGCACCTGCGTACTGCCATACGTTTCGGATACGGTTGTCTGCATTGAGCATATATCAGTGAGCATATCTAAGGCACAACGCAGGGCTTGCGAAGCACACTACACCACCCTGAAACCCAAGCACCGTCGCCCCGTCATCTAGTATATGTACCGAAAGCTGATTCCATATTAGCAGAGGACAATCATCGAAGGAAGAGCATCTAAGAACAGAAAGGGAAAAGGCAGGTCTTCCAGGAGAAATGCACGAAAACACGAAGCGGCATGACGTACTTCAAATTCTCCCGATCCGTCAAGTCCAAGAAAGCCGTCGAGTTGAGATCTCTACCCTCTAAGCCTCCCTCGGTCTGAGACTGGATCCGATCGCGGCGCTGGTTCTCCCAGCGAAGCAGGAAACCCAGGGTGGTGATGAGGACAACCTCGAGCAGATGGCAGACGATCATGGACCAGATTCCGAGCTCGTAGGTTGGGCTATATCGACGTGTGTTCAAGGTGAGTTTGGGTTGCTCTTGTGTGTGCTGTGCAGAGCGAACTTACGCTTGGTTTGTCTTGTAGAAGAACGGACCTGCGATGTTGCCGGTGCAGTAGCCCAGGAACAGCACGGCGTTGGTGACGACTTTCTTTGTGTGGCCTGTTCAGGTTCATCAGCCATGAGCCTATGTTTGGGGAGTCTTGAATATTCGAAGTTGCGAGCAGTGTACGCACCCGCTGTGTTCGCGATTTGCATGCTGAGGACCAAGACGAATGCTGCATTGTATGGTCCCGTCAAATAGTAACAGATCAAGCGACCGACTTTCTGATCTTGGGGCACGAAACGAAGACCAAATGCTCCGGCTATGTTTGGTAACAGGAAGATAACAATGAAGAGACAGCGTCTGTTCTCGAACCGGTCATTGAGATAGACACATGTCAAGATCGATAGGGCAATCAAGACTCCGTAGGGGATCTAAATTGTGAGCAACTTGATCTCTATTCTAAAGAAGGGAAGTATGTATACCTGCATGAGGGTCGTAACGAGAGTAGAGAATCCAAAGCCTTTGATGATGAGGGTTCCAAAATTAGAGATTCCACCATTTGGTATATTGCCTGCACAGATGGCACTGGTCAGCTAGGGTTGAGACGGTCGAGGGATGGAGACCTCACAGACTAAGCCCAAGGCGAAGAAGAAGTATAATTTGTAGTCTAGGAAGGCTTCTCGGATTTGGTGCAGTTTGATGTGCTTGTTCTCAACACCAGTCTGGTTTTCTCGAAGTCGCTCGACTGCCATACGACGCTCTCGTTCGCTAAGCAGAGGCGCCGTCACTGGCGAGTCAGGGAGAAGGAAGAACATCACCAAGCCCCACGTTGAGCAGAGACAGCCACTGGGGTGCACGTGTCCAGTCAGCATATGCAGGGTGGTACTCAGCAATAATCAGCCCTCTCTTACATGACAATGAACTCGTACTTCCACGAAGGAAGCGCTCCTCTGATATGCCCGATTCCATAGCCTAGTAGGCCACCTAGTGCGATTCCAAGACCGTTGGCCGTATACCAAAGTCCGATTCGTACCGGCTGCTCGCGTCTCGTGTACCACATGCTCGTTATAAGCATAAAAGCTGGGTCGGCACAAGCTTCAGCTGCGCCTCCCAAGGCTCGCAAAACAGCAAGAGTGGCGAAATTATGACAAGCGGCTTGGACGATGAGAAAGACTCCCCTTTATCGAGAACGTTAGCTGTGAGCCACATCGGCAGGATGGATGACGTGAAAGTCGGCTTACCACATGAAAATGTTTGCACCAAGATATTTTCCTACGCAACATGATCAGCTCTTAATTCCAGCTGAAGAAATGCAGTCCTTACCTATAGGTAATCGTTGCATAAGAAAATTGGTCGGCTTGTCGGACATTAGCATGAGCCATCGAAGTTCCGAGGAGGTCCAGACTCACAACGGCCCATGCAAGAAATCCGAAGTAGAATACACTCGACAGCCAGCTGTACTGGGTGCCATGGAGATTCAGGTCCTCCTGAATACCAAAGATCGCCGCATAACTGAGTGTGGTCTAAATGCCGCATCGGTGAGCAATAAGCAACCTCCGATGAAGCATAAATGGGCCGTGCGCACCTTATCAATATAGAAGAATGCATAGCAAACGGCCAGGTAAGGAAGAATCATTAAGTCGATCTTCCAAAGCAATTTCCTGGCCTCCAGGGGGTCAATCTCTTCATGAAGGGCATCCGGGTCGTTGAAGAGAGCCATGGCAGTGTCCCCATCCGGCCGCGTCCCCGGCTTCCACCCCGGCTGGAAATGATTCTCATCATGTGTATCTGAAGGTAGATCGGCGATGTTCTCTGCATGGACGGAACTGGGTTCGGTCTGGGCTTTACTGCCCATGATTGAACTCGGTGTTTGTGGTTGTTCCGTAGGCTGAAGAGAGCTTTAAGAGTAATAGCCGACGTGTGACGAAGGAAGAGAAAGAGATGTTTGGGTACCTATATAAGGCCTGGTGAATGAGTCTCATACCAGGCCTAGAGCTATAGTAGCTCTATTTCCCGTCTCGCAAACCTTGCTCAGAACCTGATACCGTGGTGATTGGATGGTCGTTCATCGGACGTGGGGGTATTGATCCTGTCAAGTTGTGCGGAGATATGCGTTCTTCAGCTATCATCCAATCCGCACAGAGATAGTGTATCATCCATGAACTTTAACTTTTGCACCTCGGTCATTCTCCGTCTGGAGACTCAGTAGGTAGCCATACGCAGCATGGCTTTGATACGTGGGAAATAGATCTCGGAGTAAAGCCGAGCATGGCATGATGATGTGTAGGAGCTTACAGACCTGAGAATGGCAGCCGATTTTAGTAGAAGAAGAACAATGCTGTGTGCTGGGATCCTCGAGGCGGTGGATGAAGTAGCAATGCGGGGAAGTGGAGAAGAACGACCCCGCATGGGGTGGGAGCAGAATCTGGGGTAATTCCAGTCCGGCTGGTGGTCTTTCATCTCACGCCTCCTTCCTCGGCCTCAAGGTATAAGTAAGCTACCTTGGAAGCATGCTAGCTTACAATAAGACTGCTCCAAACATTTGTTTTCCTTATCTTTAGAATTCCGTGCGCTGCAATCTGACCTCCTGTGGGCTACCAACGTACAAAATCCAGCTTCATTACTTTCCAGAAGATATTCTTTGACCAGTGTGGGAGCTGCAATGCCCATCGCTCAAGACTCATGCTGGGGGATCATGAGATGTAATAGAGAGACAGACTTCGGAGTGACAAGCCATATGAGGCTATGGCTCACAACCTGGGATTCACTCTTGTTTCGAACAATTCCTGCGCTTCTTCTTAGATCAACATGATAGAACAAACGAGATTAGTGAAAAGGCGGTTATATCGCTGTTTTGAATGTGCCAGTGACACTTTACACCATAGGAGGATTGCACTGGCCAGAAAGAAGGCTGGAATCGCAAAAGAGTTCTTCCAGGGGATGGAGACGGAAGTAACCACACAAGCAACATCCAAAGTCTTGCTGCTCGTCGATGATCGATTCACTGTCAAATCAACTTGATCTTGCAGCCTTTGAGTCTGATAATTGCGTCTTACAGTCCAGTATAGGAGCAAGCCTAGTAAGATGCAGACGACTCTCCCTCGCCACCACACATGGCAAGCTAAACCCAGTCCAAATGGGCGTGCAGATCCCAGGAGGGTCCCCGTGCCTGTATACAGCCACAATTCTCGGGATATGAGTTGAGGAGTCAAACTCTAAATAGACTATCCCAGCCCAAGTCTAGGCAGATCCCCCACAGGTAGAGCCCGAAGTTGGCTCCGTGACTTGAGGACCCAGCTATGAGTATACAAGCTAAGAAAATGGCACTGATCGCCAAGTGCGGGCTATCTTGAGCTCCCTCGAGGACTAGAACGGTATTGGCTACCTGCAGTGATTAGCTTTGTTGGATCACTAGGTGTTGATCGGGCCACGATGCACAGTATGGGGTGATCCATGTGTTTCCGTCTGCAGTTCAATATGCCACATTGACGCATGTCCCTCGTGGGAGACGCTTGAAATGACTCATTAGTACTTGCATATTTGACCAGACAATCTGTTCAAGGCTCGTTCCTCAGAAAGCAGGGTCACGAGTGATACACTCCCAGTTTTCGCGGTCATTCAACGCCGACCGGAGCATTGGTATGCGGAGGCTGCAGTACGGATGGAGCAGCCGCCAATGGCGATGACCTTGAGCGGTGCGAGGACAATGCGAGTCCATTATACCACAATGTAGATGACCACAAGAACGTTTCATTCAATTAGGCTTCAGACCGTGATGTCTGGGAATCAGATAATGAGGCACAACTCGATCTGCTCAATGAAGAGGGATATGAATTGCCGTGTTCTGGAATGAATCCATTACATGACTTAGTGGAGTTAGATGACAACCCCGGACAGAGGTATAAACAGTCATACTAGCTCTGGTTCAATTGATGTGTCATAGCAGCTTCAGAGCGAATCCTGACAACGACTCGGGATCGTGGTACGCGCAATTCTTTCCTGAAACGAGAGGAAACACGGCGTTGAAACACGATTGTGACATTTGAGAATTGAGGCGCAGTACTTTTTGACGACTTTGCGGGTAATGATAGGAAGGTTCGTCCCGGTCAATAGAACGAATTGAGTCCCAATCCCTGCCATCTCTCAATCCTGTATCGATGGCGCAGATTGTAAGGGGGAGGGCGGCAAGTACTAGGTAGCCTTACTCCCCCACCGTTTGAGAGAGGACGACGGCCAAGTCCGCCCGCCCCCAGCGTAAGCGCCCCTAAGAGAATTGCCTACTGCACCGTCAGCCTAAGCCCCTTCTCCCCCTCCCGCCTAGCGGCATGCGATTCGGAGCTCTGCCGTCCGCTCGCTCCCTTCAATACCCGAGGGTCAAACAACGGTTGACTCGATCACTGGTCACACACCGACTTTCGTCCATCTGCAAGAATAGAACGACTGCTACTGTACCCCGGCTGCAGGTTTGCATTTGGTGTGCGGGTGGAGTAACCTACAATTGGCCCAAGGCGCCGTCATGGGCCTGCAGATCGTAAGAATAGGTGATGGGTGGTGGTGGTGGTGGTGGTGGGATTCTCACATGCTCCAGCAAACCACCTGCGACGGCTCCTCCCCGGAGTCACGATATACTGAGGGGGCAGAGAGTTCAGGGACTCCGGACTGTCTGAGAGTCTTCAGTAAAGGATTGATCCCGATCCTTCGCCGTGCTTGATCGCGGCTAGTCCAGTGCGATTTATTTTCGAGGTAGGGATCCGTCTCGCCTTGTTCCGGCCCATTGGCTGAGTAACGGAGTATTGCTGCATTAGTGCCACCACTAGCCAGGCATGGTCGTTTTGATATGGACATCCGAGCAACACAGTGCTTGTGTCTCTGAGCCTTCGCTTCGCACCACCTACCTTCCGAGATTCAATTATAGACCATCGAGGACAAGTAGTACTCTACATTTTAATAAAGTGTTTGCGCCATTGACTCCGGCAATAGTCTGCTTGAGAATTTAAGGACTAGCGCTATTAGATTGGGGCATGAATGGAGGCCATGGTGAGACAATAAGGCTGGTGTGCTTGACAGCCGAAGAACCATAAAGGGCTTTGCAACGCACCCCTGTTATGCCGACACAATTCATATCCATCTGAGCCATTTGAATAGAATTTAGGGTGATTATCGTTGCTTTATGACAGATTGAATCCCTTGCACCGAAGACGAGAGTTCATGCGATGTCTCACTCGATGTTGATTCGAAAACAGAACACCCTCGAATGCAAATGGCCCATGAACTAGTTATAAGTGCCCATAGTACTCAGTGATCACAACCCATTATTGCGGAGCACACCACACTGGCAGCCAACGACCGCATTATTCCCAACCGAGAATCACAGCTACAGCAGTCCTAATGACAGTTAGAATCGATTGACTAGGTTCTATCGCAGTCTTCCAGAAGACCAAGGTGTTCAACCATGGAACCATTGGTTGACCCAGAGATGTCCTCAAGGTAACAACAGGACGGGCACTGGGCATGTCGTCATGTTCAAAGGGTTGCAGAAGGCCATGAAAACAGAATCCGCCACGCAGATCCGAAGATCTCTGACGTGGGGGATTTCGGCCATTGGACGAGTTGCAATTTCCTGCGTTCTTTAAAGCTGGGGTCTTTTTTGGGGGGGGGGGGGGGGGGNGGAGGAGAAGA